TCATGATTTTTCGGGGGCTGATGTTTTTGATTTTGGTGTTTGGGCCACATCTGGTGTGTTTAGGGATCATGCCTGGTGGTGCTTGGGAGACTATATGTGGTAACAGGGAGTGAACCGGCGTCAGCCACTTGCAAGACCAGTGCTTCACCCACTGTACTATTTCTTTGGCCATCTGAATGTTTTATGTGGTTAGTTTTTTAATATTTCTTTCTCTGTGTTCAGGTGTGACTTGGGGAATGATATATGGTGTCCAGATCTAATCATGGTTGGTTGGTCACCTGCAAGGCAAGCACCTGATCTTCTGTACTTGCTCTTAGGCTCAGGTTGACTGATTTTAGTACCTGTGGGCAATAAGTATTCTTGAGGCCCAATGGCCATTTTGTTTTTCTTTTTTTGGGCCACACCTGGTGGTACTCAGGGATTATTACTTCTGGTGGGACTCAGGGGACCCATATGTAGTGCTGGGGATTGATCCCAGGTCAGCCTCGTGCAAGGCAAACATAGTACCTCCTGTACTATTGCTCTGGCTTTCTGATGGTATTTTATATTTCCCTTTGTTACTTGGAATTCTTTCTGTAAGAACTGACTTAGTCTCTGTACTGGCTAGAGAGAGTATAGGAGGGAAGGCACTTGAATATGGCTGCAGTGGCTCTGAATCTGGTTCAGATTCCTGGAACCATATATAGTTCCCTGAGCACCGCTGGGTTTGCCCAGTTCAAAAGGGGGAAAAAAAAAAGACTCAGCCTCAGTCTTATTCTACTGTGTTTGGATGAATTTTAGACTTGTGGATCTTAATTTTGTTCTGTGGGTTGTTGTCTGAACCAGCACTGGATGTTGGGTGCTCCCTTTTGACCTGCCCACCTCCCCTGCTTCTGGCACCAGACCAGAAAAGTTCTAGGACCCTTGTCAGCAAGGCGGAGGGCCCTTTGTATGATGTGGTTTTCTGTGTGCTTAGTTGTTTAAACAAGTTCCATTTCCTCCCAAGTCTGCTAGAATATCAGGTACTCAGTGGCTGGGGGCTTTTCTTGTGTGATTAGTCTGACAAAGGCAGGGCAGCACAGCATGGTCAGCTGTCCACAGTAGGGGCCTTTCCTCCCTGTCCTGGACCTCCGACTTTTTGATGAGGCCATGGGGGAACAGGATTGTGCTGGGTCTAGGGGCACCATCCTGAGAAATGAGAAAGGGATGGGAAAAAGGGAGAAAGGTCTCAGGATGGTCACCAGCCATCTTTTCTAGATGAGCCTTAAAAGCCAGCTTTTCTAGATGAGACCTCATCTCCTTCTTCTCTTCAGCAAAATGCTAGCTTCTGTGGGTCATACTGTTTGCTACTTGGAGCACTTGAGAGTGAGCCTGGGGTGCTTTCTGTGCTGTGTAAAAATGAGTCACCGTGGTTTACAAAGAGACTTTGTGCTGGTTAGTGTAGGAGTGCATGATCAGACTGAGAAGAATCCTCTGAAGTCTACAAGGGGAAATGATGGCTGCAAGGAACCATAGAGTGGTGGCAGTGTGCCAGCACCAAGACACAGGGGCTGTTTGGTGGCTTAGAAGTGGCAGTAATGCCAGTCTCTTCAACAAACATGAATTACTTTACTAGAAAGCAGCTGCTGTATAAGCAGCTTATATTGCCATGGGGAGAAAAATGAGCTGTATCTGCAAATTACTATGGTTCTGACTCACATGCACATCTAGGGTTGATCTCATACCAAAAACTGGCTGAGCTCTGGCCCTGCCCTTGTTTATGAATGGGATTTGCATCAGGCAACAGCTTTCCCCTCTACAAAGCCCCTTTCGTGAAACAGAGGAAAAGGTGGTTTTTTATGGACCCATTGTAAAGAGGACTCCCCATTCTTCCTTCTTTCTCTTCCTCAGGGCTCTGCAGTTCCCTCCTGAAGGCTGGCTCCGCCTTTCCCTCAACAACGGCAGCATCACCCACTTGGTAGTTCGGCCTGATGGCCGAGTAGCGCTCAGGACCCTCGGGGACACAGGATTCATGCCTCCTGACAAGATCTCACGCTCCTGAGGGCTGGTCCTGCACTCTGCCCCAGCCCATTGCCTAGCTTTCTTGTGGTGTCTTCCTCACAGGCCACTCTATATATATTTCATTTCTCCAGAACAAGGTGGTGGAAAAGAACTACTTAAATGTGTATTTTAGCACTGGTGACTTAGGATGAAAAAGGGAAACATTCAGCTCAGATCATCTATCTGTTACCTTCATGTCTCCCAGGACTGGCCTGTGGGGTTTAAGGAGACTTGTACTGGATATTGGACAAAGGCCTTCACTGCATGGACCTTGCATTGAATGTCTTAGGTCATGATCACAGCTAGTCATGAACCCTGAGACTTGCTGGAAAAGCTCATCAGTGCAAGAGATGTAGATTCATACATCTGAGCTTCCATTTATATATTTGTGTATACCCTTTGTCAAAGTCAAATATTTGTCAGAGATTTTACTCAGCTGACTTCTTGATTTGAAAACCAGTCCCACACTCCAAAATTATGAAGCCCCGTCAGTTAGACCTGAACTCAACTTTCTGGGCCTTTCCAGCACCTGGGAGCACCTAGGCAGGTGAGCGGCAGGAGTTAGTAACCAGAGGGGGCCTGTTTTGCTAAAATATCTGGCAGCTCAGTCTTAAGTTTGCTTCTTCAATACTTATGGATTATGATATTTTGACATGATGTATACATCCCAAATGTTAATTTTGGAAAACTATAATTTCTGTGAAGTGATTATAAACACTTTGTGCAATCAGTGCAATTAGCTGGAATATTTGATTTATTTCTGTTGTCAACTTTGGAAATAATTATAAAATTTTATTTTATTGTTTTTTCAAAGGTTTAATTGTGACTTTTATTTGGGTTTTTTGTGCAGAGATTTGGGGGTAGGTGGGGAGGTCTCCAAGAAGAACCATGTGATGTTAGGGAGTGAACTTGAGTCCACCTGCATGCAAAACTCCAGCCCATTGTTTTCTCATCCCTTACCAGGCATTTGCCATCTGGACCTTTAGGAGACTGGAAAATAGACTGAGCATCTTTTTGGACCATGCCTTGTAGTGCTGAGGGGGCTATTCCTTCCTGGCTCAGTGCTTGGGGAACCATATGCTATGTGGGGCTGAACCTGGGATTGAACTCTAGCCCTTTGAGCTATCTTCTGGCCCTAAAATAGTTTCAGTAGATAAGCCAGGGGCTGGACTTTATGCCCATCTGGAGCCATTGCTGGACTCTTGGGCCCATATCATAAGATAAAGAAGTTGGTTGGGGTTGGCCACTTTGCTTTCTAGTCTGCAGACCTTTTTTAAACCTCAGAAGTGGTTAGAAAAGTGGGGCAGAACTGATAGTAGGTGAGTAGTAGCATAGGAAGAGGCTGTTTTGTTTTTGGGTCTCTCTTGGTGCTTAAGGACCATATGGATGCTGGGGATCAAACCCAGCTTGGCTGCATGCAAGGCAAGCATCCTACCAGCTGCACTATCCCCAGGAAGAGGGGTGACAGGGTCAGTTATGGGGATCTAGTGACGTCTTACATGAGCCAAAGTTCTGGACTGGAGAGCTAGTGTAACAGGGCCTTGCCTTGCCTTGCACGTGGCTGACCCAGGTTCAATCTCTGGCATCCCATAGGCCCCTGAGCACTGCCTAGAGTGACTCCTGAGCACAGAGTCAGGAGCACCACTGGATATGGCCCCAAATCAAACATAAAAAGTTCTGGAAGGCAGTAATCATACCTGAGTAGCCCAAATGAACACAGCACCAGGAAGCTGTGTGCTGCAAGAGAGCCTGAACCAAAACCAGTGGAGCAGTTGATGTTTATCCAAAATACTTTCGATGGCCAGAAAGACAGTTACATATCTGGCATATATGCTTTGCATGCAGGAGCCCTATAAGGAGTACCCCATGAGCACTGCTGAGTCTAATCCAAAATCAAAACCAAAAATTTTGAATGCTGGCTGGACAGAGTGCCAGAGTTGAGGTACTTGTCTCATATCCTGCCAACCCCAATTCAAATCTCCACCACCAGAATCGGCACTGGTGGAGGGATGGGTACTTGATCATTGTATAACTGAAACCCAGGCACAAAAATTTCTAAGTTTACAACTGTACTTCATGGTGTTTCACTAATAAAAATTAGAAACAAAACAAAAACCAAATCCCTATCACCATAACCAGGGGTGGCTCCTAAGCACAGCCAGGAATAGCCTCTGATCACTGTTGTGTGCGGTCTAAACTCCCTCATTCCCTCCTCCCCCAAAAAATAAAAACAAAAAATTTCTCTGGAAACAGTTAAAAGGATAATAGTGGCCAGGGAAATAGCAAAAAAGGCTAGAGCAAATGCTTTGCAAGCTGGAGCCACAAGTTTAACCCCTGGCATAGAATAGTCTCCCAAGCCACACCAGTAGTGAACCCCCAACACTGAGGTAGATGTGACCAAAAAATCAAAAATAAAAAGATTAAGTGCACTTAATGAGATTCTGAGCTAGAAAATACTTATATTTGCGCACCAGTGCAAAGTGTTGGTGTAAAACAAGAAAAGCAGCTTAGGCCAGGGAGCCAATGTGGTTTGGGAGATGGGGTCAGTAATATATCCAATATCTGCAGTGCAGGGTATTGATCAAGGCTCACATACAAACCATGTGATTTATTGCAGTGTCATGTCCTGATCCTGCATCCAATAATGTTTCAAACCACACCCGAACAAGTAACTATCCCACTACCATCATTCCCTCTGAAGCTGTGAGCTTTTGGAAACAACCAGGAATAATTCAAAGTGAACTGTCTTTTCCTGCAACATGCAGTGGGCATGTACCCCAGCACCATCGCTGTGGCACTGGAAGTAAGGGTGAAACTGATTATCCTTTGTGGTAGAGAAAGGGGAGAGCACTTACACAAACACACACCCCTAAAACCCCATAGTCAAGAAGTCTGGGCTAGGTGAATTTGACACAAATAGGAAAGAAAAGAATACAAATCAGCAAATCTTACATATTTATGTAATTTCCTAGCAGCTCTGCTTCATATTTCACTAAGAGGTGCATGTTATCTCAGGGGAGGGAAGGGTGTTCTTTATGAGGGCTTAGAATCAAAACTACATGATTTTAAAAACAATTTATTTAAGTAGTTAAAAAACATAAAAACCACCTAGGGATATAAGTTAATGCCTTTGTTGAAACCAGGCAGGAGCACTTTATAAGAAGTGCTTTATAAGAACAGTCAATGAGTTCTAAAATTTTTTGGAAACCATGGAAGTCTGCATATTTGCGGTATAAGCACCAATTTTAATGCTTTTTTGTTTGGGGGGGCACCAACGTGGTGATGCTCAGGGATTACTTCTGGCTTTGCACTAAGAAATTACTCCTGGCAGTGCTTGGGGGTCCATATGGAATGCCAGGGATTGAAACCAGTTGCCTGCAAGCAAAGCGAGGGCCCCACCTGCTATACTATCTGGCCTCACCAATTTTAATTTCTGTCTGAACACTGACAATAATATACAGAACAGTACGGGAAAGTTTAAAGAAAACATCACTGTGAATACACCTGTATTTGACTTGAGAACAAAGGTGCCTTTTAAAAAATGCCTTTGGTATTTAAAATAATTTTTTGGTTTTTAGGCCATACCCAGTGGTGCTTAGGACTTACCCCTGGCTCTGCTCTCAGGGAACACTTCTGTAGGCTCAGGGGATGATACAGGGTGCCAGGGATTGAATCCAGTTGACTGCATGTAGGGAAGTGTCTTCTATATACCCGCTATACTATTGCCTGGCCTCTCCTAAATTACTTATGTACAGGTTGTCTGTAACATTACCACATAGGCAGTTTTCAGGAAATTTGTATCTGAGTTAGCTTTCATCAACTTCTCAAAATATCAATGTACACAGAACATGTGCATTCTCTAAAATACTGTGAAAATACTGTGTAACCTTTTGAATTAAAATATAAATCTTGATCCCAATATTCCTGACCAATGTCATATGAAATAAATAAGTTTTCAATATACTCAGTTCAGATTTTTTTGAACAAGGATTCTTAGTAGTCTCACAGTATAATCTCAAAAGGTAAGTTCAGGAAAATAAATGATTTACAAAAGGCACTTACATTACCAAAAGCACTGGCAGATTCTTGCTATAACAATACTACCTCTGTATGAGCCCTCATGTATAATAAAGCTGAAGAAATTCAGCCTTCATTTATTTAGCTTTTTGGGTCACACCCAGCGATACACAGGGATTACTCCTGGCTCTGCACTCAGGAACCACCCCTGGCAGTGCTCAGGGGACCATATGGGATGCTGGGAATCAAAACCGGGTAGGTTGCATGCAAGGCAAATGTCCTACCCACTGTGCTATTGCTCCAGCCCCGGAAATCCAGCCTTTAACAGAACTTTTTGGCCTCAGGTATCCCCACAACACAGAGGGCCCTTATTGTAGGTGGATTAGAAGCAAGAGAGGAACTGAAATAAAATACTCAAGTAGCTTTCAAAAGTAAACCTCTAGAGCTGGAGAAACACTATAGTAGGCAAGGTCCATGTGTTGCATATGGCCTACCTGGTTTTGATCCCCAGCACCCTGTATTTTCCCCTGAGCCTGCCAGGTGTGAACTGTGAGTGCAGAGTCAAGAGTAAGTCCTGAGCACAATCATATGTGCCTACCCCTCAAACAAAAAACCCAAAAGTAAACCTCTAGTTATTAAAACGTATTATTTTTATGAAGAAAACTCAACTGATATGAACCCTAAATACATTTTTTTTTTTTTTTGCTTTTTGGATCACACCCAGCGATGCACAGGGGTTACTCCTGGCTCTGCACTCAGGAGTTACTCCTGGCGGTGCTCAGGGGACTATATGGGATGCTGGGAATCAAACCCGGGTCGGCCGCACGCAAGGCAAATACTCTACCCGCTGTGCTATTTCTCCAGCCCCCTTAAATACATTTTGAAAGTAGAGTTTACAGACTCTTTAATGTATTAAGACATTACAAACATGTCAAGCCCCAGCACTGATGAATGCTGGGGTTGCTGCAAAGTCCTGTGTGGCCATTTGCATAGCCTCCTCAATGGTTATAAGACTTTCCGAATTCTTCTGGCCCCTGATTCACATCTTAATGGCCCAAATTATAAGTACTGTTTACAATGACCTAGTCACTTCCTCTACTCAACTGGGTGGACTGGCCACACAGAGGATTTTTGCGAGAAAACAAAGGTGGGACCAAATTCATCTTTACTGCTGTGCAGCCTAGCACTGTGGCTACCATGGTGAATTCTGTAACATTACCACATAGGCAGTTTTCAGGAAATTTGTATCCGAGTTAGCTTTCATCAACTTCTCAAAATATCAATGTACACAGAACATGTGCATTCTCTAAAACTCTCACCTTCAAAATAAGATTAACCAGAATATGTTCTTTTATGACATTTTGGTAATAAACATATTACCCTTATTAAACAACAACAACAACAAAGCAACAACAACAACAACAACAACAACAGTAAGAGCCCTATGAGCCAGCAGGCTGGGCCAGGAGTGTCATTCTGCGGAGGTGGCTCCCATTTGCAGGACTGTAGCGCCCAGGGCTGCCCACACCAGGGGAATACAAGGCAGTGCTGGGCTTCCCAGGGCTGTTGACCACAGGACTGCTTCTCCCCGGGCTGCAGTTGGAAGGGTGACCAAGATCTGTCTGCTGAGACTTCGACCTCCCTTTCAGTGCAGGGCTGGGCCAGCTGAGGAAACCCAGAAAAATCTGTCAGCACAGGTGCAATAACCCAGGTCCCAATACCATCTGGCGAGGTACTTGGGACAAGGAGAGTAGAAATGACAAGACCTGAACCTCTCCAAGAATAGTTACTCTGTGCTTGAGAATTATGGGCCCCCAAAGGAACAGCTCGTGACTTTCAACATGAACCCCAATTGCAGACCTCTGTGTAAGGCTGCTGAATGTGGCCACATATCAGGGCAGTCTTGTTAGCTTAGATAACAAAGAGGCTGACAAGTGGTACAAATGAACCAATATGTTCATTAGACCAGACTGGATTATTCCCCATAGCATTCCCCATAGCAGAGGTTCCCCCAACCTGAAGTACCTCTGTCTGTCCGAAGGTGAGTAGCACAGAACGGTGCTCCTCCATCTGTGCACAGTAGGGTACTTGTTCGGGTCCACATCTATACATTCTAAAGCTGCTAGAACATCTCGATCCAGCTTTGAGGGCTCCTCTCTAAAGGACATCAGAAGAGAGCAGACAGTTTATGATTAAGAACACAATTCTGCACTAATGCCCTCCTTATTCAAAACACAATGGCATGCAAACACATGTGATGATGTCCCCACCACACCTCAGCAACATCAGGACTGCCATACAGGCAGCAGAGAAACTAAGACAAGACACTCTCTCTTTCATGTGGAAATCTCCAATGTTTTGCTGTACTGCAGGAAAAGTGAGTTTGTGTATTTCCACTCCAAAGGTAGTGTGTCACTTGAGATAAAGGCCACTGTTAAGACTGTCTTTCTGCCTAAAACTAATCTCCTAAGATAGTTCAGTGAGTATGGGATGATTATTTCCCTGGAACGTGTGTGGAAGAGAACTGTCCTTCCATCAATGTGGGAACGTTAGGACACTGAGATTCTACACCTTCATGAAATGGAAACAAGGACAGGTCTGCAAGTTATGAGTGGACCATGTGCCAACAGGGCCCCACACACTCATATTGCTCCTAGTATTCCCAGTGTGCCTATCCCTCTTCTTTATGGTCATACCAAGGAATGTTCATGTAAACTCATACCCCAAGAGGAAGAGTCTTTGGATGGTAGGGATCCTCAGGGGCTCTGAGGGTGTAGAAGTGCTGTGGTGTTGGGTCTCCTGCCCAGGATGGTTGGGATCCAGGCACAGTTCAGCAATTCCAGCTGACACTTCGCTCTCCATCATTATCTGTTTCTTTCTGAGGTTGCCTGTAGCAGCAGGTGATACTAAGAAGTCACTTTCTTTTGTGTCTAATTTTGATGTCAGTGTCTTTTCTCCAGCTTCCACATTTTTACTTGCTCTCAACTTAGAAAAGTCTCTTCCTAGATTCTGCAAATTCAGTTTATCAAACTCAACAGTCAAAGTGGAGACAGGTGATAAGAGGTCTTCCTGTGCACCGGAGGCCTTTGTTCTTTTCCCTTCCAGGGTCTTGTTGCTGCTTGGAGGGCTATAAAAGCCATTTTTGTTACCCTGGGAACTGTTTGGGGTTGAGACTTCTATAAGATCCATATTCTGCTCCAAAGGAAGGATGTTGGAATCTCCAAAAGCACCAACTGTGGGATGGGTCTTATTACGTGCTGTATTTTGCCGATTTTTAATTTCTTCCAAGCTCATGTTATCATCTTCACCTAGAAATGTCCTTACAGAAATGGAACTGCTAGGATGACCTGAGGGGAAGAAAACAATTCTTCAGAGGTACAGATACCTGTAAATAATCACTATCTAAGCATAGCTGCGAATCTCTATAACCAACTACAAATCGCTCTCATACAGAACTACCTTCTCAGATTCTAAGGTAGAAAAGCACCTGTATTACTCTCTAGGAAAAGGCAGGCAGGACTGTACAAAACAGAAATAAAGTTGCAGGAGCGGCTTTCCTCCTTCAAAAGCAGAGAAGTAAGAGGGGAAACAAGGTCAAGGGCAAACTGGAGAGTATCTGTCTACTGTGCCAGATTGATAGCACCGAACAAACAGCAGGTGTTCGCATGTCCATGAGAAGACACCCATGTTCTCACCAGAGGCAGAGGCTTTCTCTGAATGACAAGCTTCATTTTCTCTCATTTCTTGTTGGGCCTTTCTGCTTTCTTCCTGCTGGTGGAAATACTCTTCTAATTTCTGTAAGCCCTCCGGGGAGGAAAGGTCAACAAAACAGTCAAGAAAGTCCCAGTATTCAGCCCAGGGATACCTCAGTTCATGAGCTAGCTCTCTGTAAGAATGAAACACAACAAATCAGTTATGGAACCAGCACAGAACCAGAAAATAAGTAACTACACATAAATAGGCACTTTATGATGGGAGTGCCAGATTGATACCCGTTTTTCTCTTCTTTTTGCTATGCCAGGAATTGAATCCAGGGTGTCACACATGCCAGGCTCTACTGCTGAGCTACATCCCAGCAGGACATGATTTTGGTATGGGCCATGCATATAAAAACTTAGAAATCGTTTTTAGAAGACACTATGAAACATTGAGTGAAACTGTACATTGTAATGACCAAATTCAGAATTTCACAAATGCTACACGTGTACTACCAATTGAGCTACAGCCCCCCTGTCCCTAATTTAGCCTCACGGTTGTAGAAGACCTTTTCAGAACTTGTTTTCACTAGAAACTTCTAGGCACATCAACCTCTTCAGTCCACCTCTCTCTCTCCCCTTATTGCCAAGAAAGCACCACAGAAGTATTTGATAAAAAACATGTAATGTCTCTTAGATATGATGGAGAGCAACTCTAGGTCTGGGGACAACTTTTTGAGTTTATGCTTTTATTAAAAAAACTCACATGTATAATGTTTGCAAAGAACTATATTTTAATAAAGAAAGCAGAATCAGATAGTACAACACTTAATCCTCGGAATACCATGTGGTCCCCAAGCACACCAGGAGTAATTCCTGAGTGCAGAGCCAGGAGTTAATTCCTGGCATTGCTGCACATTGTCCTGAAACAATAAAACAAACAAACAAACAAACAAACAAACAAGGATAGCACAGAGGGTAGGGCATTTGCCTTGCATGCGGCAGACCCTGCATCCCATATGGTCCACCGAGCACTGCCAAGAGTAATTCCTGAGTGCATGAGCCAGGAGTAATTCCTATGCATCGCCAGGTGTGACACAAAAAGGTTTTAAAAAAAAAAAATCCCTGACAGCCAGAGATGTAGTGCAGTGATAGAGCATTTGTCTTTTGTGTGGGAGATCCTGGGTTTGATCTCTATAACTGAAAAACAAAACAAAACAAAAAAACCCAAAGCCCCCCAAGTTTCCCAGTACATGCTTCCTGGAAACTATCACTGGGCCACAGTTATGATTTGGTTTTCCAACCTCATTTAAAACATGAATGCACAGCAACACCCAGAACACCACCAACACCGGGCTCTTTATAAATTCAAGTACCTTCCCACTCTCTCGATGCCTCTCTCTGGATCAGATTTTCTGACATTGTGAAAGAAGCCTGCTTTCTCTCGAGGTGGAGTTTTCCAGAGTCTGCGAAAATCTTCTGCCTGTGATTGAGAAAATGTGTTGAGCAAAGCCACACACGTCAGTCATGGACAAATATAAAGACCACTGCAGAGTTGTATTTCTGTGTCTCCCTATTTCTCCATATCCAGGAAGTGTCATTTATCAATTATATTAACAATTATATTCAGATATTTCTTATAAACTTAGTAAAAAGAGAAAAATGTGGGTTTTGCCTTTTTCTTAAGGTATGAAAACAGATGGGCTGGAGGATAGCACAGTGGGTAGGGCTTTGCATGCGGCCGATCCAGGTTTGATTCCTCTGCCCCCCTCGGAGAGCCTGGCAAGCTACCGAGAGTATCTCGCCCACACAGCAAAGCCTGGCAAGCTCCCCATGACGTATTCGATATGCCAAAAAACAGTAACAACAAGTCTTATAATTTGTTGTGAGAAGTTACTGGTGCCCGCTCAAGCAAATCGATGAACAATGGGAGGACAGTGCTAGTGCTATATATGTGTGTGTGTGTGTGTGTATATATATATATATATATATATATATAAACAAACATAAGAATACTGCTATTTATTCAGCCATTGATTAAGCTGATTGAATTGGGCATGAACTCCACATTACTTTTTTAAAAATTAAAAAAAATTTTTTTAATTGAATACTTGTGAGATAGACCATTACAAAGCTGTTCATAATTGGGTTTCAGCTGGCTTTATATTTTGCAGTGCCAAAGACTGAACCTAAGACTTATATATTCAAGAAAAGTGCTTTACTTCTGAACCACATCCCTGACCTAAGAACTTTTTATTTTTGTGGGTTGTTTCTTGAGCCATACTCAGCAATGCACAGCAGCTACTCTGGGTACAGTGGGTGCTTGGGGGCCATGTGGTGCCAGGAAGAGAACCAGGGTGTCCAGCATATAAAGCATGAATTCCAGCACTATATTACTGGGACCCTGAGAACATCTTGTGGTGTTTGGTTTTGAGTTATACCTGGTGGTCATCAGGAGACCAGGTGGTACTGGAGACTGAACCGTGGCCTCTAATATTGCAAAGCATGTGCTCAGTCCATTCTTTCTGGCCCAGAGAATATTTTTAATAAGAGAAAAGATACCTATAGGTTAGTATGGAATGTGAATTTTAGAGCCTGCACATAGAAAGTTGCTAGTGGACAGTATCCTTAAATGGTTGTGGGTCACTGGCATGGAGGGAGAACCAGGCATGATGACATGAGGGATGTGGTAACCCAAGTATATCTTTTTCTTGCTCTCACAACAAACCCGACACAACAAAGTATTACTAATAAACAAGTAATAGTCATACTGTTCTGCAAACATTTTGAAACTTCATCCCCAATTCATTGGGGTTCCACTAGACCTAGATCATGTACAAAACAAGAGGGAAGGGTACCCAGCAGTTCTGGTGAGAACAGGCAGGAGCTAGGAGCTAGTTTTAGAAAATTCCACAGCTCACCTTGGATGGACTCAGAGGTCCCACAAAAGCTCTCAGGGTCAAAACAGGGTCTCTGGGGCCTCCGAAACTGTGGCGGTCAGGTGAGTGCTCAGCTGCCTGGTCTGCAGTCCACAATTCCCCAATCACTGGGGAAGATGAGTCTTCTGCTCTCAAGAGTGGAACGTAGTAGTGGCCTGGGAAGAGAAGATACCCCAGGACTGAACCCTAAATTTAAATTGTTCCAGTCTGAGAAAAATGTTCATCACATCATGGACAGTACAAGTGAAACAAAGAAAACAACCTCAATGATGAAAAAGCTGGAAAATCTCCAGTCAAAGCACCAAGTCAAAAGGCCAGTCTGGGTCACACACTCAGTAAGCAGCCTCACTTTCTTCTTCTGTGAAAGAAGGAAAAAGAAAGAGGGAGCAGAAAACACTTTCCTACCTACAGGAAGTTGAAAGGATTAAGAGGCTAGAGTTGTACCAAAATATAAATTTTGGAAATCACATCTATTTCTGTTTTTTTTGGTTTGTTTTGGGGCCATACTTGGCACTGTTTAGGGGTTACTGTTGGCTCTGCATCGAGGAATGACTCTTTGTAGTGTTCTGAGTACCTTATAAGATGCCAGAGATTTAATCCAGGTCTTACCCACTCTACTATTTCTCAGACCCATGTCTCTTTGAGCCATTTTACAGGATTGGATATACATCGCTAAACACAGGTTTGGAAAGCACACAACACCTAAAGTGAAATCAGGAAAGAAGAAAGGTGGGAAAGGCAAGACACATATGCCCAACAGATGTGGTGCTGCCCCATTAAACTTGATTTACAAAAGTATGAAGCAACAAGGTGAGCATCTGCTAACCTCTGCTTCAATGGAGATCACGGGGAATGTGGAAAGGCACGGAAACAGAAGAGGAAAAACACATCACTGAGCATCAAATACGTATTGCACTGTCCTGCAAATCAACTCCAGCCAAGATGGCAGGAGAGGCACTTTTGCTTCCCTAACAAACTCACTGTAACAGCAGAGAGGATAGTGGGGAAAGAGCTCCTTTACTTTCCTAAAGCCTGCATGCCTGGAGGCACTCAAGCCATGTCTTGTAGAATTTTTGGCTAGAGAAGAATTAGCTGCAGAAAGCTAACTGAACTACTACATAAGTACGGACTGCTCCACTGGGTCACTCCAGCTCTCATCTAGTAGGATAGGTCCAGGGACAGTGAGACTGCAGGAGGAGCAGCCACAGGCCAGAAAACAGAGGAAGAAACCATCTCAGCTTCTCCAGGTATCCACTGACAGATCAACCAACTGATCAAGGGGATTCAAGGAAAGCTCTTCCTGTTTTGTTTTTCTTTCCCCCCTCAACTTACGGTATCTAAGAAGAGGTCACAAAAGTACCTGCGGGACAAGAAGTCTGTGGATGGTGGTGGACAATGGGCACTGATGGAGGGATGGGTATTCAATCATTGTATAACTGAAACCCAAGCACAAAAATTTGTAAATCTACAACTGTACCTCATGGTGTTTCACTAATAAAAATCTTAAATTAAAAAAAAAAAAGTCTGTGGAGATTAAATCAAGAAGAGCAATGGCAATTTGGCTTCTCAGGAAAAGCCCAAGGCTCTGAGATAGGGATTATTTGAATGGAAATAAAAGTCAAGCTGGAAAGTTAGAAAATCAAAATGGCATGCTAAGAGGGGATCTGAAGGAAGAGCACAGGAACCGTGTCCTCAGGTAATTCAAGGAAGAGGGAAAAGATCTGTTCCATCAAAGCAAATGCCATCTTGGCCTTTCTCCATGCTAGGCCTCATATTCCAGATACTGGTTTCTCAGCTTACCCTTTAAATATTCTTTAATCCGCTCCTTCAGCTCCACAGATTTACTTTTGTTTCTTTCACAAATAACCTATTTAAAAGGAAGACTAAGTGAGAACTCAAAATTTATCACATACTATTAAAACTGTGTAACAAAAGCAACATTTAAAGTCAACAAAATAAGCATGGGATGCTGAGTACTTCATAAAACCTACAAAATAACATATGCTGAGGGACTGAAGAGATGGTATAGTAGGTCACATTTAGATCCCCTGTAACCACACCTGGTTCTTTCCCCAAGTCTCACCAAGGGTGATTTCTAAGCACAAAGCCACAAGTAAGCCCTGAGCACTGCTGGGTTTGACCCATAGACCAACAAAATATCACTGTCATCCTACTGTTCATCGATTTCCTCGAGCAGGCACCAGTAATGTCTCCATTCGTCCTAGCCCTGAGATTTTAGCAAGTGCCGCATTGGAGGCTCTTTCAGGGCCAGGGGAATGAGACCCATCACTGTTACTGGGTTTTGGCACATTGAATACGTCATGGGGAGCCTGCCAGACTCTACCGTGCGGGTAGGATACTCTCGATAGCCTACTAGGTTCTCCGAGAGCGAGAACTAGACAATAAGAGGTCGCGCAGCCGCGAATGCCCCAACAAAATATGTTGACTGCAATCTTTCTTCTAGACCACCCCCTATTTTCCAAAAATAGTGTTCAGAGGCTATTCTCAGCTCTATGCTCAGAAGACCTCACAGTGCTAAAGTGACCATTTTAGCATCAAATGAACCCAGGGTTGGCTGCATAAAAGGCAATTGCCTTATCATATGTACTATTGCTCCAGTCCATAGAGATTATTATTATTATTATTATTATTTGCTTTTTGGGTCACACTGGCGATGCACAGGAATTACTCATGGCTCTGCACTCAGGAATTACTCCTGGTGGTGCTCAGGAGCCCATATGGGATGCTGGGAATCGAACCTGGGTTGGCTGCGTGCAAGGCAAATGCCCTACCCGCTGTGCTATTGCTACAGCCCCCAAGATTATTTTACTTTTTTAAAAAAATTAAATCACTGTGAATTACAAAGTTATATAGATATTCATGATTCTGTTGCCTACAAAAGACTATTTTATAAAAGATCAAAAGGTCATGAAGTTGGGGAGATAGCACAGAGGGTAGGCATATTCCTTGCATGCAGTTGACTTGAGTTCAATCCCTGAAACCCCATGTGGTCCCTTGAGCCCCTCTGAGAGTAATCCCTGAATGCAGAACCAAGAATAAGCTAGGGTACGGTCCAAAAATAAAAACAAAAGCAAGAAAGAATAAGTGGTCAGAACAAAAAGACTGACATCTTTGGTGAATTTTATTTTCTTTCCTTTGTAGGGGGCTGTGAAGTTTGGGTTACACTTGGTGGTGTTCAGGAGATCCTTGCAGTCATGTTGGAGATTGAGCCCAGGCCTCCTGCATCCAAAGCATGCACTCCAGCCTATTGAACTCTCTGGCCCAGAACACGGGTATTTTATTTATTTTTGGTTCTGGACTCATACCCAGTAGTGCTCAGGGCTTAGTCTTGGCTCTGTGCTTAGCAATCACTACTGGCAGTGCTCAACAGACCATATATGCTGCTCAGGATCAAACCTCTGTTGACCACATGTTAGGCAAGTGCCTTACCTGCTATACTACTTCTCCAGCCCCAACATAGGTTATTTTATTTATTTTGGCTTTTGGGTCACACCCGGTGATGCTCAGGGGTTACTTCTGGTTCTGTACCCAGAAATTACTCCTGGAGGTGCCCAGGGGACCATATAGAATTCCAGGGATAGAACAAGGATTGGCTGCATGCAAAGCAAATGCCCTCCCCTTGCTGTACTATAGCTCAGGCACCAACACAGGCATTTTAATGTTGTAGTGTGAGAGTCAAATTTCTTAGTCCTTAGAAAGTTTCTGCTTGAAATAATAACTAAATTGCAAGAAGGAAGCATAAAAGTATAACTTCTTATCAACCTGTGAGAGAAATAATAAAAATTGTACAGTGTATACTGTGACTAGAGCAACAACATTTTAGAAAAATATTTCCAAGAGATGTCAAAGCTACAAAAAAAAAAAAGAAAAAGAAAGTGCTCCCCAGAAAAGCGAACGGACTATGTGTTAATCCATACCATCATGCCTGCCCGGAGGGGAAAGGGTGTTGCTCCATTTGCCCTCTCCTCTCTGGAAAGAAAGATGGCGGCCACATGGGAGCCTTGTGGACAGCAGGTATGAGCCGGGGCTCTGGGGATGACGAAAACCTCATGGGAAGAGGGGTGTTCCGGCCCGTCCTTCACGCCCTACCGAGGTCACCAGCTGCCCCCCACGAGCGGCTCTCTGGCACGGCCACGACTCCAGAGCACAGAAACCAATCTCTTAATTATCTGACTTTTAGCAGAAATCTAAAACCGTGCGGCCGCAATAGTGGCCGAGCAACAACATTTAATTTTTGAACCCAGCTGTAGAAAGCAAATCATTTCACAACGCTTTTTCAGCATGTCTGATTTGGGGGGGGGGGGGGGGGGGGGTAAACTCTAAATAATAATGGTGCACCTTTTATCGAAACAATGAATCTAGTCAAAGTAGATAGAGTGTTAACAAGAACTCATCTGCCTCACAGGAATTGGGAGGGGTGGGAGGTGGGGTTTTATTGGGGTTCGTGGTAAAAAATAAGTATTGGTAAAGGGAAATGTGTTTGATATTTGCATGACTGAGACCTAAACCTGAAAGCTTTGTAACTTTTTCCACAGTGATTCAAGAAATAAATAAATTATTAAAAAAAAGTGCTCCCACTAAGTGCTCTGTCCTTATGGCCTGCTAACTGCAATTATATGTTGAAATAATATGCAGATGTGTATATGTAAAACAATGGTAACTTCTGAGTTTTAAAATTATCTGGAGATGGGAGATGCATGATGAGAGTAGACTATAGACGGAACAAGATTGCCAATCAATGTCTCTTTTGCAAACCACAGCACTCAAAAGGAGAGAGACAACAAAAGGGAATGCCCTGCCACAGAGGTAGGATGGGATGGGGGGTAGGAGGGATACTGGGACTGGTGGTGGTGGAGAATGGGCACTGGTGGAGGGATGGGTATTCGATCATTGTATAACTGAAAGCCAAGCACAAAAATTTGTAAGGGGGCTGGAGCAATAGCACAGAGGGTAGGGTGTTTGCCTTGCACGCGGCCAACCCAGGTTCGATTCCCAGCATCCCATATGGTCCCCTGAGCACTGCCAGGGCTGATTCCTGAGTGCAGAACCAGGAGTAACCCTTGTGTGTCACCAGGTGTGACCCAAAAAGAAAAAAAAATTTGTAAGTCTACAACTGTACCCCATGGTGTTTCACTAATAAAAATTTAAGGAAAAAAAATTATCTGAAAAAAAATTTTTTTTGGGGGGGAGAAGTAGGTGGATTTGGATTACACCTGTGATGTGCAAGAGTTACTCGCTTCTATATTCCTGGAAATGCTGGGGACCAAAACCTGGTGAGCCAGATACAGGACAAAAACCCTACCAAGTACTATCTGTCTCTTTTTCATCATTTTTATTTCCTGAACTCTTTATAGACATGGGCAGTATGGCCATATGTACACAAATGTGTACACACACACACACACACACACACACACACACACACACACACATCCCTAGAGAACTACAAAGAAGACATTTGCTACCAGATTAAGATCCAAAAGCAAGTACTTCCAGGATAGCTGACAGCTCCTACACATGGCACAAATTAGACACATCTTTCAGTTCTTGTGAGATTCACTTTCTTTTCTACTGCACAGATTTAGATATACCCCTGCCTTTTCTAAGGCAATCTGTTTAGCTGCCAATGAAGATAATGACAAGGTCGACTTTATCAGACTCGTATGGGTCAGGAGAATATACAGGGGAAGGACTTAGAACAGTACTTGGGGGGCTGGAGAGATAGCACAGTGGGTAGGGTGTTTGCCTTGCATATGGCCGACCCAGGTTTGATTCCCAGCATCCCATATGGTCCCCTGAGCACTGCCAGGAGTAACTCCTGATAACCCCTGTGCATCGCCAGGTGTGACCCAAAAAGAAAAAAAAAAGAAAAAAAAGAAAGAACAGTACTGGGTACACACTGAGCTGAACATGTCAGCTTTTTTAGCATCATAATCACCCTCATCATACTACATGTTCTGTTCTTTCTGGTTAAACTGAGGTATACGAAGAAAGGAAATAATAAAAGACTGTGAGGTGTTGAGAACAACTAATCACCAGCTTCAGAAAAAGTGAAGCAGCAGACTAAGGCAATTCAATCCCTTCTGGCTCTATATACGTATCTTCACAGAGATCATCTTCCTTAGTTCTGAACTGAGTTCTGAGGAGTACGACCACAAAGCAAATAAATCCACACAACTAATCACCAGTAAGTTGCTGTGATTCAACAGTTTCACGTATTTTCTCTTTTTGGTGGTGCAAGGGATCAAACGTAGGGAAAGCTATGTACTCTACCACCAAACCACATTCCCAGCTTATTTCATGTATTCTCATGCCCAATACTGTAGAGAAATAGCATTTGAATAAGTACTTACGTTCTCAGGAGTTTTATCAAATTTATTCCTTGCGTTTTTTACAATCAAAGGGTGTGATGAAAGTACATTGACGACATCTGCATTTCCAAACTTACAAGCAAAATGCAATGGCGTATCATAGCCCTGAGAAAGTTGCAGAAGAGAACAATTATGTCTTATTTATCTTCTTTGTTCCCATAAACATAATAGAGAATTTCATACACTTGGATATGGTGCTTACTGGCCATTGCATTTAAGTGTGCAATTCCAGTGAGTACTAAAATCATATGTGCGTGGAGTACTATGTAGCTGTTAGAAAAGATGAAGTCATGAAATTTACATACAAGTGGTAATACATGGAAAGTATCATGTTAAGTGAAATGAGTCAGAAAGAGAGGGATAGACATAGAAAGACTGCATTCATCTGGGGAATATAAAGTAACAAAATAGGAGACTAACACCCAAGAATAGCCGGGATAAGTACCAGGAGGTTTACTCCATGCCTTGAAGGCCAGCCATACATGCTAGGGGAAAAGGCAGCTCAGACAGGGAAGGGAGCACCAAATAAAGGGTGTTGGGAGGATCCTCCTAGGATGGGAGATGCATGCTCAAAGTAGACTATAAACCAAACAGAATTGCCACTCAATGCCTCTTTTGCAAACCACTGCACCCAAAGGAAGAGAGAGAACAAAAGGGAATGCCCAGCCACAGAGGTAGGGTGGGATGGGGGGTTGGGGGGTGGGAGGGATACTGGGATCAGTGGCGGTGGAAAATGGGCATTGGTGGAGGGATGGGTACTCGATCATTGTATAACTGAAACCCAAGCACAAAAAATTTTTAAGTTTACAATTGTACCTCACGGTGTTTCACTAATAAACATTAAAATAAATAAATAAAATCATATGTGCTATTTCTGGCAAACGCTCCAACCAAGCTAATGCAATCTAAAGTGGACTGAATCCAGGGCTTTACTATCTTCAAGGCTTGTGCTTTACCACTGGAGTTACATTCCTAGCCCCCAAGATGTCATTTTTACAGTGAAAAGTATCTTCTCTTTATAGCTACTTTTTGCCAGGGCTCAAGTCCAGCACCCCATCTAGTTGCCCTGGTCCATACCTATCTGGTGCCCACATCCAGGTTCATTAAAGGGCTCACAACCAAGCAGGGATTTAACACTTGCCCAGTAAACAGTAGCCTTATTTATTCAGGGTCCTTAAAATCTATAAAGTGCAATTAATGCTCAAAAGGTGAAAGAAGAGGGTGAGAGAAATAGTACAGCACCTGCCTCTCATGTGAACAATCCAATCAGGGTTTAATCCCTGGAACCCACAAGATCCTCGAACCTACCAGGAGTGATCCCTAAGTGTAGAGCCAGGAATAAACCTTAAGCACAAGCCAGGTTTGGCCCCAAAACACAAAACTGAAAGGGAGCAGGAAGACACTAAAGGACATACTTTGCATGCAGAGTTCTGGGTTGCATCCCTGGCACATGGTCACTAGCACTGCTAGATTTGGCCTAAGAACAATACAAATAAAATAAGCATTTACTTGTGCTGGGGACTTTGCTCTAATGGTAGAGCACATGCCTTGCCATCTGTGAGGCCCTCGGTTCCATTCTATGAACCACAAAATAAATTGAGGGCAAGAGAGATGGTACAGGAGGTAAGTCACTAGTCTTGCTAATGGTGGCTGATACCCTGGTTCTAATTCCAGCTGGCACCAAGGACTGTCTGAGGTCACTCAAGCACAGAACAGGAATAGCTCCTGAATGTCTCCAGGTGTATCTCTAATCTTCCCTCATTCAAATAAAACAGGTCACTGCTCTTAAGAGAAAATAATAATTTTTTAAAAAGTGAAATAGGGGCTGGAGTAATGGTACAATGGGTACAGCACCTGCAGTGTATGCGATGCCCAACCCAAGTTCAATCCCAGGCACTCCATATGGTCCCCTGAGCACTGCCAGGATTTATTTCCCAGTGCAGAGATAGAAGTATGCCCTAAGCACCAGCAGGTATGATCCCCAAACCAAAACGAAACAAAAAAGTGAAATAAAGGGGCTGGAGACAGTACAGTCTGAACACGCTGTCTCAGGTTTAATCCCTGATACCCCATATGGTCCCCCGAGCCAGCAAGAAGTGAACCCTGAGTGTCAGAGCCAAGGGTAAGCCTTGAGTAATATCAGATGTGGCCCCAAAACAAAGTGAAATAAAGGGGCTGGAGAGACAATAGTACAGCATGTAGCGTGCTAGCCATGCACATGGCCTACCAGGGTGTGATCTCTGCTTGCATATATAATGCCTGAGCCATAAAGGAGTGATCCCTGAGTATAGCACCAAGTGTAAGCAATGAGTACCACTGATTGTAGTCTACAAACAAATATAACACCACAAATAAAATAAGATGAAGTAGAAGGCAATATTCAGATAAAGATAAAACATAAGATGAAGTTGAAGGCAATAATTAGATAAAGATAAAACACTCTGATTTTGCTTTGCTAAAAACTCTATAGGGGCTGGAGCAATAGCACAGAGGGTCGGGTGTTTGCCTTGCATGTGGCCGAGCCGGGTTTGATTCCCAGCACCCCATATGGTCCCCTGAGCACCGCCAGGAGTGATTTCTGAGTGCAAAGCCAGGAGTAACCCAAAAAAACAAAAAACAAACAAAAAAACTGTAGCAGCTAATTAATGGAATAAATAAAATTCTCCCCTCCTAGACACTGGTAGGAAATGTACACCAGTGAAGGGATGGGTATTGGAACATTGTATGACTAAAACCCAATCATGAAAAACTTTGTAGCAATGTATTTCATGGTTATTCAATTTAAAAAATATTCTCCCCTCCTGACTCCTGGATGATACTCAAGAAATTGTCTTTCCTGGGCTCCTTTCCCACAGCTGCACCTTCACCACTGCTTACAGACCAGTGGACTTTAGAGTAACAGTGCCTGAACCAGAAAGCTGTGAAACCAAGTGACTTTGGGATCTCATGCAGAGGTACCACTGACTCAAATACAGCTCATCAATCCCTGGCATCCCTATTGTTATCTTGAGCTTCAGAGTAGTGTTTCCTTTAGCCCAGAGCCAGGAATAAGCCGAGCACAGCTGGGTCCCACACACTCCCAGAGCAAATGGCCAGACTGTAAACACCTTAGATTTGGTAGGATTCCTGAGCTACTGAACAACCTCACTTATTGTCGCAAATTGTAAACCCTAACTTCTTAAAGTTGTGAACCCCAAATGGGGTGTTTAAATTGAATGTAGGGGTTGCAAAAATTGTTTTGAAATAAATTTATTTATTATCAGTAAGTGCTTGGTTTATATACCTGGAGTCACATACAAATTTCTTGGACAGGGGCTGGAGTGATAGTACAGTGGATAGGGCACTTGCCTTGCACATGGCAGATCTAGGTTTGATGTTCGGCATCCCATCTGGTTCCCTGAACCCTGCCAGGAGTGCAGAGCCAGGAGTAAATAAACAAACAGATGGATGTGGGCCCCCAAAACAAAGAAAGAATTCTTGGCCAGAAAGATAGTACAGCAGGTACACATCTGAGCTGGGTTTGATCCCTGACACCACATATAGTCACCCAAGTCCTGGTAGGAGTTATGCTTGAGAACTGCTGAATGTGGTCCAACACAAAAGCAAAACAATTTTTTTGAACAGGGTCTTGAGTGGAAAAAAATGTAAGAAATTAGTTGTAAGCAAGATAGAATAAGCGTGGAAGACTGGGGAGGTGGCTCAAAAGGCTAGAGCCCTGGGTTCAATTCCCACTGCCACATCCCCTGAGTAGGAGTTCAAGAGAAGTCTCCAAACACTGTTGTAGGTGTTGTCCAGAAAAAGACAAAAGAAGAAAACAAAAGAAAATGGTGGCTGTGTCCAATAAAGCTTTACTTAAATAAGCTATGCTGTAGACTTCCTTTGATTTTCATCTTTTTTTTTCCCCTTTGACCAAACCTGACTGTTCTCAGGGCTTACTCCTAGCACTGCAGTCAGATCACTCCTGGTTGACTCAGGGTACCCTAGGCATGCTGGGGACTGAACCTAGGTAGGCTGCATACAAGACAAGCACCTTACCTACTGTATTATCTCTCTAGTCCCTGATTTCCTTCCTTAATGTTCTGCCTGAGACCACTCTAGCCCTCTGGTCCAAGCTACAGCCCTGTGAAAGTTAGGATGCTACACTCCTATGTTGCCTGTCTTTCTTTGGCATTCAGAGTATCTGAACTCAGGAGTTCTCACTTTCTACTCCCTTTGGTTCTTCTCTCCTTCACACAGTATATTTTCCTTCTCCCTTCCTTTATTTTGGTAGGGGTCCACAACTGGCTGTTCTCAGATCTTATTCCTGGCTGTGAACTCAGTCTCACAGAGGTGGGAGTGATGGGGCCAAATGGGGTACCAGAGATGAAACCAGGGTCAGCAATGTGCAAGTCTGCTGTACTATTGCTCTGGTCCTGAACACACGTATTTCTAACTAGGTCCAAACTACTACTTGCTTCATTCCTATCAGAAGCTCCTTCTCCTACACAAGTTTCTATGGGTTCTTCCAACATTCCTGCTAATCCAGCCCTACTTTTTATCCACACATACTCGAGAGCTCTTTGCTTTCCAAATAGCCTAAGTACTTGTGGTCAATAATGAATGATTCTTACTCTTAGAGGTTAATGATATATGGTCCCCCGTGCTTGCCTAGAGGGATCCTGAGTGCAGAGGAAGAAGCCCCAGACACAGCTGGGTGTTGTGCCCACCAAACAAAAAAACAAATAAAAGATATGTGCATGCAGGGCACAATTCTATATTAATAAATTTCCTCTCCTGCTAACCACAACTTTCCTAACTCCCATGTTCTACCAAGAATTTATAATTCTAAATTATATTTGAATTTTCCCTTATGTAACTCGTCTACTATAAGAATCCTTATACACTAGTAAAATCATCCAATTCAGAACTGGAGAGATCATATAGGGACTAAGGCACTTGTCTTGCATGTGGCTCACTTTGGTTCCATTTTTGACACTCCATATGGTCACCCAAACAATGTCAGGACTGATCCGTGCATACAAAGCAAGGAGTAAGTTCTAAAAAAAGCTAGGTGTGGCCAAGAAAACAATTTTTTAAAAGAATAATTTAAAAAATTGGGGACGGAGTGCTAGTACAGCAGGTAGAAAGCTTGCCTTGCATACGGGTGACCTGGGTTTGATCCCTGGCACTTCATATAGTGCCCAAGAAGTGATTCCTGGGTGCAGAGTCAGGATTAAGCCCTGAGCACCTCTGGATGTGGTCTCAAAACAAAATTATTAAAAAAACAAAATGTTTCTACTCAGGGACCAGATAGTATAGGTGTTTTGGTGTTTCACTTGCATGCAGCCAACACAAGGCGGATACGCACAGAACACTGAAGTAGATGGCACCAGAACTTTTAAACTTTCTTTTCTCTTTAATTTCTGGCATTCATCCACACACTCCAACCAAAGTCCAGCTCAGGAGTCTCCTAACAAAGGCTAGGAGGGATGTTTCCTTGGAGACTATGCACACCCTCGTTGATGGAGTGGAACTCTGGTGTGAGTGTGCAAGTTTTTTTTTCCAATCAAACTTATATGAGCCCTCTAAACTCTTCTCTCATCCTCTACATGCACATGAATGTGATATGGTGATTCATTAAATGCTTAATACTAGGAACACAATTCTCGTTTTAACTGTAAGACTGGCTTATAACTTCCACTAAGTAGACGCAAAAAGGCACACTTACTACTTTATCAGGAGTATTCAGGTACAGATCAACAATATAACAGATACGTTTCTGCAACATGCTTGGGTTGTCATCTGGGTACATAAGTCGCATAAATTCGGGGTCTTCTAGAGTCTCTAGAACCAGCTGGCAGATAGAAGCTTGATTCTCTTTGGCAGCAACATGCATGACATTGTACCTACATCCTTCCTGGTAAAGAAAACAAAAACCAACCAGATAATGAGATCATATTTGTGAAAATACAGTCTTCTGCTAACAATGCTGAAAAGCAGGCTTACCTGTACAATGGTTGGGTTATCCCCTGACCCAATTAGATACCGAGGATTACTCCAGATGAGATCACGAAAAGTATCTTCTTCTCCATTCTCCACAGCTTTTCGAAGTTTAGCAGTGAGATCTTGTGTGCGCGGATTTTTGTAACTGTTTGCTCGCTCTCTGTTCACTGCTTCTGACTCAGATAAGTACAAGCCACCTATCATTAAGACAGAATTATAAAAAAAAAGGACAGAGTATTTAACTTCACAAATGTCCACTATATTCATTATATGCTACATTTAAAGCAAAAAAAATTCTCTCCTGCAGGTGCTGGAGCGATAGCACAGGGGGTAGGGCATTTGCCTTGCACACGGTTGACCCGGGTTCGATTTCCAGCATCCCATATGATCCCCCGAGCACCACCAGGAGTGATTCCTGAGTGCAGAGCCAGGAGTAATCCCTAAGCCTGAGCATCGCCGGGTGTGACCCAAAAGGAAAAAAAAAAATCTCTCCTACAGGGGTCAAAGACAGGTCAAAGGGACAGTGTACATGCTTTTGCATAAGGGAGGGCTGGGTGTGATTCACAGCTCTGAATGGTTCCCTTGTACCATCAAGAAAGGCCTCTTAAATACCCACAAAATAATTTTTTTATTCCCCAAAGGAAAGAGTGAGTAAGAGGAAATGTACCTGCCACAGAGGCAGGAGGTAGGAAGAGGTGGGGGTAGTGGGAGGGATACTGGGAACATTGGTGGTAGAGAATGGGCACTGGTGGAGAGACGGATATTCAATCACTGTATGACTGAAATGTAATCATGAAATTTTCTAAGTCTGTAGCTGTATCTCCACAGCCAGGTTGAGGAGGCTGTTCAGTCCGAATGCCTGGACCAAGCCCTGGCCGTGTGGAGTCTCCAGCAGACAGCCGCCTTGCTGCATGGTCCTGGCCACCCTCTACCAGCTAGCAGCAAAGGTAATGGGCAGAATGTGCGTGCAGACCAGAGATCCGGCCGCTTCACCTGTGTGGGGCTGGTTTGTGTCTGGGCCACACCTGGCGAGGCTTAGGGCTCCCTCCTGGCAGGATGTGATGTGCACGTGCCAGGCCAGGGCCTTGCCCAATGGACTAGCTGACTAGCTTTCCGGCCCCTGGCTTAGCTTCTTCTTTTTTTTTTTAATTTTTATTAGTGAAACACCATGAGGTACAGTTGTAGACTTACAAATTTTTGTGCTTGGGTTTCAGTTATACAATGATCAAGTACTCATCCCTCCACCAGTGCCCATTTTCCACCACCACGGGTCCCAGTATCGCTCAGCTTCTTAATCTTGTTTTTGGAGGCACATCCGGCGATGCTCAGGGCTTACTCCTGGCTCTGTGCTCAGAGATCACATCTGCAGTGCTGGGGGTCAAACCCCGGCCGGCTGTGGCACCTTCCCTGCCACGCTGTCACTTGTTGCAGTCTCCCAGGGCTTCAGTCCGATCTGTTAATACGGCACTAAGCTGCTGCCCCTGGGAACCCGAGTTTCCTTATTTGTAAATTGAAGGCACCACCACCGCCGCTGCTCTCGGGAAGAATGTGCGGAGTTAGATGTTTCCCCTAATTATTACTATTTTTTAACTTAGTCACTGCGACAGTACAAAGTTATTCATGACTAGGTTTCAAGCTTGATGTTGGAACCCCTCAAGCTTGGAAAATCACTTCTCATACAATTATATACTCCTGGTTGTAGTCCCATTTCGGAGAGGGATCACTGCTTTTGAAACTGGTTCTGTTAATGCAAGAATGGAAAGAGTTGAGAAACGTATACACTCTTTCAGAATTCTTTCTGTGCTTGCTACTTTGGATATTTTAATCCACATAAAATTAGACTATCTCAGCACACCCCTGGTGTGTGTAAGTGAACATTTCTGGGGTTGGTGTAAGGGAAGAAGTGGATCTAGAAGTTAGTCAAAGTTAAATTAGTTTCTGTGGAAGAGCTGGTAAGCTGAATGATTTAATCAGTTCAGTGATTTAAATGAGATTTTTTGTTTTTGTTTGCCATATCCAGTGATGCTCATGGTTTACTCCTGACTCTGCACTCAGCAATTACTCCTGATGGTGCTCAGGCATCCTTAAGGGATGCCGGGGGGATGAAACCACGTTGGCTGCATGCAAGGCAAGCACTTTACCCACTGTACTATCGCTCTAGCTCCATATCTGAGTTTTATTCCTACTTTGAATATTGAAGGTACCAGCAGAGGAACAAAGGCATGCGGGTCCCGGGGCTGAGATCTCCAAGCCTGCTCGCATCGGGGCTGAGCATCCTCCACCCAGATCCTCCATCTTCCAGTAGGCAGGGGTCACACCCACCAACTGACCCCCTGGCGCCGTGTAATCCCATCAATGGCCAAGACCTAGAGACTACAAAACCCAGCTCCTGGAAGAGAACAGCGCAGAGTCTCCTGCCCCCGCGCCTGGTTGTCCTCACCGGAACCTTGCCGGGGCCCCTTGGAGGGGGACGGGTTGAGTTTCCCTATCTGCCCCGAGCAGAGCTCTGGCAGCCGAAGACCTCCAAAACCAGCCACAACCATGCTGAGACCACTCTCCACATGCATGAAGGTACCGGCAGAGGAACAAAGGCATGCGGGTCCCAGGGCTGAGATCTCCAAGCCTGCTTGGATTGGGGCTGAGCATCCTCCACCCAGATCCTCCATCTTCCAGTAGGCAGGGGTCACACCCACCAACTGACCCCCTGGCGCCGTGTAATCCCATCAACGGCCAAGACCCAGAGACTATAAAACCCAGCTCCAGGAAGCGACATCTTATTATCTCATTCTTACTTTGGACAACCTGGCAGGCTACCGAATGTAACCTGTCCACCCGGTAGTCTGGCAAACTCCCCATGGTGTACCCAGTATGCCAATACCAGTAACAATGATGGGTCTCATTCTCCTAACCAAGAAAGAGCCTTGAATATGGCGCTTTTTAAAATCTCAGGGCTAGGACGAAGGAGACGTCACTGGTGCCTGTTCGAGGCAATCGACGAACAACAGGATGATTGTGATCGTGATTCCTATTTTCATTGAGTAGATCTATTTCAGGCTGGAGCTATAGCACAACGGGTAGGGCGTTTGCCTTGCACGCATCTGACCCAGGTTCGATTCTGCCGTCCCGCTTGGAGAGCCTGGAAAGCTACTGAGAGCATCCTGCCCGCACAGCAAAGCCTGGCAAGCTACCTGTAATGTATTCAATATGCTAAAAACAGTAACAACTAGTCTCACAATGGAGACATTACCGGTGCCCGCTTGAGCAAATCGATAAACAGGAGGACAGTGCTATAGTGTAGCTGTATCTCATGGTGAGTCATTAATAAAATAAAATAACATAAAATAAAATTTTGTTGTTTCTGGGCCACACTCTGCAATGATTAGGGTATGGCCCCCACCCCCTAAAAATCTTGGGGTCTGAGATAGTCCAAGCTTTAAGGTACCTAACCTTGCATTTAGTCACCCCCAGTTTGATTCCTGGCACTGCCTAGTCCCAAAGCACTGCTGGGTATGGTCCAAAAACCCCAAAGATAAACACCAAAATCTCTCCTAAGAAGTTTAAAACTTAGCTGGAAATAATTATAATACACACTATGTAGCAGCAGAATGTTATGTCCTAGCCTACAATGCTGTCACATGTGATCTAGACAGAAATACTCCACCAGAGACCGGGGCAGAGCCAGGAATACACCCTAAGCACTGCTGAGTGTGACCTGCTCCCCCTTCACTCCAAAATAAAGAAAGAAATACACTACCAGATTATATGTCGGGAAAAACTTTGTAAAGTTGTCAAAGAGGGGAGAGACATTGACCAAGGGAACACAACCACATACACACAGGATCTTCCCTTAGGACAGGTTTCCCAAAGGCAGAATGAGTTCAAACTGATTAATTACAGATTAATTATAATCTGAAAATGTCTGAGTAACCTACTTTAGGATGATTCCCTCTTCAGTGAAGAGGGAAAAAGGGGACTGAAGTCATTTGCATTTCCATCTGGAAGAACCTATGAACAAGTCACGGACGGAGAAAAGGAGATAGGAGGGTCTTTTCTGGAATACCAGTCAGCCTGGTAAGCAGGTAAACGGTGAATTTCAGCAACGAGACTGAAACAGGCCACACAGGTCCCTGCCTAGAACTTGATTCCGAGAGAGGGGGTATGTAGTCAGATTTCTAACTATATGGTTTCTACAGGTGACCTGAATTTTGTCAAGAAAGATCATCTGGGTCAAAGCAGAGACCACAATCCTAAAAACAGGTGCAGCAGAAGATTCAGGTGGGAAGTAGGACCAAAGCGGAAGAAGAAAGAGATAAAAACAAAGGGGAATAGAAGGAGCAACTGTGGGGCCCTTCTCTCCTCCCCCAGCAGTGTTAGCTTTGTGACCAAATCCCGCACACATCCATCCCCACCCCGCCAATACCTCTACCCTCATGGTTCCTGGTTCATCCCAGACCAGATAACTTGACACACTGTGCTTTGGCCACCCCATATTCTGGGCTTCAATTCTGAGTAAATGTGATAGTAATATGACAGATTAATATAATATACTTTTTTTTTTTTTACTTTTTGGGTCACACCTGGCAATGCTCAGGGGACCATATGGGATGCTGGGAACCGAACCCGGTTGGCCGCGTGCAAGGCAAACGCCCTACCCGCTGTGCTATCTCTCCAGCCCCTATACCTTTAACCTACCACTGCCATTAAACAGTGGTTCTATTTTTATAGGAGAGAACACTAAGTTTTGTTTGGAGAAGAAAAATAATCACAAATACCTCTAGCAAATTTCTCAGCATCTTCTCTGCTTGAAAAGGCTTTAAATCGGGACCCTTTCATCATTTTAACAGCTTGCAATGCTTCCTTTTTGTCTTCAAAAACATGAATTCTTTCTGCATGTAAAAAGTAACAAAATAAAAAACTGAAGAGTCATTATCATTTCATTCACACCTGAAGATTTTAAGCTTAATAAGAAAATGATTTAACAAGTCATTTGATTGTTTTTCTTACTTTAGATTTCAAAATCTGAAGAAAAAGGACATTAGTGAAACAAAAGAGCACAATAAGTTTGGTTATACACCTGTGTTGAAAAAAAAATACGTGCAAGGCAAGCATCCACTGTACTATCTCTCCAGCACCAGAATCCAATCTTTGATTTTTTTTGGTTGGTTTTGGGGCCACATCCAGTGGTGCTTAGTGGACTGAACCTGGGGCTCCTCATGCAAACCGAGTGCTAGTCCATCTCCCCACCCCTAGAACCCAATTTTTAAAAATTAGAAATTCAGTAAAGTCGGGCTGGAGCAATAATACAATGGGTAGTGTTTGCCTTGTATGCGGCAAACCCAGGTTCAATCCTCAGCTTCCAATATGGTCCTTGAACCTGCCATGAGGGATCCCTAGGTGTACAGTCAGGAGTAAGTAAGCCCTGAGCACTAACAAGCATGGCCTCAAAACAAAACAAAAATATCAGAGAAATTTACTGATAAAAATTTGGTTAGCTAACCGAATGCTAAAATGCTAGCCAAAGAGCCTGGGGCTGATATGCATGGTTTGTATGCAGAAGGCTCCAATTTGATCCTCAGCATGACATGGTTATTCGGCAATGGTGGGTGTGGTCTCAAAACCAAAATTAATGCTAACAACGGTTAATTTGGGGTGATGGGATTATGATTTACCTAACCCTTCTTCTATATAGTTTATAGATTTACAAATCACCCCCACCACCCCATGCTGTTCATACACCAACACCCTGGTAAGAAACATCATGCTTGGGACATTACCATTTTTCACAGGAGTATCCTCATATGGTGGGCACACTCCATAGTACAGAAGTGGCTCTTTAGAGATCTTCATCACAGCTTTGTGGCTGTCAACCCCAGCAATGCCTCTGGATAATGAGCAGGTCTCAGATGTCACGCTATCTTCCTCTGGAAAATTCAAACCCATGCTATATCCAAAATCTCTGTCTTCAGAAAAATTGATATGCTCAGCAGAGTTTCCTATAGCTGACTTCAAAATCCTTTGTGTGTCCTGGCTGAGAGCTTCATGTTCAGAAGGAGGTGAAGACAATGTTTTTCCATGCTCTAATAAAGCCTGAGCCAATTTTTTCTCAAAAATAAATCTTGTGGTTGATGTAATAGGTCCACATTTCAACCCAGCTTTGACAATTTCTTCTCTGAGGTCATCTGGATTTAGGAGTTTCAACTGAGCCAAGATAGAATCCATTGTCATTTCACCTAGATCAAAAACAAGAAAATATCAATTTGATGATAAAATTACGTATTTTCTTATTTTTTAAAAAAGGTGTCAAGGTGTTCATACAGTAGAGGGGATCTGCTCTGCACACAGCCAGCTGAGTTGGGTTCAATTTTCAGGAACACATGTTACCCAAAACCTTGCCTGGAATGATCCCTGAGTGCAGAGCCACAAGTAAAATGAGCACAGTGGCGTGTGGTCCAAAAACCAAAAATAAAATAAAACAAAGGAAGGGGGCTGGAGTGATAGTACAGGGGATAGGACGTTTGCCTTACAGGCAGCGGACCCAGGTTCAAACCCTGGTATTCATTCTGGTCCACTGAGCATCACCAGGAGTAATTTTTGAATGTAGAGCCAGGAATAACGCCTGAGCATTGCCCAGGGTGTGAATCAAAAAGCCAAAAACTAAAAAAGATAAATAAAAGTAAAGAAATTGAGATAGGTCCATAGATGGAATGCTGTTACCCTACTTGAGTGATTATGCTAGAAACGAACACTGTGAATTTAAGAAAATAATTTACAAAACTTAACTATCTAAAGAATATTCCTGGGCTGGAGAGATAGCTCAGTGGGTAGGGCATTTGCCTTGCAGGTGGCCAACCCAGGTTCGATTCCCAGCATCCCATATGGTCCCCTGAGCACCGCCAGGAGTAATTCCTGAGTGCAGAGCCAGGAGTAACCCCTGTGCAGCATCGGGTGTGACCCAAAAAAGAAAAAAAAAAAAAGAGTATTCCTGGGAAACCATCACCTGGCTTTCCCACAGTGGCAAGCGACATCTTTCCGAGTTTTCCAAGCCAGGGCACTCACTATTGCAAGTCAACGAGAGCTAGGTCACAGACCTAAACTTCTGGAATCACTCTGCACGTGCAGTTCCATGAGCTGATCACGCAGGTTTCTAATCAATCATGATACCGAAACCAGTCCATCAGAACTGCTCGTCACAGCCCTTCAGCGTCACACTCAACCTTCTCTGCAGTCCCAAGCCGGGATCTGTTCTCTCGCACCACAATTTCTTCTTTCCAGCGTTACCCGAGCACAATCTTAGGCCACACTTGGCTGAGCTGAGGGACCAGACAGCAGCGGGGACTGAACCTGGGCACTTCAGGAGTGGAGGGAAAGAAGCTGACTCCCCGCAGGGACACCTGAGGCTTGGGAGGTGGCTCCAAGCACACTCAATCCCCAACCTCGCACGGTCCTCGGGGCACCACGCCGAGAGCACCTCCGAACTACTATCAGGGGGATCAAAACGCAAAACCTGAAACACGATAAGCGTCATCTGATTGTTGTTTCCCGCTTTCCTCGACAAAGTCGTTCGAGTGCAAAAAGGACACTCACCCCTTCTCCCTCGTCCTTCTGTCTGCTATCACAGCGCCACTGCACCGGCCCGGGTGTCCCCCGAGTCTCGGGCGGGCGTGGGCAGGGTGCATCCCGTACGCCACTCCGTGGAGTTCCCTAACGGGGACAAGTTTGTTCCCGGCCGCGGCGGGACCCGCAGCCTGCAGAGGCTCTCGGCCCCCGGCTGTTCCCTCCGCAGCGGGGCCGAAGCCAGGGAAGGGCGAGGAGAGCTCGGCAGGGCGCGCGCACGCGGGCGCCGCCTTACCTGAGTGCGGTACCGGTACTGCGGCCGCGCGCGGAGGCACAGCCGGGATCCCGCTGCGGCCCAGGCTCCGCTTGTCCAGGCGCCGCACCAGCCAGCGCACGGCGAAGAGCAGCACCGACGCGCCCAGCAGCTCCCAGGCCAGCGCTGCCCACTCGGCCTCCAGGCGCGGCCACAACATCGGCGCGGCAGCGGAGGCCCCTTCAGGCCCGGGGACTGCCCCGATGAGGCCCCGCTGAGGCCCCGGGATACGCCCTCAGGCTCCCTCAGGTTCCCGGTAAGGCCGCCTCAGGCCGCGCCCAGGCCCCCTCAGGCCGCGCCCAGACCCCCTCAGGCCCCCGGTAAGGCCGCCTCAGGCCCCCAGTAAGGCTGCCTCAAGCCGCGCCCAGGCCCCGTTTAGGCCGCACTCAGGCCGCGCCCAGGCCGCGCTCAGGCCCCGCTCAGGCCGCGTCCAGGCCCTGCTCAGGCCGCGCCCAGGCCGCGCTCAGGCCGCACTCAGGCCGCACTCAGGCCGCGACCGGGCCTCGCCAAGGCCTCGCTCAGGCCCCCTCAGGCCGCGCTCAGGCCCCCTTAGGTCCCCTTAGGACCCTTCAGGCCCCCTCAGGCCCCCGAGCTGTCCGCTTCTCGCCTGGCGGGAGCAGCGGGCGGACGGCGCGGCAGGCAACGGCGTGGGCAGCCCGGGTCCTCAGCCTGCTTCCGGGGCGGGGCTCCAGGGGGCGGGCCGAGTCCCGGGGGCCGCGGGGAGTGTAGAGAGTGCTGGGGTCTCAGGGCGCCCCCGGGCTTTCGCGAACCCAACGTGCCTCCCCGTTTCCCCCCGCCCCCCCCCCCCCCCCGAAGCCGCGGGCCTCGCAGTGACGGTGGCACCCGCCGGTTGGCGCGGTTCTGGTTGAGGCCAGAAAGGGAGCACTGCAGGTGACTTGTCGCACCTGCAATGGAATTCCGTTTTGTTTGGGGCACACCTCACTACCGGGCGGTGCGGGAATCGTCCCTGCAGCCACATGAAGGCCACGTTAAGGGCCGCTGCACTCGGTCGCAGCTGGTGGTGATCACATACATGAGTGCTTGTGATGGCAGTGTCCGTGTTCTACGTGCAAGGAAAAGGAGAACTTTCCTGCATGTGATTTTTGGGTAATTTTTTTGTTTAGTTTTGTGTCACGCCCAGCGATTCTCCGGGTTACTCCTGGCACTGCACGTCGGGAACTCTGGTGGGTGATGGGACGATGGAGATCGAATCTGGCTTAGCTGCGTGCAGGGCAAACACCCGCCCTGCTGTGCTATAACACAGCGCAGTATGATCACTCAAGTCCCCGGTCTTTTAAAAAAGTGGTTTTGGGCCCACACCCGACCCTGCTCAGGGGTTACTCCTGGCTCTGCACTCAGGAATTGCTTATGGCGCTGCTCTGGGGGACCGTATGGAATTCTGGGTATCGAATCCACATCGTTGCGTGCGAGACAAACACTCTAGCCACTGTACTATTTGCTCTGGCTCCTGGAGAGGAACTTTTTGCTGCAACTGTCCCACCTGTCAAAAAGGCTTGAATGGATAAGGTCTGCTTCCGTCTTGGTGCTCCGGGCCACTCAGCCACTAGCTATTTTGTTGTTTAGGTGCAATGTGCTCTCCAGTACTGATGTTGTGGACATGGAGCAGGATTCTAGGACACTTGAGCAGGACTTTGCTTACTAACTCCAGAGGCAATAAGAAACCAGGATCAGACTGTACAAGATTTGCAAGTCAAGCTGTGTTGTCAGGAGCAGACATGCCCTTCAGAGTGGGAGGAGATGCCTGCAGGTGGGGAGTAGTCAAAGTCAGGGACCAAAATGAGGCAAGATTGAGGGGCAAGGAAGATAAAGCATTGGAGCATTCACAAAGTATGCAAAAGCCCTGGGTTTGATCTCTGGCACATTGGGGCCCATTCCCCAAAAGAAATAGATCAGGGTCAGGGAGATAGAACTCAGGGGTATGGCACTTGCCTTGCATGTGGTCAAGCCTAATTAAATCCATGGCAACACAAAACCTTCAGGAGTCACTCTGAACAAGCTGGGTATGGCCTGACCCATCTTTCCCCCAAAAGGAAACAGATGAGTGATCCGTCCACTAAATGTGTCAAATATGTCATTTAAAACTGATGTAAAGCTAACCAAGTTGGAATAGCCAGTATTTTATTTTGGTGTTTTTAAAACTGAGCTATATGTCTTGAGTTTAGTTTTCGTGAGTGATAGCACAGCGGGTAGGGTGCTTGCCTTGCATGCGGCTGACCCAGGTTCGATTTCTCCATCCCTTCTGAGCCCGGCTACGGAGAGTATCCCGCCCACACAGAAGAGCCTGGCAAGCTCCCCGTGGTGTATTCGATATGCCAAAAACAGTAACAAGACTCACAATTGAGACGTTACTGACACCTGCTTGAGCAAATTGAGGAACAACGGGTGGACAGTGCTACAGTGCTAGATTTAATACTACACCCAGTAGTGCTGGAGGGAGGGGCACCCCAGCTTGTTTGGATTACTCCTGGCAGTGCTTGGGTACTGGAAATAAAACCTGAGTCTCCCACATGCAAAGCATGTACTTTGGCCTTCTAAGTCATTTCTTCAGCCTTCCAGTAGTTCTGACCCAAGTTATGTGTAAAAAGCCTGCAGATACAATCCTATGATACTTAGGTAATTGTCCATGAGACCTTGGTCACTCCCTAAATGTTTCCCTCACCATATCCATGGAAGGACACTGTCTAGGAGATGATGATGATCCTGAGCCCTTGTTAAGCCTCTAGCTCCAGGACATCAGCTTGGGAGTGAGGAGCCTGCTACAGAGAGTTATACCCACACCACATAAAGGACCGAGACAGGGCTGGAGGAATAGCACAGTGACTTAGACTGCCTTGTAAACACATGGTCATGAGCTCAAATTGTGTCAAACATTCACTGAGGGCAATCCTGGCAGCTTGGCTGCCTGTGATCTCTGGCACCACAAGTGACGTCTGGCCATACTAAAGCCAGGAGTGTGTCACAATCACGATCACGATCATCCTGTTGTTTGTTGATTGCCTTGAGCAGGCACCAGTAACGTCTCCTTCGTCCTAGCCCTGAGATTTTAAAAAAGTGCCATATTCAAGGCTCTTTCAGGGGTTAGGAGAATGAGACCCATCATTGTTACTAGTATTTGGCATATTGGGTACACCACAGGGAGTTTGCCAGACTCTGCCATGTGGGCAGGTTACATCTGGTAGCCTGCCAGGTTGTCCAAAGTAAGAATGAGATAATAAAATGTCGCTTCCTGGAGCTGGGTTTTATAGTCTCTGGGTCTTGGCCGTTGATGGGATTACACGGCACTGGGGGCAGTTGGTGGGTGTGACCCCTGCCTACTGGAAGATGGAGGATCTGGGTGGTGGATGCTCAGCCCCAATCCGAGCAGGCTTGGAGATCTCAGCCCCAGGACCCGCATGCCTTTGTTCCTCTGCCGGTACTTTCATGCGAAGGTAGTGTGTGTGAGCACCAAAAAAGGGTATAACCCCTGGACAGCACTGCATGTGTGAGCACTATGTGAGGCCAGGAAATGCCATCTGGCAAGTAAGTGAATGAATAGCACCATGGCCCCCACGAACACCACAATCAGTACTGTACGTCACTATGAAGAGTACTCACCCCAGCAAGCGTTTTTGCAGGTAATGCATAGATCTCAGTGAGCTCCATGGTTGAGTGTGTGTGCAAGCACCACAGCTATAAAGGTGCAAATGCTTCAGCCAACCATATGTGCAGCCCCAACCACTGCAACAGCACCATCAGCAAGGAAGGGAAGAAAGAGGGCTGTCAATGTCACTGTCTTCCCATTGGTCATTGATTTGCTCTAGTGGGCCCAGTAACGTCTCCATTGTAAGACTTGTTGTTACTGTGTTTGGCATATCGAATATGTCATGGGTAGCTTGCCAGGCTTTGCTGTGTGGGCAAGATACTCCTGGTAGCTTGCTGGGCTCTCTGAGAGGGGCGGAGGAATCAAACTTGGGTCGGCCATGTCGGCTGTGTGCAAGGCAAACGCCCTACCTGCTGTGCTAGAGGGAGGGCAAGAAATTAATTTTAATACACAAACCTGAATTAAAGCAAAGACAGTTTAACTGTTTCTCAGTGCTTCCAGGAAAGATATTGCTACTTTTTTTGGTGTACTTTATTACTAGAATTTACACCATTCATTGTAAATATAAAAGTAGGCAAGCAGAAATCCAGTAAATTAGGCTTCTTGACTTAGAAGTGACTGGTTACTGAGTTCTCAATAATCAAATTCTCAAGCTGTTTACTGAGAATTTGTATTTACAATACTTACATTGTAAATACAAAAGCAAGCAAGCAGAAATCCAGTAAATTAGGCTTCTTGATTTAGAAGTAACTGATTACTGAGAATTCCTTCTCACCTAGGAAGGGTCTGGAAGCTCTTCCAATAACTCATGTTTATCCACTGAACTGGCCGAAAGGGATATAACTCATTACTTTTTTTTAAGAGGGGAGGGGGACACATCTGGTGGTTCTTCAGGCTTCCTCCTGGCTCCGCACTCAGGAATCACTCCTTGAGGTGCTCAGGGGATGTAGGGGAACAAACCTGGGTTGCCCATGTGCAAGACAAATGCCCTACCTGTTGTACTATCACTCTGGCCCCAACAACTCTATATATGTTTGTTTCCTAAGTAGTCTGCTTCTGCAAACTACACGAGGTAGATTTCTAATAACTGAATGAATGATGGTAAAGAGGATCACAGTCACAGTCACGGTCCTCCCGTTGTTCATCGATTTGCTCGAGCGGGCCCAGTAACGTCTCCATCATGAGACTTGTTGTTACTGTGTTTGGCATATCGAATACATCACGGGTAGCTTGCCAGGCTCTGCTGTGCGGGTGAGATACTCTCGGTAACTTGCCGGGCTCTCCGAGAGGGGCGGAGGAATCGAACTCGGGTTGGCCATGTTGGCCGCTTGTAAGGCAAACGCCCTACTGCTGTGCTATCGCTCCAGCCCTGAGGTAAAGAGGATATACCTCAAAAAATTATTTGATGAAAAACAAAACTTAGGGGCTGGAGCAACAGCACAGCAGGTAGAGCGTTTGCCTTGCACGCGGCTGGCCCAGGTTCGATTCCCAGCATCCCATATGGTCCCCTGAGCACCGCCAGGAGTGATTCCTGAGTGCAAAGCCAGGAGTAACCCCTGAGCATTGCCGGGTGTGACCCAAAAAGAAAAAAAAAAACTTAGCAATATATCCACCAACTTGTTATTTCAGTGCCTGCCAATGTTTAGTAACTTGTAGGCATAAGGGAAAACTTTATGTAAGAATATTGTCTTTGTAATTATTGAAGGAGGAAACACACACACACACACACACACACACAAAACACTATCATGTATTTCAGAAAGTTAAGGCCACAGAAAATGGTTAGGGAAACTTCATTTAGATCCATGTGTTACATTAATTGCCTTTTGGTGTGAAAGTCAAGGTCTATCAGGAAAAATGTATACAGTACACCACAAAGTTAGATTCTGTGACCACTGGTTTAACATTTTACTGTGTCCACTCTCCTTGCTCTCTGTGTGTGTGTGTGTGTGTGTGTGTGTGTGTGTGTGTGTATCTGTGTTTACCATGCTACTATACCATTTTATTGAAAACTCAATACTTGGCTTATCTTACAGGTCAAAATGGAACATGGAGAAAATAAAGTAGAAATCAGAAGCCTCTAATAGAGTTGGGGCCCAAGTGGGTCAGCAAGGACTGTGGAGGGAGACCAAGTTGTCTCAGAGGCCCACCCCTGTTGGCAGAAGTGCTTGTTGCCTTGCACTTCCTGCACATGGTAGCTGGTGGCTGGCGAAGTCAAAGGTGCTGCTCCTCTATGGCCAGGCAACATAGTTTACAGTAATGTGAGATAAAAAAATGACAGAACATAAATATTAAGATGAACCCTCCCAAATAAAATCTTCACCAAAGTCTTTATCGAAAGTCTTTACCAAAAAATAGTGTTTATTGCACAAAATTTAAGGATTTCCTAAGCAAGCTTAAATGTGTGTGTATATATGTGCACACACATTTATTTTATATATGTATGTGTGTATACACACATTTTTTTTTAAATCAACATGCTTTTCAGTCACAATCTGTAGAGCATGGTGACAACTTCCCCTGAACAGCCCCAACTGAGGACTCCCTTCTTCAAGAAAATTTTTCATAGGAGAGTAACTTGAAACTTTTATCTGAGGTAGCCTTGAGGCCTCCAGGATACTTTGCTTTTCAGGTACACAGTCTGTTGCACTACTAGAAATCTTTGCACACATTTCATTTTTGTAAAAAAAATATATATTTGTGGAAGTAGGAATGTAATGGTAATTTTGCAGGCCCATGGCCGTTTCCATATCTCTATTCCAAAAAAAGTCACTACACTATTTCCTAATTGGAATATGCCAATGTGTCTTCCCAGAGGGTCAGCCTGTCACTGATGCCAGGCCAGAACAAGAGACAGTGCTATCTCTTATAAAAAATGGTGCCTAAGATGTCTTTGCAATAGAAGAATGAAGCTGTATAAATGTACAAGAACTGTGGCATCTGCTGTGTACTGTGAAAAAATCAGTAACCACAACGCAATACATTTTGAGGGGATGAAAACTCAAGATAAACAAGTAATGACTTTACAAAGTGCCCAAGTCAACTTTCTTTGCAAGGAGGACATGACATTCAACACTGATGAGACAAACTGCCACAAAAGCAAAGCAATGGCAAATCCATTTTTATAAATTTCCAGACTTATCTGTTATTCTACTTGGTAAATTCCTAATTCCCAATTTTGCCAACAAAAATAGTATATCCTAAATGCTTTGCAATGAAGAATCTAGCTCTAGGACATACCAGTGCCAATAAAATCCCTTGGAAATGGGAGATTGGGGGGAATCAAAACAAATTCAGTCCTTGTTAAGGAAGCTGAAAGGTGGCATGAGAAGCCTGTAAACAGAAACCATGAGCCATGCATGAAAGCACAAAGAACACACAGTACCAGAGCAATGTGACCACCAGATGCAGACCAGGTGCTCATGTAAGAGATGGAGACCCATAATGAGGCTGGAATGGGAGGGGCGGGGAGGTGCAGGGGAGCATGAACTCAGAACAGGAAACGAAGAGGCATGTATGCACACACATATGCGGCGCACATGCATGTGTGTACTTACCCTCGTGATACACGCATTCATGCACAAGGCACACAGGTACATGCATGCACATGTACACACACAGCACCCATACACTCAGAACATATGCACATAGCGTACGCACAGATCTCATACACATATGCACAAATGCACCCATCGAATACTAAGCAAAGGAAGAAACTGGTGAGGAACAGAGGCTTGCTTTCCCTTGATGAATATATTCTGAATTACTTTATCTTTTCCTATGAGAAAAAAACAAAACACTGAACAGCACTCACTGAAGATGTTACAAGTGAGGGTTAAAGAAGCAGGTACAGAATGAGGCTAAGAGATATTTCTTGGTTTTAAAATCAAAGACTAATGCAACCAAAATAAATAAAAGATTAAGTTACCATTTTTCTTTTCCAATGGTACAATTTTTTCCAAAAATGATTTCTAGAGATGAAACATAGGATATATTTAAAACTAGGCTTTCAAGTATCAGTCCAAGATGAACCCTGTACAAATGATATATATATATGTATATATATATATTTTTTTAGCTGTTCCAATATTTGCTAGGAAAGTTTTTAAACATTAGATATTTTTGTGGTCAATATACCTTAACCTTATGAAACAACCTACCAGCAGTAAGAGACCATAATTTACAAATACCATACTGTCTTCTCCACAAGAGATAAGTACTGTATGGACACATGTATCTAGCCCAATCAGTGACACTTCAAACTTCATCTTCAGACCAATACAGTTGCGCCACACAGAAACCCACACAGACTCATTCTCTCTCCTCACACTTAAACAATAAATAGATTTGTAGACTTTCTTACTCAGCAAAACAGGGGAAGAATCCATACAGCCAGTTTCTGTAGCATTTAAGTGTTTTAGGTAGAAAAAGTACACTGATCAATGTGTACATAAGGTGTCTAATGTCACACAAGGCACTCAGAAGACACCTAGCCAGGTGTGAGGCTAAAGCCTTTTAACCCTTCTGAAGGCCATGTCACCAGCACAGCTAAGAATGCTCCCTGATGACCAAATGGGCCTGAGTAGGGCATGGACCTCTTTGCAGACTCCTCTCCCATAGCCTTTCCCACACTGCCCCGCTCTGTGGTTGTCCTGGTGGCTGGCAGAGCTGCCTGTGGGTAATCCAAGGGCTGTGAGGCCATGCAGAGCCTAGGGAACTAGTGGGCACAGTCACCTAGCAAGGAAAAGAACCCTCAAAAATAAAGTGAAACCAAACAACCTTCCTGTCCAAGATTTGGCTTTAGAAAGTAAAGATAATTATATTGCTTAAAATACAATTTTCTGACTAAAATCTCTGAACAATGAACAGTATTTCCTGAAAGCAGATTTTCAAAAGGCTATCAGTAGAAAGACAATTCGGGTAATTCTTAAATAACAAAAACATTTGCTTTTTAGTGATTGGACGGCAATTCTCTATACTTCTACATGCATCCTCCGGTGGGATGACTACAGGAAAATGCAAAAACAATAACCAAATGTGTAACGAAAGTTTCTTTCCAGGGTGAAGGAAAGCTCTTACAGAATAGAACAGGAACATGGCAACCTGAATCCACAAGGGTTCCCCCACAGAGAGCAGGGTCCACTGCCACTCAAGATAACTCCTAGGCAAACAACCCTCAGACACTTAGCATTTTTTTTTTAAATCATGTCTAAAATAGGTCTTAAAGATTTGGTCATTTCATGGGAAAAATTAGCTGTGATTTGCAAGTGACTATTTCTCTAACCTCTGGCTCTCTTGTTCTTTCACTCCTTATAAAGGCAAATGCAGAACATTATTTTATCTCTTAGAAAGACAGAGTGCACAGTTCAGTAAAAATGATGGACGCAAGAACATTCCTCTAGGTGTCAACGATGCTTAGGTGGGGGTGCTCAGCAGCCACAGTTGCCAGTCCTTCTCTGGAGGCTCTGTTCTGGCTGTGTTTCTCTGTATCTCCCCTGGGGTTGGCATGGTCTCCCGGGGGAGTGGGACTGGTGGCAGGGCCCCCCTGAGTCCACGAGGACAGTGATTCATGCACGGTGACGGTGTGGGCCTCCATCTGGCGCTGCAGGCTGTCCATTTCCTGCCTGGGGAAGGAATGTCACATTAGAGGACAAATATCGCTTCCTCAAGAGGAATCGGGTGTCAGGGACTCAGGTCTCACTAGCATCCAAGCACCAGACTTGCTATCTAGACTCCCCAAACCTATCAGGGTCACATGAACTTAAGGGGCACTTGGCATTGTGGCACTCATGGGCTTTGGGAGAATGAGGAAGACAGCTCAGCCACAAAATTCTGCTTGTAGGTTGAAAAAAAAGAAAAAGCTGTCATGGTCAGAGAGAGAGAGAGGAAAGTATGCTTGCACTGCATGCAGCCGACCTCTGATTTAAATCCCTGGCGCCACATATGGTTTCCTAAGCACTGCCAGGAGCCATTCCCAAGCACAGGCCAGGACTAGCCCCTGAGTACTGGGGAATGTGACCAAACTCATCCCTCCCCTCACCAACAACCACACCCCCCAGAAAAAAAAAAAAAGATGTCCTCATGGCCATATAGATACTGGCCCTGGCAGCCCTTACTTTCTAACTTGGGGCTTACTTGTAAGGGTTTAAGTTCTGCTAAAGGGTGTATCAAGGCAATACCACCTTACAGACTGATTCAAAAGGCCCAATGGCTCCCATTCAACACAGACCCACTCAGCTTTTACTGGGCAGTCAGCCAAAGGAAACATCTTTCAAGTTAAATATGAAAATTACTGTCAACAGTGAGATGGAGTACAGAACAGAAGATGAAGGTCATACTTCAGTTGCTGGAGACAATTGTTGAGATTCTTGAGGGGTTCCTTGCTCACGGCAGGTGGGGGCCTGAGTAACTCCTCCAGCAGTGAGGCTGGCACTGGGCAGTCAGGAATCTTCACTGGAGTCACAGGGCTGGAAGAGCTGGCCTCGCCTTTCAAGTCCTTCCTCTGGGTGTCACAGCACATAGTTAGCCTCAGCCCACCTGTCCTTGGCCTCCCCATTACTAGTGCTTTCGGTGGCAACACAAAATCAGGCCTCAGGTTGGACCAGAAGAGCTGGCAATCATACAGGTCAACTAATTTGGGCTGAAAAAGGACCTTCCCAACACACAAAACACCTTCCAGGATCCTTGGGAGGATGAAACTGAGCTCCTTAATTTAGTGCCATGTTTGAGAGCTTTCCACAGGAGATCAGAGTCTAGACTTGGAGGTTCCCTTGAAAATGAAGTCATTCCAGAAAACTGATAGATTTACCCCAAAGGGCCAATCATGCTAAACGACTCTGATCCTGAGCAGTAGCTCTGTATAAAGAACACTTTTCAAGATGGAGGAAAGAAATGTCAGCAGTTGACACCGACAGGACATGCAGCCACTGTGTCCCCATTAGGCTCACCTTGTGGGACAGGGGCTCTGGTCCACACACACAAACCATACCCTTACTTGGGTTAGGGAAAATGTTACAGGAGAATGATATTTGAATTTGTGAAAAGATGCAAATATTCTGTTAAAGAGAAAAAGGGACCAAAACAAAATGGTTTGTCTAAGAACAGCCTGGTGTCACTTCTGTTCATACAATGATGGCTATGTGTAAACTGTCTGCAGAATGAGAAAACTGGCCAGCCCCCACCCAGATACCCTGGGGTGGGTCCATGCTTCTGGCAGGGAGGCACAGTCCAGTTACTGCCTGTGCATCTAGGAGGGAGGCACGGCCCACAGTTACCACCCATGCACCTGGGAGGGAGGCATAGCGCACAGTTCCCCTGAGCATGTGAAAAAGAGGCACAGCCCACAGCTACTGCCTATGCATCTGGGAAGGAGTCACAGCCCAGTTACCGTCTTGGCCATGTTGCGTCGCAAGTCCCCATGCAGCTGCTGGTTCTGCTGAAGCAGAGTCTTCATGCTGTTCTTGAGCTCTGACACTTTTGCTTGAAGCATAAATTTATCCTTCTGCGTTATGGACAGATCTTCCCGTACCACTTCCAACTCAGATTTAATATTCTAAGGAAAATGAAGATACAGACTTATTTTGGTTTGTGGCCACACCCGGTGGTGCTCATAATCTACTCCCAACTCTGGGTTGTGGTCACACATGAAAAAATGGTCAGGGCTAGAGCAATAGTACAGGGGGTAGGACATTTTTCTTGCACGTGGCCAACCCAGGTTCAATTCCTGGCATCTCAGATGGTCTCCCAAGCACCACCAGGCATAATATCTGAGAGCACAGCCAGAAGAACCCCTGAGCATCACTAGGTATGACCCAAAAAGCAGAAAGAAAGAAAAATGATCAGAAGTCATTCCCATTGGTGCTGGGATAAATCTGGGATGGGCCATATGCAAGGCAAGTACCTCAACCTATGCACAACCTGGCCCCAAACCTGCATAATTTCCTTTGCAGAAACTCTGTTACGATGGAAAACTTGGGATTTTTATTTATTTACTTTTTTTGGTTCACACCTAGCGATGCACAGGGGCCACTCCTGGCTCTGCACTCAGGAGTCACTCCTGACGGTGCTCAGGGGACCATATAGGATGCAGGGAATCGAACCTGGGTCGGCTGCGTGCAAGGCAAACACCCTACCCGCTGTGCCATCTCTCCAGCCCCCAACTTGGGATTTTTTATTAAGTCTCTCATGACATAAGAAGAGCTTGTTTCCAGAGCAGTGAGCATAGCTCAGCAGGGGCTTGGCTTCCCTCAGCGATGTGACCTTGACTTCTGAAATGGGAGTGTTTGTAGAGCCATTTGTGGCAGCCTTCACTCATCAGAACTGTTGGTTACACTAAGCATGCTGACAGGTCCAGCATTCTTTGTGACTTTCTGTCACCGGACTCTGGTCTCCTGGTACCTGCAGTAATTGTTGGAGTCCATCCAGTTCCTTTTGGTTCTGCTGCTCAGTCGAGTCCAGCTGCTGCTTCAAGGACTGAATCTCTCTCTCTTTCTGATCCACTTCCCATTTGAGATTTTCCATCTTGAGGAGGGAAATATAGTATGACCAAAAAAAAAAAGTAATCTTATACTTTCATAAAATGGTTCTAATTAAATCTCTACATATTGAATATACTTAGAAAAAAAACAAACATTCCTCTTAGCTGACAGGACTGGAGGATCTGAATGTACCCACCAGCAGAATCTGGCTCTGGGAGAACGACTGGGGAGGGAACGTTACCTCTTGGTTCCCCAAGGGTGTCTTGCTCAGCTGCTCATCTAGCTGTTTCTGCAGGAGCTGGAGCTGAGTGCGGGCCTCTGCAAGCTCTGCCTGGAACTGTGCAACTTCTTGAGAATGACTCTCTTCCTGAGACCTAGCATGAGGGACAGGAAAGAGGAAATGACAACACAACTATCCCAAACTCTCCAAAAAGGTATCAGCTGCTTCCTATCTTGGATGGAAAATGACAAATTGCTAAAATGACAAAAGCTCAATTCTGTTTTCCTGGGTAGGGACTGCTCTAACTGTGCTCACACACTCCCCCGGGAGGGAAGGTTCATGGGCCTGACTACAGATAGCAGTGGGAGAGAAAGCAGGAGCATGTGTGTATGAGGCTGGTCCCATCAGTCTCACTACAGTTGGGTGGTGGGCACACCCCACCGATAGTACCCCACATGGGGGCTCTCTCTGTTTCAACAAGGACAGTAGAGGGACAGAGTAGAGATACAGCTTATGACTGAAGCTCAGTTAAACCATAGGCTTTCTGAGTTGGAAATTGGACATCTGCCTCCAAAGTGCGAGCAGTTTGCTAAAACCTAGAAACCAGAGATGGACGAGTGACCCCATGAGTATGCACAGCACCAATGTCTTGCCACAGCACCTCATACGCACCGGAGACCCTCTGCCTCCTCCTGCAGCTTCTGTACCAGGTGCTCCTTGGCCTGAAGCTCCTTCTTCACCTCACTCAGCTCCAAGGCAGCGGCCTTAAAGTGGCGGCGATTATGTCCCGCATCCAACTTGGCAGCAGCGACCTACAAGCAGGGAATAGCATCACCGGGAGGAAGCCATAAAGAAGTGCATGCCTATTGGGGCTGTGGTGGGCACAGTGACCACTCTCTTGTCCAAGGTGTTCTGTAGGTTTCCCTGCAGAATTGTTCAAGGTCCCTGTTAAGGACTCAAGCACACAACATATGTTTGAAAGGCAAGCATGTGAAACATGGTAACCAGAATATGTTGGATGAACACCGTATTTAAGACTGTTAATTTTTTTTTTTAATTGGTGAAACACCATGAAGTACAGTTGTAGATCCACAAATTTTTGTGCTTGGGTCTCGACTATACAATGATCAAATACCCATCCCTCCACCAGTGCCCATTTCCACCACCATGGATAATATCCCTCCCACCCCCATACCCCCAACCCACCCTGCCTCTGTGGCAGGGCATTCCCTTTTGTTCTCCCTCTCTTTTTGGGTGATGTGGTCTGCAAAAGAGGCATTGAGTGGCAAACATGTTCAGTCCATAGTCTACTTTCAACATGCATCTCCCCTCCTGGGAGGATCCTCCAAACACCCTTTATTTGGTGCTCCCTTCTCTATCTGAGCTGTCCTTCCCCATAGAACACCCGGCTAGCCTCTAAGCTATGGAGTAATCCTCCTGGTGCTGATCTCAGCTCTTCTTGGGTATTTATCTCACATTTTGTTACTTTATATCCCCCCGATGAATACAATCTTTCTATGTCTATCCCTCTCTTTCTGACTCATTTCCCTTAGCATGATACTTTCCATGTTGTACCACTTGTATGTAAATTTCATGACTTTACCTTTTCTAACAGCTACATAGTACTCTATTGTGTAGATGTACCAAAGTTTCTTTAACCAGTCATCTGTTCTTGGGCACTCAGGTTTCTTCCAGTTTCTGGCTATTATAAAGAGTGCTGCAAGACTTTTTAAATTTTTAAAGTCTTCCTCAAGCATAATTTTGAATTAAGTTCATTTATAGCTGATGTATTTTGGAGGAATTTGCTTTTGCACAATACCACCTGACTGTAAAAAAGTTACCCATTTATGATACAACTAACTTTTCCAAGGGTTTTCCTTCTTTTATGGAGAGACCTGGCAGTGCTCAGGGCTTACTCCTGGCTTTGTACTCAGGGGTGACTCCTGGCTCTGTGTTCAGGAGATCATATGGGAATGCCAGGGATCAAACCTGTGTCAGCTACATGCAAAGCAAGTGCCCTCCTGCTGTACAATCTCTCTGGCCTCTATAAGTATTTCAATTTATATTATTGATTTTTGATTTTAGGAACAATCAGGCAGCATTCTGGGCTACTCCAGGTACACTGCTCATAAGCTGCTCCTGGAAGTGCTGGAGGGACCATGTGGTGCCAGGAAATAAAACTGAGCTTCTTGCTTTCAAAGCATGTACATTACTTCTTGGCAACAACATCCTGTTCCAAACACCTCATTTCAAAAAAGTGCAATGAAAATATTCATGATATATACATATGTGTGTGTGTGTGTATACATATACGTGTGCATATATACATATATAAGCATATATAAACAACTAATAAAAATAAGTACACAATAGGGCTAAAAGAATTGTACAGGGGTTAGGTGCTTGTCCTGCATGCGGCTGACCTCATTGTCATATGGCACCCATATATGGTCCCCCAGGCACCACCAGGAGTGATTCCTGAGTGCAGAGCCTGGAGGGAGCCCTGAGCACTGCTAGGTGTTGGTCCAACACCCCTACTCCTCCCAAAAAATTGGAAAACAAAACCAAAAAATTCCTAACCAAAGACACTATAGTGGTTGGCATTGGGCAGGGAACCAGTGTGAGCTGTACTGTAATATTTATGTACATTTTCTGTCATGAAGGCTTTACACACTCAAGGTAAGTCCTCTACCACTAATCTACACCTCAGTCCCTTTATAAACTTGAAAAAAATAGGTGAGTTATTGGGGTTGGAGTAGGTAGGGAACTTGCCTTGCACATGGCTAACCTGTTTTATCACTAGCACCACAAAGGATCCCCCAAGCCCACCAGGAGGGATCCCTAAGTGAGGAGCCTGAAGTCCTGAGTACTGTCATGTGTGTTCCAAAGGCCAGGAAAAAAAGTTGAGCAGAAACAGCAGACCATAAAGCCTCTCTGCACTGATGAGCACCTGAGTGTGGGAAGGAACCAGCCGGGAAAAGTTTCCCTGTGCAGAACATGGCAAGTGCAAAGGGGACGAATACTACTGGTGGTGGGAGCTCTCTTTACTCGCAGTATGCTTCTTCAGCTCAATCCTACACACAGGACAACCAAAGCTCAGGCATGTTCGGAGAGCAGTGTGCCTTCTTTGAACGTGAAACACATTCAGGGAGGCAGCTCACTGCCATCTGTACCCTACAGCACCTCTGCTCTGAGAGAACAATAGCAAAGGGACCCATGTGGGACCCCATGTGGAACATTCTTAGAAGGGAGATCAGGTGTAAAGACAGCCTTAGTTTTTAGACAACAGAAGCTGTTTCAAAGGCTTGATGAAGATGCAATCAGAGCAGTTAGGAGCTGGCCACATACCTGCTCCTTGAGGTTGCTTACAGTCATCTTCTCTTTCTCCAAGGCTGCTTCTAAGGTCTGGATGATCTGCTTCATATGGCGATCCTCCTCCTCCTTGCGTTGCAGAACTGCCTGAACCTGCAGCAGAGGTAACATACACATTCTAGCAAAGCCCTCTGAATCCCACTTCGCATGGCACCACATAAGCAAAAAGCACCACCAGACACATCAGAAAAGTTGGAGGAAAACCATTAGAAAGGCAGAAACCTGAGCTCTAGGACTCAACCACATGATACACTCTAGGGGACAGCCTAGGAGACCCCAGGACTCAACCACATGATACACTCTAGGGGACAGCCTAGGAGACCCCAAGATGCTAAAGAGCAAGGCTATCCGCTCAAGGCCTCTGTGGTTGTGCAGTGCCCTGCAGATGTAGTTAAGGTCCTGCAAAATCAGTCCAAGACCACAGGGTTGTGCTGCTTGAGGCTAAAGCTGAATATAGCCATTCCTTGGGAGAGGTGCTCTAAACCCACGTCTAATCACCGGGAGCTGTGGAGACCCCCAGGGATGGAGAAGAGGGTAGTACTCCCAGTACAGGCATGAACCCAGGATATTTATTTATTTATTGGCTTTTTGGGTCACACCTGGCGATGCTCAGGGGTTACTCCTGGCAGTGCTCGGGAGACCATATGGGATGCCAGGGATTGAATCTGGGTCAGCCGCGTGCGCAAGGCAAACGCTCTCCCCACTGTACTACTGCTCTGGCCCAGGATTTTTTTTTTTTAAACTGGGCCTTCAAGGTGATGCTCATGGGACATGGGTGCCACTCCCAGCAGTTTGCTGCTAACCAAGCTGGAGTGCTAGGCAATGCAGTGCTGGGGATCACTAGGGCAACCTCAGCAGTATTTGGGGGGCCTCCAGAATGACCAGGGAATTCCAGGACTATCCTAGTGGTGGCCCCCAACCCCAAAAAACAATTTGGTCCAGGAACAGGTTTTTGGTATGTTTGGGGCCACATTTGATAGTGCTCAGGAGTTTTGCCCAGGAGTGACTCATGGAAGTGCTCGTATCTATATGTGGTGTAGGGACTGAACCAGGATCACAATCACCACAGTGGAATCCAGTTTTTTGTTTGGTTTGGGGCCACATCTGGTAGTGCTCAGGGCTTACTCCTGGCTCTGCACTTTGGGATCTCTCCTGGCAGTGCTCAGGGAACGATAAATGGTGCAGTGGATTGAACTGGTGGTCTGCTGTTTGCAAGGCAAGTGCCTTACCCAATGTACTATTTCTCCAGCTCCTCAAGTCCAATTCTAAATCCACAAGGTCTGAGTTTCTGAGTACCAGATGAAGGCCCCTCTAGTATCCTAGCATTTACCTACCCAAGGGAAATTAATGGTCCCAGAATAGCTTTTCAGGACTCAGGGTCAGACCCTCAGAACTGAGAGGAGCTTGAGATTTCATTAAGTTCTCTGAGCAGGTTTCCTCCATCTAAAAGGGAACATGTTCCTCAGAGGCTGTTGGTGAGTAAACACATCAAGTGTTTCTGAGGCCCTCAGAGTGCTCCTGCTGACATATGGCTTCTTGTTAGGGGACTGAGTGTGAACACTGATAGCAAGTCTTCTGCTATGGCACGGGGGCAAGTGTGACTCCCTTACCTGAAGATTCAACTGGACCAGGTCTGCCTCCCGTTGGGCCAGGGCAGATTCTAAGATGCTGTTGTGTTCCCGCAGAGCTGAACTGGACTGGCTGAGCCCTGCGACCTTCCCTTTCTCGTGCTCTAACTCAAGAGCCAGTTTCTTGTTTGACTCCTCCAGGCGCTTTATCTTCCTTCTAAAACCTCTGGACTCCTGAAGCTGAGACAAAGTCACTGTGAAGAACCATTCATTCTGCTTAACACACACCATAATCACAACACATGGCATGTGATTACAGAGGATGCAGTACACTCTGGCATCACAGCTAGAGACCACTTCCAAGCCCTCACAATGATGACGTGCAATCTCCTGGAGCAGCAAGGAACTCAACAAGATGGAATGTGAATACACTCAAGGCTCAAGGATCTTGAGAGCCACATGGAGAACCTGTAGTGAGCCTTTGGTGATAGGGCCAGGCTGGTGAGCACCACCAGACACAACTGTGCGGGAACCTGAGAGTTTCAGACTCTTCTTCCCATGTCAGGGATTGAACCTAGGTTTCACACCTATAATTCAAGTACTAAGCTCCATGCCCTGCCTTCCATGGAGTTTTTTCCCAAGGTTTAAGAAAGTTTGGGCTGGTTTTTCTCTGCAGCAACATTGTTCTAACTCAGACGACTGACAACCTGTTATATGGATTATGCTGCCCCACTCTGGCTAAGGTTGCAGTCCTCATTGTGTCAGCTGGTTGAAGATCTGTAGACACAGAGCTGTGACATAAGCACACAAAAGGCTCTGGGACTGGAGCCCTCTTTTTGTCCACCTGTGAGGACAAGTGGCCTACCTCATCTTCCAACTCTAGCACCTTCTCCCGTTGCTCCTCAAGCTCCTGGGTGGTCATCGAAATGACCTCCTGCAGCTCCTTCTCCAACATCATCTTGCTGTGGCCAAGGGTCTGCAGCTCTACCTCCAGGGCCTGAATCCTCTCCTACAGACAGCACAGGAGGTGGCCTGGTTATTCATTTGGTCCAGGAACAATCCCTGTGATGGCCTCTGAATGGCTCATAGGGAGGCACCACAGTCATCCCAGGCCTCCTCCCTCTACCTGTACATTAAACTCTGTCCTTTTTTTCTGGTCCTCTTGAGGAGGACTTCGGAGGGAAACTGGTTGTGAACCCTGGTGTTTACTTACATGCAAAGTGACGCTGTTACCATTGCTGACACCCTGGGCCCTCAGTTGGCTCAGCTCTGCCTCTGCTGACTCCTTGGCTGTCAGGGCCTCCTGCAGGCGACGACTGAGGATGCCCACTGCATTCTCATAGGCCTTGTGCTTAGTTTTCATCTCCTTCTGAGCACTGCTGAGGTCCAAGCCCAGCACTTTCATCTTCTGCTTCTGTTCAGAGATAGCCCTGTGTGGAGTGGAGAAACACAGCAAGTCTGAACTCACTTTCAGTGTGTTGAGCAATGCCAAGGATTGGCAGATGCATTTGGAAACTCATCCTTCAACGTACCCATCTCCTTCCTCCCAGAAGGCTCTAGCAAGGGGCTTTGCTCATGTGACCAAGGTTTCACCCTCTTCGGTGACAGTACTGCTCAGACTTATCTGGCCTACTGTCCTCGTTTCAGGAAAAAAAAAACCCCACTCAGCATCCCCCTGGAAACCTACATTTTCCTAGTGAACAAACCAAAAGAACCCACCCTCTGCCAACTGCACCCAAAGATACTCCTGTTTCCTGAGACTACTCCAGGGACTGCTACCTATAACGGCTCAGGGAAATGTAGTCAGTGTTGGGAACACCACAGAATCTAGAACCCGGCCTGAATGGGAGCAATTTCAGTACCCTGAGAAGACAGAGAGCAGATCATCAGTCGTCTCCATCAAACAAAAGCATCTCTTGTGCTTTTGAAAGGCAATAGAAAATTGTTTCATTAGCATCCTCTGGCTGACAAAAACAAAATGGGTGTGGAGCACATGTTTTGCATAGAGGAGCCCTGCATTTGATCCCTAGCATCACATGGTCTTTCACACATCGAGGGACGTAGGCACTGAGCTGGGAGTACAGCATGTAACAAGGGGGTAAAAAGTAAAAAGACTCAGTGGGTAAGGGACTTAACTTCGCATGCAGCCGATCTGGGTTCAATCCCCAGTACCACACATTATACCCTGAGTATTGCCAGGAGTGATCCCTGAGCCCAGAGCTAGAAGTAAGCCCTGAGCACAGCTGGGTGTGGTCCAACAATAAAAACAAAACAAAGACCCCAAGGGATGTCTCTGTGTGCACAGGCACTCTGGCCTGTAGGGGGTATGTGATCAGGAAAGCCAGAAGGAAGAAAAGAGAAACAAAAGGGAGCTTCTGTGCTAGCAAATCCCAGTAACAAACTGGAATTCTTCTGTGAAGCCAGCAATTGCCAAATCACAAGGGAGCCAACTTTCTGCCTATACATCTGGAAGCTGAACGGCCCTAGTGCCCCTGAGGGAAAGGGTTGCCCCAAAGTACCCACCTAAGCAGACTACTTACTTCTTGGCTTCTTGCTGTAGCTCCTCTATTTGTTTCTTGAGCACCTCATTAGCCTCTGAGAGAGCAAGCATCTGCTCTTTATCGAACTGCAAAGACTTCAGAGGAAGGGAGGGAAAGATGGTGAGAAACAAAATTCTCTGCAAGCTGAGTCTTGGGACCTGCTTCCCTGGGAGCATGCCCAGGGGTGGGCTTTGAGGCCTATGGGATAAGCTTGCCCTTTCTACAATGACCACTGGGCAAGAGTCCCAAGTGTCACACTGCCATGTCAGAGCACTGGTGGGCACAATCAAAGGGTGTGTTAAAGGGAAGTTTCTGGGTTACAGTCCAACCTGAAGACTGAGGAATCCTGTTTCCCAAAGACCCCCAGACCTACCTCCTCAGAGAATATCCCTTCTCCCTAGTGCTCCTTAAGACTCACCTAAACTCACCCCAATGAATCAACCTGTTGGGGTTGCTGTGTGTTCTAGACTAGCCTGGCTTCTTGTAACTCTTCCTATATCCTGACTGATATCTCACCAGTTAGATACGGTGCTCACTTGGGGTCCCCAACCAGTAATTCTACCTGGATCCTGCCAATTTCTCTGAAGACTTCTGAAATTTCTCCATCCTGCCTAACTTTTGCTCCACATTTGCTTCTTCTCAATTTGGTATTTAGAAACCGCTCCTCAACTAGACAGGAATCTGCACTGAGGGACCCTATCCCGGGGCTCCAGCTCCACACATGACAGCATACTCGGGTACCTGTCTGCACTCTTCATAGGTCTCACTGCATTTCCAGAGTCCAAACCCATGATGTGCTGTCCAGTGCTTTCTGCATGCCTATCTCCCACATGAGACTCCAGGGTCTATGCCGTCCTTTAGTTCCAGGACACCCTGGATTTCTGCATGGGGCTCTTGCCTCAAAGGCTAGCACCCAGAGGCCCTGCCCAGCAGCTCCCTCCAGGTGCCTGCTCCCCTCCCTGATCAATCTCTACCCGTCAGTTTCTCCAACAAGGACATGAGCTTCAGGAGGCACTAGTTCTAGCTGTTCTGCTCAAAGCCTGCCCTACCAAGGCCCCATAGTAAACCCACGGTGTTTTGGGCTAGACCCTTATAAATCCAACACAGACTGTACCTGTAAGTGCACCTCCAAGGCATCACGCTCCTTCTGTGCTGACTGGAGATGCCCTTCGAGGTCCTCCATCTGTTGACGGACCTGTGACACTTCCTTCTGCAGACGTGACTGCTCCACCTCCACAGATTTCTTTTCCCCCTGAACTCTCATCAACTCCTGCCTCAGCTCTTTCACCTCCGAGTCTAGTTTCTTCTTTGTGGTTTTCAGTTCGCTGATGAGCTTTTCTTTGGAGGTAGTGTCCCGCCGGTAAGCCTCCACCATCACCTGCCGAGAAGACACAGAAGCCTACAGTCATGGGGCTGAGATTTGGAAGGGGCCAAGGATATCATACACATCGCTAATCTAAGACACAATCTGTTTTTGTATTGGCTTTTGAACCATATATAGTAATGTTCAGGGACTATTTCTGGCTCTGTGCTTAAGAGTTACTCTTGGCTATGCCCAGAAGACCATAAGTGGTTCTGCAAAGTCAAACAGGGGTTGGCAGAATGCAAGGCAAGTGCTTTGTCTCTTATAATAAGGCAAAAATCTTTGGGGGCCAAAGAGAACAGATTTTATCAAATCCAAAGCACCACTCATTGAGACCTGGTTCTAGTGCCTAAGCTCATCAGGGTGAGGTCTAGTGTGGTCCTGATCCCTCCCAACTTCAGGGTACTCTGGCCTTCCATCTCCCTCAGGAAGAGGTGATGCCAGGTTTCCAAAAGACATTCCCCTAACTTCACTCACACTGCTGACAAGGATACTGAGGGGCTATCCTTCCTATGAACATGAAGGGGTTTGATGATGCTGTGCACTCCTCCCTCCCACAGCAGACCTGGCTTCATGAATATATAAAACATGCAACATATCCTTCAGTGTGCTCCAAGGCTTACTTGGTATCAGGTCATGGTGCAACTTTAGAGATACTTAAACAAAAACCACAACACATGTAGTGATGCTGCTGCTCTCTCATGACAAGGCAGGTGATCCCCGTCATAAGATGCCAGGTCCACTGTAAAATGCATCCTTGAGAGATAGCAGAATGGGGACAAGAAAACATAGCTGAGAATTATAAAGTGCCTTTAAAATCTGAAGGAGTAAAAAAAAAAAAAAAAAAAAAAAAAAAAAAATCTGAAGGAGTATAGAAGCTACCTTCTTGATCAGTTTTGTTCTAGTGAAAAGACTAACCCCCAGGAAGTTTCATATAAAGGAAAACAACAAACATTTTTACCTTCTGTTGAAGAAATTGTTCCTTTATTTTCTGCATCTGTTTTTTCAAAGTGGAACTTTCTTCCTGCAGGTGATCCACCTATGAGGGACATGTTTGCACAGATGTTACATGGATGACTTGAGTTCCCAGGGTTCCTGAGGCAGGAAAACAACCATGAGGGTTGAAAAGTATCCCGGGGAGACATGTCCCACCTCTACCCTCCTCATTTTTAGGAGAAAACTCAATCCATGGTCAGCTACCAGGAAGTCTGGTAGTGAACAGGCAAATTTAAACATGAGAAATAATACCCACACCACCCAGTATCTGTTTTCCAGTGTCAGGTGATGTCCCTAGTATTGATTATAAGTAAGTAAAACCTAACTAAACTTTATCAAAGATACTGGCTCAAGTCCTCCACAAACACACCAACATGCCTGTATTTGTCATATTCTAGGAAATAACAACACAGGTCAATGACTGCAGAGAAAATCTAAGGCTCCTATTTCACTATCCAATAGGGGAAAAGGGAACTTTCCCTTGTCTCTGATGCTTATGGAAAAGAATTTTAAGAAAAAACTGTTCCTTACTGCTGATGCTATTCCAACCATTCTGTAGCATTCATGTTTTCTGTATTTCTGAACATTTGCCCACTGATCCATGCCAGGCTGCAGCAACAGGTGTGGTGTTCCAGGTTACATCCACACTCACCTAGCTCCCCAGGTCACATGCTCACCCTCAACATGGATAACCCACGGCTGCCCTGCCGATGTGTCCAGTGGGTCCCACTGTGGGAAGCAATAGCCAAAAGTTCTAACTAGCTTTCCAAAGTCTGAACTCTACATCTTTAGCAGAGAAAAATGTGCATCTCTTTGTATATTACTTTTAAAGCCCCAAACTTAACTTGTCTTCTTAAGTTCTCAAAACCTACAGGCCCAACTGCAAAGGCAGTTTCCTAAGTACACCACAAATTGTGACAAGTCCCTTCCCCAGCTAAGCCTGGGCCTTCCCCAGGAGCACTCTTCCCCAGGAGCATTCTTCCTATTTATAGAGTAGGTGCTAAAAAACAAACAAACACCCCCACCCCCCAGACCAATCAGCACTGAATTTTGTTTTTAAATGTGATTTTGATTCAAAATAAAAGGAGAGCAACTTGCATTACCTGGTTTGATTTGATGGCTAATTCTTGTCTCAACTGCTCTAAAATTTCCGATGTTTCCTTGGTACCTTCTTCCAAATGTTTTACTCCACTATCAAACTCCTCCCTGCTACTCTTGGCTGCCTGCAGAGCCACCTCCAAGACAATCTTCTCATTTTGCAAGAAGCGGATGGTGTCATCCCTGGAAGTGGCCTCCCCCTGCAGCTCCTCCAGCCTGACCTGCAGCTCATCATAGTGTGTCTGCAGGTCACCCAAGGACTGCTCCCGCGTTTGCAGAGTCTCCTGTGTCAAGGTGAACTGATGCAGCAAGTTCAAGTGCTCTTGCTGCAAAGCCTCAAGTTGTTGGTCTCGCTGATGCAAAGTCAATTTCACCTGGAAACAAGGGACCAGATTTAGGATGATAGGTCTTGAATGAAACCACCACCCTGCTTCAAAAGCTTATACCATGCCCATGTTTAAGCTTTAAATAACTTGGATAGATACTTCGAAGATGGCTAGTTGTATGTCAAGACTGTGTAGAATACTAGTACAAGGTCTGATGAGGTAATATTACCATACAGTCAACTAAGAGCCCAGTGCGAGAGGGCAAGTGTGGGCGTCAGACATCAGGTTAGACTACGTAAGTGCCTACCTGCTCTAATTGCTGCTCCAGGGCTGCTGCTGAGGTGGCGAGCTTCTGCAGTTGCTCCTTCTCATCCTCGAACTCCTCCAACCTCTTCTGCAAGTCCTTCTCCACCATGGTCTTTGCCTCTTGAATCTGCACAAAGGCAGCTTCCTGGTCCAACATGTCAGCCTGGAAGCAGAAAACAGTGTTTTAATTATTTTTTTCCCCTGAGGAGTTTCAGATGATATCCAGTGGTGCTCAGGGGACAGTGTGGTTCTGGGAATTTAACCTGGACTTCCCATATGCACTGCATGTGGTATCAGGGACTGAGCTGGAACTAATCAAGTACAAGGTAAGTGCCTTGATCCCTATACTATCTTTCTGCTCTGTCTGCATATTTCTAAAACTCTACCAAAATCCCAAAACCATGCCTACCAGGGCTGTCCCAGCACTACAGTCCTCACCTCAATGCCTTGGAGCTGGACAGCAATGCGTTCCTTTTCCTTTATGGACTTTTGCTGGGTCTCTGTAAGCTGATGGGACAGGGTCACGTTCTCAAGTTTCAGGTGCTCCAAGAGGCCTGCTTGAGTCATCTGTCCAACCTGCAAAGGAGAAAATCATAAGACAGAAAGTTGCCAGATGATCAGCAGAAGCGCAGTCAGACTGCCCAAGAGATTGAAAGCTATTCCACAGTTCCCATCAGGTAGGCTGCAACATGACCTGCCTACTCCCACCTTGGACTCAGCCCTTGTGGTTGGGTGTGCCTGAGATGCATGCTGACAGCCCAGAAATCAGTGGTCATTACAAAACTTTGGCAAGATCTACATACAAATTCGTCTTGAGGTCCATATACAAGCGCTGCTATTGAGGGCCTTATCTGAAGGACTGAGAGGAAGGGGAGGACTCGATCCACTGAACTGACCAACTCTGACTATATTGTGGGTCATGCCCTGACCCTTAGTGCCTGAGTGTCAGGACACCCCAAGAAGACGTATTAGCAATGCAGTCTGGGGTCTGACCTGGACTATCTGGACAGCCAGGTCCCTCTGACCAGCTATCTCCACAACAGAAAGAAACCTGGACCAGAGAAATAGTACAACAAGGAGGGACATTTTCCTTGCATGTGGCTGACCCGGGTTTAATCCTCTGTATCCCATATGGTCTCCCGAGCCCCACCAGGAGTAATTCCTGAGTGTAGAGCCAGGAGTTAACTCCTGGGCACGGTTTGGTATGGCCCTAAATCTCCACACCAACCGAAAAAAAGAAACTCAGGGGCCAGAGTGATAGCGCACAGGCCACTTGCCTTGCATGCTGTTGACAGGATTTTGATCCCTGGTACCTCATGTGATATCCTGAGCCTGCACTCAGGAGTTAACTCAGAGATAACTCCTGAGTGCAGAGCCAGAAACTAAGCCCTCACACTGCCAGGTGTGCACCACCCACTGGTCCCTGACTCCTCACCTAAAGAAAAAATAAATTCAGGACATATGGGATTGCCTTGATCAGAGGTTCTCAAACTTTTGTTCCTTTTTAGGGGGAAATAATATTCAGCTCTTCTGGAAGTCTATGAACAAAGAGGAAGTCCCCCTTACAGTGGGGAAGGCATTTGCTGTCCTACATGCAGCTGATCTGCGTTCAATCCCCAGCACCACATGGCTCTCCAGCATTTCCTGGTGCACACATGGAGGCCCCCAGCAACTCCAGGTATAACCCTTGTGGCAGCTTGTCAATCTGAAAATTGCTAGTGGAGCCTCCAAGCTGCTGAGTACTGTTTGGGAGCCTTTCCAAAGAGGATGCACATATAGTGTGATGCCTAAGTAAAACCATGAAAGATGGTACTATGTAAACTGGTGTGAAATAGGCAGTTAGTAGTTTGTTTTAATGTTTGTAGTATCAGAATTCAAAACCAGGGCCTGTTACATGCAAGGCTTGAGCTCTACCACTAGGCCACAATTCCAGTCTAGTAGTCAATAGGTGTCTTTTTTTTTTTTTTTTTGTGGGGGGGTGGTGGTGGTGGTGGAGGGGGTCACGCTTGGCAAGTGCCTTAACATCTTTACTATGTCATTGATCCCAACAGTATTTTCTCTCTCTCTCTCTCTCTCTCTCTCTCTCTCTCTCTCTCTTTCTCTCTCTCTTTTCAGGGGGTGGGGGCTGGTGGGGGGGAAGCAAGGGACTTCCAGTGGTGCTCAGGGCTTACTCCTGATTCTGCATTCAGGGATTACTCCTGGTGGACTCGGGGGGGGGGCATAAGAGGTGCTGGAGATCAACTGCCGGTTGGTCATGTGAAGTCAAGGATCCTGTATGTTATACTACTGTTCTGGCCCCCCCAATAGTATTTTTTTTTGAGACAAGCAATTGTGCCACCAGAAACAGATGATAGCATGGCTGTGTGCTGCTGGAGGGCCATACCTGGATGTGAGCCATTTCCCCCTGCAACCTCACACGGGCCTCTTGAGCCAGGGTGAGCTGCTGTTGGTACCACTGCCGGACACTCTGCAACGACGAGATCTCCGCCTGGGACGCCTTTAGTTTGCTGCTCAGGGTGCTTCGCTCCAGCTGTACATGCTGCAGCTGGTTCTGCAAGGAAGCCATCTGCTGTCGCAGGTCATATACTGAAAACAAGACCACCTGTCACAAATAGAAGAGCCACAGCTGCACAGCTAAGACATATGCCTTTCTGCAGGAGCAGGATACACAGCTGTTCCATGACTGGCAGCAGTAATCTTCTACAAAGTTTGTGAGGAAACCAAGGCCTTCAGCAGACTTAAAGAACTCAGATCCTTAAAGAACTCGGAACAGTGGGTTATTAACCAGTCAACACAGAACCTTGTTTCATGTGTATGTTTGAAGAAATCTTGATTGGTACTGTTGAATCATTAACACTGACCTCAGCCAATAGCATGTAACTAATTCTGGAACAAGCTCATCCAGAAGATGTGTCTTCTTCCTAAAACCTGTCGTAGCTTTATTGCTTTTAAAAACAGGAGAGTTTTGGAACCATTTTAAATAGGTAGATCACCCAAGAAAGCACTTAAGTTAGAAAATACACATAAATAGGCTAAAAAATCACACCAAGTAAATGAGATAAAGGCACTTGTTTTTATAGGAGTTGAAACAGGAAGGTCAAGAACTATATTTGGCTTCAGGTGGGAGCAAATATGTTGAAGCTGTGCTTTGACCTCTGTACTTGCCTGCAATGGTACAAAGGGTGTGATGATTTGAATCACAAATACAAAATTATAAATAATGCAATATTAAAAATCAACTGTGGGGGTCAGAATCATAGTACAGAGGGTAGGGCGTTTGCCTTGCACGCAGCCCATCTGGGTTCAATTCAATCTCTGGTGTCCCACATGGTCCCAAGCCCTGCCAAGAGTAACTCCTGAGTGCAGAGCTAGGAGTAATCCCCGAGCATCACTGGTTGTGACCCAAAAAAACAAAAACAAAAATCAACTGTGTCTCTTTAAAGAGCATTATGACATCTAGGAGCAATTCCACAAATTTGGGAAGAGTATTGTGTTGTCAATCAACATTAAAGTCCCTGATGGCTTGCTAATACCATCTATTACTAACATTGATGAGGAGTGGGCCATTGGAGGAAGAAAACAAAAGTCAAAGACAACTCCAAGTCACAGTGGGAACAAAAGCTTCCAACGTTTTAAGATTAAAATTACACCTGACACTTAAGAAAACATTTACCTCTCTACATTTTTTTTTTTGTTTCTTTTGGACCACACTAGATGATGCTCAGAACTTACTCCTGGCTCTGTGTTTAGGGATAACTCTTGGCTGGGTTCAGGGGACCACACGGGATGCTGGGGATCAAACCCAGGTCAGCTATGTGCAAAGCAAGTACCTTATTCACTGCACTATCACTCTGGCCCATAGCTCACAATATTTTATCTAAAAAAATAAGGAGCTGGAAGATGTCTCAAAGGGCTGGAACGCATGCTCTGCATGTGTGAAACGTGGGTTTGATCTCCGGCACTGAACAATTCCTGATAACCAGGAATGATGACAAATACCACCAGGTGTGGTGCAAAAACAGAAATAAATACATAAATTTTAAGAAAGACAACCCAATGGGAATAGGATAATTTACAAGTGTCCATGATCCTTCTCTGAAATCCCAGCATTCATAGTGTTGGGATCTTACACAGGGAGTAAAAGCACCCTGTGCACCCAGTAGAGAAGACATAACTTGTCAGGTATGTCTTTAAGCTAGCCCAGAGCACAGGTTCATTTTGCAGCTTGATGGTTCTAGTCAGGCCTTGCAATCCAGTTATAAACTATTCTGAGGCTCAGAACTTTTTTGGTCTTAGAGTGTTTCTTAATAATTTATGTGTAAATTACTCAATATCTAAAAAGTCTTATTTTTTGGTTTCTTGGGGTTTATTAGGCACTAGGGATTGAGCTTAGGATCTCACACATATCACTTATCACTTAATCACTTAACTTCCCGTTAGTCGTCGATTTGCTCGAGCGGGCGCCAGTAACGTCTCCATTTGTCCCTGTCGCGTGCTAGTGTAGCCCAATGGCATCTGTTCGCTCTGGGAACATGAAGAGCCTCAAACCGATCGTTCATGATCTTGATGAAGAAGTCTGACCATCTGGTAGGTGGGTGGCCACGCGGTCTTTTGACATCCCGTGGAGTCCAGTCGGTAACAGCTCCAGTCCAGCGGTTGTCTTTAAATCTCATTACATGACCAGCCCATCTGATTTTTGACACCTTGGCAAACGAGACAATGTCCCTGATTCTTGATCGTCGACGGATGTCGGAACTCCGGATTTTTTCTCTCATTTGAGTGAAACGTGATATTCCAAGCATAGCTCTTTCAATTCTTCTTTGGGAGACCTGAATAGCATTCTCATCCTGTTTGCGTAGGGCCCAGGTCTCTGAGGCATATGTTAATGCAGGAAGAACAGTGGAATCAAAGAGATGTGCCCGGAGCCGGAGGTTCTTTGTCCTCTTAGCTATTTCTTTGACGTTCTTGAAGGTGTTCCAAGCCGCTCTCTTCCTCCTGCGTAGCTCGGGTGCCAGGTCATTTGTCATGTTGACTTCTCGACCTAGGTACACATAGCTGTTGCATTCGGAGATGGTCGTTCCGTTGAGAGCGAATGGGCCATCAGGAACAAGGCTGTTTCTCATAAACATTGTCTTCGTAAGATTCAGCTGTAGTCCTACCTTTCCACACTCACGGTCAAAGTCGGCCAGCATTTGTGCCGCTTGGCTGATGTTTGGTGTTATTAAAACAATGTCATCAGCAAAGCGGAGGTGGTGTAGTTGCCGACCATCTATCTTCACTTCCATTCCTTCCCATTCCAGTCGTCGTATGATGTTCTCGAGGGTGGCACTGAAGAGTTTTGGTGAAATGGTATCACCCTGCCGAACCCCTCTCTTGATATGGATGATTACTTCTTTGTAGAATGGTGAGATCCTGGTAGTGAATCCGCAATACAGCTCACGGAGGATCTTGATGTACTGGGCTTGAATGCCCTGATTGGCTAGGGCTTCAATGACCACTTCCGTCTCAACAGAATCAAAGGCCTTCTTTAAATCAATGAACGTTAAACAGAGCGGCATCTTGAACTCCCGAGAAACCTCAGTGAGCTTGGTTATCGTGTGGATATGGTTGATGGTGCTGAATCCTTTGCGGAACCCAGCTTGCTCGCATGGTTGTCCTTCATCTAGTGTTCTGCCAATCCTATTTAGGATGACTCGAGTGAACAACTTGTAGATGACAGACAATAGGCAGATCGGGCGATAATTGCCAATGTCATGGATGTCTCCCTTCTTGAACAGTAGTACGGTCCTGCTGGTTTTCCATTGGGACGGAACCTTGCATTCAGACAGGTAGCGAGTGAAGAGCCGAGCCAGTGTATTGATGAGTACTGACGGCAGGTTCTTCAGGTGTTCAGGTCTGACCTTGTCTGGGCCGGGTGCTGTTCGTTTCTTTACTGACAAAATGGCGTGTCGGATTTTGGAAGGGAGAACATTGGGAACGACATATCCATCCTGTGGAATTTGGTATGTCGGCAAGTGGACATGGCTATCGAAGAGATTTGAGTAGAAGTCATGGATAATCTTCTCCATTGCCGTTCTGGAGGATGTGATGGATCCATCAGGACATCGGAGGGCAGTCATCTTGGTCTTGTAGTTGGCAAAGGACAGGCGGGCGTTACAAATACTTTTCCCAGCTTCTGTCGCATCTACCAGCACTTCTGCTCTTCTCTCTTTGAGGTCTTCCTTGATTGCATCTCTGCACTGCTTTGTGAGTTCGGATGTTAGCTTGCGGTTGCCTGAGGCATGTGCCAAACCACGCTGGCGAATAAGCTCAAGAGTTTTCGAAGACAGGCGTTTTTCTGTGGCTATCTCTCTCTTGGCGTTCCTCGCACATTCATGGAGGTGCTGTACCAGTCGATCGTATTCCTCATCAATGTTGTCAACAATGGCATCTTCCCATGTTGCCGCAATAGTGCCAAAGAGCTCCCAGTTGGTGGTCGTTCTGGGAGTTCTCTTTTTAAACTTTGCAGCCCTAACACATATATGGCATATAACTCACATATATAAGGCATATGATCTACTGCTGAGCCAAGTTTCCTGGTCTTTGTCATTTTTTTTTTCTCAGTTAGCACATTTGGGGAGGGTGAAGGAAGGGGGAGGGTCGGCAAGGTATCAGGAACTGAACCCAGGGTCTCACTCATGCAAACAGGTTCTCTACTTCTGAGTTACAACTCCAGAACTGTGATCACTGTGACTACCAGGATGAAGCTTTTGAGACATGCCATCTGTTTGGATCATGGTTGATTCCCATGCTGACTCACTTGGTCTTTCGCAGAAGCCCATGTAGCTGCTGAAGATGCTCATCCAGGTGCCTTTGTTGGAGAATGTAATAGACCTGGGCCAACTGTGTGCCCCTTTGGGTTCTGATCCTGGATATACCCATCCACTGCCCACCCCCTTCTATCAGCCAGACTCCCAGGTTCTGAGACGGTGGTACAGTCTTTTTGGCATCTAGCCAGGTATAGGCTGTCATTCTGGGGATGAAGGACATACCCTCAGGAGAAGACAGCACCAGGGAAGGCTGCACAGTCCCCATGTATGGCCTGTTATCCACTTCCCGCGATACCATATTCCATATATCTCTTTCATACCATAGGAGATTCAATATGAGCAAAAAGTTTAATTTAAGAAGAAAAAACGGGAGCTGGAGTGACAGCCAAGCGGGAAGGGCATTTGCCTTGCACTCGGACAACCCAGGCTAGATTCCTAGCATCCCATATGGTCCCCCGAGCACCACCAGGAGTAATTCCTAAGTGCATGAGCCAGGAGTAACCCCTGTGCATTGTCGGGTGTGACCCCAAAGGCAAAAAAAAAAAAAGAAGGAAAAAAATGAAGGTTCAACAGATAATCTGAGGGTTGGGACTATTTTAAGCTGAACCTGTGACTTTTAGAATGAGCAGTAGGTCTTATCTTCCAGTGACTGTAGGACCTATGAGTAGGAGAGTCCTGGGATTAGTCATCCAGAATCCAGGGTCAGATTCTAAAAACTAATCCGTTCTTCTTTTCCTTGGGGTGGGAGGTTGGACTACACTCAGTGGTGCTCAAGGGCTACTCCTGGATCTGAGTTTAGGAGTGATCCCACGCAGGGTTGAAGAATTATATATGGTACCAGCTACTGAAGCAAGGTAGGCTGCAAGCAGCAAATACCTTAGCCCTCTTGGGCTCCCAACCTCATCTTGACTAGCACAAAAGAACAAAAAGAACTCCAGAGCTCTACCTAACACACTGACTTTAGGGAAACAGACATAGCCATAAACAGAGCAAAGATAGAGCGAGCGGTCTTGCCCACCTGTATTGTCCTTCTTGCGAATGCTGCTCTGCATTTCTTCAACTTTGGCCATGAGTCTTTGGTACTGTTCCTCTGCCACCTGAAGGTCACTGTTGGAAGAGGCCAGGCTGGCGTTCTTGGCTTCTAGCAGGTTCTGCAGATCTGTCATTGCTCGCTCCAGGTCCCAGCAGGACTTTTTCAAGGTGTCCACCTCAGAACTGAGAGAGTCCTGTTTCTGCTGGCTGCTGTGGCTATGCTCTACCTGTGCCTGTAGCTTCATGTTCAGGGCAGCCAGTTGTGCCTGCAACTCCGTCTTTTCTTTCAGGGCCTGAAAAGACACCCACATGGACACAATGACTTTCAGAATATTGAGTCATATCTCCATGCCCTGCTGTGCTGGGAGACCACCACTTCAAACAACCAGTGAGACAAAGAAAAAGGTCCACAAATTTATACCAAAGCTTCCCCATGTCTGGCCCTACTTTGCAATTACTCTGGTAAAAGCTCCCCCAAAAGAAAACAGGGCATAGAGGAGGACTGCAAAACCTGCACATTTCCCACATACAGGTCTGAGCCAGAGGACAACGAGGCTAGCAAACTGGTACAAAAGAACATACATGTAGACAAGGGTGCACGTGTGCACGCACACACAAACACAAAGAAAACTGAGTTTGAAGTAAGGCACCTCAAAGTGGAAAATCAGAGGAATACAAGGTCAGCAATAAATGTCTATAGGGAAGGTCTGCTGCTATTCTGGAGGGGTTGAAGGTCTCCAGCCAGGGCTGCTGGGCCCAGAGCAGCATCTGGCAGTGGTAGTCCCTAGATGGCAGGAGCCCAGGGACCACTCTGTAGGTAAGAGGGCAGTGATTACCGAAGATGTCTAGGAGAAGCCCAGTATACAAAGGTGAACATACTGGGGAAATCCAACCGCATGAAGACAAGCAACAAATTCAACAAACAAGAGCAAAGAAATGTAGTTGACTAAGCAAAAGTCATACAAAATATTCCTAGAATCTTCACAGATATGTTATCTGCAAAGACCTGAGTGCTGGCTAAAATTGAGGAGCAAGTCAGTGAGTCTAGGAGCGGACATGCATCTTGAGATTATTACCTTGTACTTTTTTCTGGGGAATGGCCACACCTGGCAGTGCTCAGAGCTTACTGCTGGCTCTGCACTCAGGGATCGCTCCTGGTGAGGCTCAGAAACCCTATGTGGTGCTGGTAATTGAATCCTGATTGGCCACGTGCAAAGCAAGCATCCTGCCTGCTCTGCCTTCCTTATAATCTCTCTGGCCCCATGAGGAGGTGATTACTTTGTAAAGTAAAAGAGAAAATGAAAACCACGCACAATCAAAATTAGCTGAAATCCTAGCAATCACTAGAATGATGCAATTTTATGGACACAAAGTAGTCACTATCCTAAGACTGTATTGCAAAACAAAAACTATGTCCAACATGAGATCACACTTAGCAAAGAAAGCTGTACTCCAATGGGGCTTTCCCAACTCCACACACACAGCACATCTCCATGTTATGCCTCTCATGCTTTCCACATCCAACGTACAGAGACCCCCCCATCAAGTGAACTAATCTGCTCTGTTGTGCAAAACTTAAAATTAAGGAAGAGAAAATCATGATTCCTCATTATTACTAGGAAGGGAAAATTATTTTCAGGCAAATGTCAAACAAATAAAGCAAAATTTGTATGAGAAAATGTAGAACTCATGGCAAAAAGTATTGAAGGGCAAAGATAGCAATTTTAACATGCCAGAAAAAATGTGAACTTCATCAAAATAATTTTACTATCATCAGTTGGTCTGTAGATATCTAAGGAGAGTTCGAAAACATTTCAGGGAAGTCCTGGTGCAAAGTGTGAGATTATAATGGCACTCCATCCGAGGCTATGCATCCAGCAACACAAATATATGGATACAGACTTGGTGGTTGCGTTGCTGCATCAGCTAAAGCTTATTCTTCTTTTGTGCCCTGGGTCACACTTAGTGTTGCTTGGGGGCTACATGTTGCACAATGTTTGGAGTTGCTCCGAGTGGTGCTCAACAGTGCAACCATGAGATACCAGGGATTAAACCCAGGGCTTCTGCACACAGAGCATGCAGTTCAGTCCTCTAAGCCACCTCCCCAGTCCTAAAGCCTGTTCTTTTTATTTGGGGGTAGTAGACCACAATGTGGCCACAATTTGGCTTGGTGTTGGAAGGCTGTACCTTGTAGTGCTGATAGGACCATGTGGTACCAAGGACAGAATTCGAATCTTCTGAACTCAAAGTATGTGCTGAGCCTATTGAGCTCACTCTCCTATCCCTTAGAGCTTTTTCCGTAAGTTTTATTTATTCATTTTCGGGCAACACATAGCTGTAATTTGGTTTTACTCCTAATTCTGTGCACAGAGATGACTCCTAACTGGCTCAAAGGACTATATGGCATGCCAGGGATTGAACTACCCAGGTCGGGCAAGTGCAAGGCAAGCACCCTCGCCACTGTATTATCTCTCCAGCCCCTAAAGCTTGTTTTTTTGAGTGGGGGGTGGCTGTTTGGGGTGATAGCTATTAGTACTCAGGAGTCATTCCAGGCTCTTAGTTTAGGAGTGACACCTTGATGGTGCTTGGGGGATCATGGGTAGTGACAGGGATTTGAACCAGGAGTAGCTACCTTGCAGAGCAGGCACCTTAACTCTTATAATACGTCTCTGACTCCCTCAAGTTTATTATTATTTTTTGAGGGGGTGAGGGGTTGGTGGTGTTGGGCCACAACCAGGGGTGCTAAAAGCTTATTCATGACTCTGTATTCATGGATCACTCCTGATATTCTGGTGTTGCTGGGCGTCCATGTGTGGTGCCAGGGATCAAAAAGGGGTCAGCCATATGTAAGGCAAGCACCTGACCTCATGTACAATCTCTCTGTCCCCTAATTATTCTTGGATTTTGTGGGGCTTTTTTGGGTTTGGGGCCACACCCAGCAACACTCAGGGATAATTCCTAACTCTCCACGCAGGAATCACTTTTGGCAGTGCTCAGGGAACCATATGAGATGCCAGGGATGGAACCCTGGTTGGCCACATGCAAGGCAAGGGCCCTATCTGCTGTACTATCGCTCCACCCACCCCTGCCCCAATGTCCCCAGCTTATTCCTAAAAGATATATAAAACTTTGTACCCAGCCAGTAGAATCACATCTTTTCAAAGGCTTAGCACTTTAACACACACATCAAATGCCATTACCTGGCTGGCCTCTAATGACAGAGCTTCTAGCTGTCCTTCCAGTCTCATCTTTTCTTTGCGAATCTGCAACATTTCATCCTGTGTCTCAGCAACAGAGCTTTCCAAGGACACACTGTAGGGGAAAGAAAGAATCAGCCAGTTGGAATGTGAATGATGATTATTTTTTCTTACACTTCTCTCTAACTTCCAAATTCTAGACTCTTCTACTAGTCTAAAATATCTGAAAATACTTTTTGGAATTGGTTTTAGGGCCACAACCAGTGGTGCTCATCACTCTTGGCACCGCTTAGGGGACCTTATGTGGTGCTGGGTATTGAACCTTGCAAGACAAATGCCCTACTCGCTGTATTATTGCTCTGACCCCTGAAAATAAAAAGATTTAAGAGAGCTGAACAATAGTACAGTGGGTATTACACTTGCCCTGCATGTGGCTGCCCCAGGTTTTATTCCCTACACACCCATATGCCCTCTAGCCCTACCAGGAATGATTCCTGAACAGAGAGCCAGGAGTAAGCCCTGTACACCGGGATGGCCCCCAAAATAATAACAACAAAAAACAAAGCCCTCCCCCCACAAATGAAAAAGATAAAAGAGAGCTCAAGTTCTTATAAGAATGCTAACAATGAGCATACTTCCGTACCAGGTCGACCCATTCCACCACCATGTATAGTGAGGAAAGCACCTGGGCACTTTAGGGAAAAGGTTACTTAAAGATGGGAAGAGGGTACAACTTAATGTTGCAGGAGATTACTGATAAGATCTAATTCTAGTGTCTATTATTGTGAGGACCATTTGGTGCCAAAGCTCGAACACAATCTCACGGAGGCAGACATGTTCTCTACCACTTGAGCCCCATTCACAGTCTGTTTAACATTACTTCTTTCAAAGCAACAGATCTGGATATAACAAAATGCTGAGAAAGATAACTTAAAGTGGTACCACCCACCTGCTGCAAATGCTGTCTGTCCGGCTCCGGGTCTCCCCATTGACCTCTTGCTGTTGGTGCCGGTATTCGGCTGCTGCAGCTTGAAGAACATCTGTGATGGAGGGGAACTGACCCAGTGCACCAGCAGCTATCTCCTGGCCATTGATCACATAGGAGGCTTCTCTCACATCCACAGGGTTTGTCGGAAGGCCATGTGTGCCTTGGGCAGAAACACTGCTGTAGGAGGAGCTGTCACTCTCATTCCCATCCGCCTCAGATGCAGTGTCTCCCAAGACTGACAAGCCCTCCAGGCGCTCCTCTGTCTCCGGACACAGGCTGATCTCAGATACAACTGATGCGGCCCCACTCCGGTGCTGCTTCAGGGAAACCCTTGCGGAGTCCACAGCTGGGACAACAGAATTCCCAATGTCTGAGTCTTCAGTTTTATAATCAGCCAGAGACCGAATTTTGCTTAACTTGGAACTTTTCTTCTCTTTAGAGTGTGCCAGGAGCCCTAAGCTACCCACCTTTGGGCCCCGAGGGACATTAGTGCGCAGGAAAGAGTATTCTTTTGTCATAGCCACAGCACTGGCTCTTGGCAAGGTTTCTGGGTTCAACATAAGTTCAGGATCAAGTGTGCTAAAAAGTCTTGATTTAGTTGCAGGTTGATTAGACTGAGAAGAAAACAAAAATCAAAAAATTATGTATAAAAGTAACAGCAGGAAACTGCTACCCAGAATGGCTGCAACAATGACATTCCCCTAACTCCTATCCCATTCTGTTCATACACAGCAATCTAGGCTTAGACTGGGCATAGTCACTTGAGAGCACCCATGAGGCTCCAGGGATTGGATGATGTTGATGATCCAATGTGGTCAGCAGCATGCAAGCGAGCACCATAACCCCTGTACTATCTCTGGCCTCCAAACTACTCTTTTAAAGAAAGTTGGAATTTCTCTCTCTCTCTTAGGCTTTTGGGCAACATCCGGTGGTATGCAGTAAGTACTCCTTGATCGGTGCTCAGGGTCACAAATGGCAGTGATTGAGGGACGATAAGTGGTCAAGTGTCAGTGATCAAGTGATCAAACTGGGGTCTCCCACATGTACAGCATATGCTCTGACCCACTGGACTATCTTGCAGGCCCTGGAATTTCTCTGTTAATTAAAAAAATGTCCTGTGTAATTTGCCAGGACCATTAAAGTTAACCATCTCCAGCACAAAGTCCTGACAGTTATCAGATTATAAACAAGAAGGGGCTCTTCCTCATCATTCCATACCTACTTAAGTACTTGTCTGGATAATGTTCCTCATGCTAAAGAAGAGTTTCTAAGCAAATGTCCTTCAATTCCTAAGCTAGTGGTTTTAGAATCTTATTTAAAACCTTTTCAGCACCTTACTAAAGGGGACACGAGGGCTGACCACACTGACTTCAGAACTTCCCCAAGCCCATACCCTGTGCCATCCCAGGAAGCAGCTTGCCTTCAGGCAGGAAGGTACAAATCTAACTGCTGTCCTGACACAAGTGGTCACTGTGGCTCTGAGACTGGCCAATGGCATTCCTCTAGGATCTTGGAGACACTGATCTGTGGGTGGGACAGCACCTCCCATGGTTCTCTGCAGTCTCCAGATTAGGCAGGGGCTGGGATGCAGCCTTCCTCAAAGGAGGGGCTAGATGAACAGACAGAGACTGTCAAGTTAGTCATGATAACGATGCAGAGCAAGTATTTTGAGAGAAAATTCTGTACCTTACAGGAGAAAAATAAGTATCTGTACAGTTTAACCACCACTTTCACACATCTACGTACTATGTAAAGATTGATACTTGTTGAACTTTGTATCTGGAAATAACACTGCATTTCTGGGGCCTGAAGTTCCCTGAGGCTGCCAGTGCAGGACAAATCTGGCTCAGCTACTTCACTGCTGAACGATCTTTGGCAAAATTCTTGATTGAATGCCACGTGTTTTACATGACTGCTGTGCCATCTATAGTACCGAAGTCCAAATTTACTCCAGGGCCCATACCCAAAGACAGATTACTGACTGGCACAAACTCTTTCTGCTGGACCACCTAACAGATACCTGAAGACCACTGACCTGGCTGAAGCCAGTCAGCTCTAAGCCTGATGTTGGCCTCCAGTCCTTTCATGAAAGTCAGAATTACACAGGAAAATAAACAGCAGCCCGTGAAGAGAACTCACACCTTATATCACCTGCTGAAAGCAATACTGAGGGGCAGAGGGAAGGGATTTAGGCCACACCTGGCAGTGCTTAGGGTTGCTCACGGTGGTTCTCAAGAGAACCATGCAGTGTCAGGGTTCAAATCCGAGCTTTCTGCACACAAAGCTTGCCCTCAGCCCACTGTGTTATCTCTCCAGCCCTGAAATTAAAAGTATTTACAATAAAAAAATTAATCTTTAGGAACTGACTTTAGGAATTGACTTCAGGGCTAGAGAGACAGCTTAAAGGGCTGAATTCATGTCTTGTATGTTGGAAGCCTGTTAGATACTAGCATGGCATGGTCCATCAAGCACAACCAAGAACTGTCCCTGAGCACCATAAGAATGGCCCTCAAATAAAATGCTTTGAATTTCAAAGTTTTTCAAATCCACAGAAAAGTTGGATGAAGTGAAATGTAAATATTCACACCACCTTATCTGCTTTTGTGAGCATGCTGGCAAGTGTTACACCTGAATAAAACTAGTGACTAGCATACCACACAGGTAGGTCCATAAGAATGTGAGGCACATACAAATGTTCACACATAGCATGACATCACTTGTATAACTTCTGAAAGTAGGGTTCACTGGCCTGGCCCAGTGAACAGGGAAGCAACCCTATCCAAGAATTCGCTTGGTTTTCTCTGCTTCCCAAATGGCAGATTTAAAAATAAAATAACTTATTTCAAGGGAAGAATGACCAAACAGGGCAGGAATCGCCCTAGTATGGGAAGCAGGAGAGAAATGATCTTCTCAGACTTGCACAAAAAAATCAATAGGAGGTACCAGAATCACGTCCAATTACTATTGTGTATACAAAGTTTCTATGAGCTAAATCTAGGATGGGAGAATTACTCACTCGTTCCTGATGGCGTTTCACCCGATACTGCCTGAGCTGTTCTTCTAGTCGTTTCCGAGCCTGAAGGCGAACCTGTTCCTCCTTCTCTAGTGGCAGGGAAGCCTCTGTTGAACCTGCAAAAGGGTCATATCACTTAGAAACTCACATAGCACCAGTGCAGAGGAAAGCAGTAGCTTGTTTGTTCGTTTAAATGCCAACACGACTTAGCATCTGATCAATTCATTTGAAATATGAGTTCCAGGTACAGAGGAAACAGACTTTTTTCGGAGTGGGGGGTGGCAAACCTAGTGGTGTTCAAAGCTTACTTCTAGCTCAATGCTCAGGGTTCACTCCTGGTGGAGATCAGGGCATCTTATGGTGTGCAGGGGATCGAACCTGGGTCAGCCACATGGGAGGAAGTGCCTTACCTGCTATACTATCTCTCTAGTCTTTAAAACTGAGCCTTGAGTGAACAGAGACTGACTGGTAGAAAATACACTGGCTAGCACAGGTCTGTGTTCGTACAAGTATACAACTCTCTGCCTTTCAAGCATCAGAAGAACTGAATCTAAAGTTGATGCTGGTGCTGAGTGGTTCTAGGGCTATGGATGCCCAAACAGCTTTGGTTTTACAGAGGGAGACATAGACAGCAGGCCGGAGAGATAGAAATATGCCTGTCAGGGGGCCAGGTAACAGTTGCCATACTTTGATTATGCAGTTACACCTATGGCATCATCTGAGTCGTAGCTATCCCCATCTTGCACCAACAATCATCTAAATAAGGCGTGTAAAATTAAAATTTCTTCAAGAAATATGGCATTCATTTAGGAATAAAACTGCTCACATCAACCCATTCAGGACTTACTAAGCAACTACAATAGGTCTGGGGCCAGTTCCCAGATTGCTGCAGGGGCTATGCTCACACACAGGGCAGGAAATAAAAGTCCTTGGTCATTAAAAGTATTTAAATTATCTAACACCAAGTGGGCAGGAGCGATAGTACTGCAGGTAAGGCACTGATCTTGCACAAATTGACCAGGTTTGATACCTGGCCCCATATATGGTCCCTTGAGCAGTGCAACAGTGCTAAAAGTGATCCGAGTGGGGAGCCAGGAGTATGCCCTGAGAAATGCCAGATATGGTCTGCTGTATAATCTATAGGTGGCAAGGGGAGAGCCCCAGTGACTCTCCCCTTGCCGCCTGGGTTAGGGGACCTCGAGCCGCTCCCCCAGAGGGGGCGGCCTGGGCCATGGGGCAGACGGAGGAGAAAATGGAAGAGGAAACGAGGGCCAAGACGGTTGATTGATCAGATGCTGTTTATTCCGTTCTCCCCACGCGCCTGTTCCAGTCTGTCTAAGCCCCCCATTCTAGTCTCACACTGCTCCTCATTCCCGTTCTCCTCATGTCTCTCCCGCTCATCTTTCTGTGTTCCATCTCGCAGCCTGGGCTCTCACTCCACGCGCTTGCTCCTGTATTCTTCTACATTCTTCTCTCTCAGTCTCCCTTGCTAGTCTATCCCGGCTCCATCTTGTGGCCTTGCTCTTTCTCTCACCTCTCTCCAACTCTCTCCTCTCTCTCACTCCCCACCAATTTGGGGCCCGAGGCCACACCCTGTCATTACCAAAATCAACATAAGAAAGCCCTTCCTTTGCTCTGGGACAAAATACCTCTTAGTGTTTTTCCCCTTTCCTCAGTCCAATAATTCAATTAACATCTTAGTTCTACTTCTTAATATTGGTTATTTTTGTATGGATACAGTAAGAGATACATTGAGGCTTGTAGGGCAGCTCTCCTAGGAACATCTTGCTACAGACTCAGACTACAGTGCTCAGGCCAGATTAATCATTCCTAACACTAGCAGGGTCTGAATCCAGTTATTACTTTTTGGATCATGACAGAATTCATCCATGACAATGCTCTTAACTCATAGGTAAGCATTATGGCGCTTTGACCAGGCCAAAGTACCTGGCATCTTGATGTCAGGGTAGCACATAGCTCATTGCTTGCCCTGGGTCCATCCAGTCCCTCATCGGGACCCTGCTTTTGGGGTGCTAGGAAGTAAGGGCAACTGAGGCTTAGGTTGAGAGATGCCCAGGAGGAAAATATCATTTAGAGTCAACTGACTTCCACGTTACAAAAGCATAGAATTTACTATCTTCCTGTGCCCATACAAAAGGACATTGCTTTGAATAAACTATGCAAAGGACTTAAGGAAAAGAGAAAAACAATATTTACAAGTCAACAGAGGACAAAGAAAGAAGTTACAAATAAACACAGAGAAATGGGAGCACTGTAATTGGAGTAACCCAATAAGCCTAAGCTCCCTGCAGCAAGGCAAAAAAGACAAACCAATGTTATCCTACAGCTCCCAAACCAAAAACCAAAACAAAACTTTGGGGCCAGAGTGATAGTACAGTGGGCAGGGTGCATAACTTGCACATGGCTGATCAGGGTTCCATCCCAGCATCCCGTAGGACACCCTAAGCATCACCAGAAGTGATCTCTGATCCCTCAATGCCAAGAGTAAGTCTTGAGCACTGCCAGGTGTGCTGGATTAATCCAAAACCAAAACCAAAACCAAAACCAAAATAAGTAAAAATGAAGTATTTCATGTCAGTGAGATCATACTTAAGACACAAACCTGGTGTGTGGATGATCCTAGTCTGATCCCTGGCCCCCTGAACACTACCCAACTAAGGTCTTGGAGGCCCCCAGCACTTGCTGGAATGGTCCAGGTATTCCTGGTATCACAGAGCCCTCATACCACAGCATCCTCAGGTCTTCACATTGAACCACTGGTCCAGGACACCAAGAATCACCAGGAGGAACCTCTAAGAAACTTGGGAGCTTCCTCCCCCCAAAAATAAAGTATCCAAAAACTAATCCTCCAACTCTGATAATGTTAAGACCGAATAGAGTGCATGCCATGTATTTTCTCTCATATACAGAAGATACCCATATAAAAAGTGCAGAGGGTCAGTGAATATGTTCACCACACATTATGTGGCCTAATTTCTTTTGGGGGAACTTTATTTTTTAATTGAATCACAGTGAGATACACAGTTACAAAGTTGTTCATGACTGGGGTTTGGTCATACAGTATTCCAACACTCATCACAAGTGTACATTCTCACCACCAGTTACCTTCCAATCCCTGCCCCACCTGCCTTTATGGTAGACTCTCACACTTATTCTCTCGTTTTTCTCTCACTTTCTCACTCTTTCATACTCTCTCTCTCTCGTCAGAGATTTTGTGAAGAAACCACCAATGTCAATACCAATTTATGCATTTATCACTGAAAAAAGCTCTAATACATATCACAAGGGGAGAACCAGGACCTCTGGCCAGTAGCAGAGAACACAAACCAGTAAGCCCAACATCTACAAGGTCAGGGAGGTAAACACTTTTTCTCAGAGGGGTAGCAGACAGCAGAAGGTTGTCAAGTGGATATCTCAAAGAATCCCTCAGACCCAGAATCAGGACTTTCACACAATGTCTCCAACTGAAAAGACGGTCGTACATTTCTAATTTTTGTTTGTTTAATGTTGGTTTATTTTTGTACATTTATTTTTCCTTCTAGAGGTTTAAAAAAATTATTTTAAATTTTTTTTGGGGGCCACATCCAAAAGATGCTCAGGGTTACTCCCTGCTCTGTGCTCAGGAATTACTCCTGGTGGTGCTTAAGGTACCATACAGGATGTTGGGGATCTAACATGGGTTGGCTGCAGGCAAAACAAGTGCCCTACCTGATGTATTTCTTCAGCCCCTCATTTCTACATAATGCAGCCCTAACAAAATATGCCCACAATGGAAAAGGCAAATGACCCCAAAAACAATGAACCAAACATACGAACAACAATTTATAGAGCATGGCCAAATGGCCAGAAAACATATAGAGATGGGCAAATGCTCAGGTTGGTGTATACCATGTCACAGCACATCTGTTGCTGTGTGGGTGGGAGGGCAGGTGGCAGTATCTTCTCGGGCTACTCGATCACCCGTGAAAAGGATACTGGGATGTCGCCCACAGAAATGGAAGCACCAAGGCTGTAGATCCACATTCTGAGGCCCCTGCTACATCCTGGCCCACACTCAGAATAGCCAGGTTTGGAGTTCCTTCTCAGCCTTAAACAATGAATTTGGAGGACCGAGAAATATAGCTCAAAGGTAGAGCACTTGTCTTGCACACGTGGAGCTCTTGGTTTGATCCTTGGTACCAAAAAATAATTTGAAGCTACATCAGAAAATGTGGAGTGGCTGCAGAGACAGTACAGTAAGCAGGGTGCTTGCCTTACATGCAGCCAACGCAGGTTCAGTCCCTGATGTCCCACATGGCCTCTGAGTTCACCAGGAATGATGCCTAAGCACAGAGCAAGGAGTAAGTCCTGAGCACAGTCAGGTATTGCCCAAAAACATACACATAAAAAGAAGAAAATGTGAAACATCCTGCATATCACAATGTGGTGAGAACACACAATAAATGGCAACAATATGATACCATTTTAAACACAGAGGCTGTTCATAGAGGCCCATGAGGAGATGGAAGACCATGGCTGATGTGGTCGGACAGGAACAGGGAGGATACTGAAAGGAAGATGGGGTATGTGTGACAGGAGCTCCTCATGCAACATTACAGACGTGTGTTATCACAAAAAAAGTACGAGGAAAGACCTGGAGTTGATCACCAGGCATTAGGACAAAATAACCATTGATTATAACAATTCATGAAAGAAATCCTTCCAAATTAATTACCTCATTGAAAGCCTGCTCACAATCCACAGTGACAGAGAATGTGCAACACGGGCCCTTTAAACCTGGATTGTAAGCATCAGTGTCAAAATCAGAGATGAAGTTCAATACCCAGGTGCACCTGCTCTCTTAAGATGGAGCTGTGAAATGTGCACCCACCAAAGCAATCACACAGTGAATGGCAGAAGGAGGAGCAAGAAGCACACTGAAGGGGGTAAGTGACAAGGACTTGGGAGTGGGAAGACCCGGTGGGAACAGATGCTTACACAGTTGCGTTTCTTGCATAGGAAGACTGAGTCTGAGAGACTGCAAAGCTTCTTTTCTAACACTGCCCTCAGCACTAGGTCCCTGAGACTTCCTTAGGTTGTCATGGAAACCAGCCACACCTGAAGAGGCATCAGGACCCACTGGGCTTGTGGTGGGACTAGGAGATGGAGAGTCTGGGAACGGTGATGTTGGCCCATTCTGCCAGGTGTTCCCCTTGTCAGGTATATCCCTACTTTCTCCTTCAGCGGAAGCTCTGTTCACCTCATCATCAGCACCTGAAAGAGAGAGTGTGATGGGCATTACAGCTTTAACAACTAGATCAAGTTCTTGTTTTCCTTTCTTTTTTCTTCTTCTTCTTTTTTTTTTAATTCAGACACACATGGCTGGAGCCATAGCACCGCGGGTAGGGTGTTTCCCTTGCACTGGGCCGACCCTGGTTCGATTCCTCCATCCCTCTCAGAGAGCCTGGCAAGCTACTGAGAGTATCCCAGCCCCAATGGCAGAGCCTGGCAAGCTCCCTGTGGCTTATTCGATATGCCAAAAACAGAAACAAATCTCACAGTGGAGACGTTACTGGTTCCTGCTCGAGCAAATCAATGAACAATGGGAGGACAGTGCTACAGTGATAACTCAGACACATAGCTAAAATCAAACAAAAGATAATCCAAGTAAGAGAGCTCAGCAATCTGCAAACCCCATAAATCTGTGCCCTCAGGCCTCATCCTTCTGTGGGTTGGTGTGGAGACAGGCCTCTCCACTTCTCAGGGTCTCAAGGCCCTCACCCTCTCTATACAATGAGCATAAGTAATATACATAAGTAGTAATATTTTCTAGATTAATCAAAAATCTTACCGTGAGTTTTTTAAAAATAGCAAAAGAAAACATGCTTAAAACAGCTGTGTTTCCAAGAGGTGATGTTTATAGCAGCAATGGGGGAGTAAGTTTTAAACTTAGGACAGCAGATTCTGAAGTTACTTTAAAGCAAGGAGGCGGCTTATCAAGCCTACACAACTGTAAGTCGAAGGCAAAGAGGATCAAAACAATTCTGGCAAAGCTGAACACAAAACTGGAGTCTTGCTTCTGCCTGAGAATACCTGCCAGGTCAAACTCAAGCTTACAGAGCCGTCATCAGCAAGCCATTTTCTATTTCAGGCGCCAGAGCCTTGTATTTCCAGCACTATGACACAGTTTCTGGTAGCAAACTGTACATCCTACACTCTCAACAATTTTCCAGCAGACTGCACTGACTCCCCTGGGTTAGAAGAGGCATGAGAACTAAGTGATAACTTTATCCTGCACTTCAGCTGCATAAATGATACACCAGTGAACATGCAGGTATGATCCAATAATTACAGATCATGACTGGACCATGGCTGGATCTCTGTTAGTAAAATTCTGGCAAGCAAACAAACAAAAAGGTAGAAAGTTAGGCAAGGAATAATAATCTGTCAGCAAAGACAACCATGCGGGTCCACAGTGGTGGAGCTCCAATTCTGTTTGCTTACTTTTGCGGGGTCACATCCAGCAGTGCTCTGGACTTACTCCTGGCTGTGCTCAGAGATCACTCCTGGCGGTGTCTGGGGGAAACCTTACAGGGTGCTGGGGATTGAACCCAGATTGGGTGTATTTATGGCAAGCACCTTACCTGTCCGGTCCTCCCTATTCTAGTTAAACCACACAGTACTTGTATAAACTAAGGAAAGAAACTACTAGTATACACTTTTATTTTTTCATCTTTTTTTGTTTGTTTTGGGGCCATACCTGGAGGTACTAGGGGCTACTCCTGACACTGTGCTAGGTAGAGATTATTCCCAACGGTGCTTATATCAAACTTGGGCATCACTCATTCAAAACAGTACTCAGAGCTTTGAGCAATCTGGCCTCCTAGAATATACTTCATTTTTTTTTGGGGGGGGGGGTCACACCTGGCTATGCTCAGAACTTTCTTCTAGTTCTGTACTTAGGAATCACTCTTAGCAGAAATTGGGGACAATGTGGGGTGCAGGGCAAGCACCCGCCTACTGCACTATTTCTCAGGCCCCAAATACACTTTTTTTTGTCTTTTTGGGTCACACCTGGCGATGCACAGGGGTTACTCCTGGCTCTGCACTCAGGAATTACCCCTGGTGGTGCTCAGGGGACCATATGGGATGCTGGGAATCAAACCCGGGTCAGCTGCGTGCAAGGCAAACGCCCTACCCGCTGTGCTATTGCTCCAGCCCTCATTTTTAATTTAATTTTTAGCTTTTTTGCTTTGTTGCTCACACCCAGAGATGCTCAAGGTACCAAGATGCAGTACAAGAGATTAAACATCGACCTCCAGCATGCAAAGCATGTACTCAACCCACTGAGTTTTATCTCTGGCCCTCTAAAATATAACTATAAGTGAATACAAACTTCCCATTGTCTCATATACTAGTCCTCTCAGGTTAAGCTCAGCTGCCAGTAAGCTCAGTACAAGCTTCTGAGTAAGGGCAAAACACCCCCAGCAATGTCACAGATAACTTACATTGAGCTCCCTCTCTTGAGGCAGGCAGCATCTGTGAGCCTGGAGGCTCTGTGGAGCTCTCAAGGCAAGTTGAGGAGACACTGCTTGATCCTTCCTCAGAGAGACCATCCTGTACCGCCGAAGCACCTTCCATGGTTAAGAACCACACAAGTGGGGTTGACACTCAGGACCGGCAAATATACTGTTGGCAACCTTGGCTTCTTCCATCAGCAATAGCATCAGGCTCCCAGGAATGACTGCACAAGGTTTTTCATCTTTAGAAGAATTAACGTCTCATAAGTGACTTGAAATTAAGTAATATCATCGTATCTGATAGGAAGGAAAAAAGACATTATGAAACAATCTGTCAGATTTGAAATAACTATTCTAATTTTTTTAATAATGTAGAAGTACTGCTATTTGTTCAGCCATTGATTAAGCTGATTGAATTGGGCATGAACTCCACATTACTTTTTTTTTTTTAATTGTATCACCATGAGATAGTTACAAAGCTTTCACATTTGAGATTCAGCCATACAATGATGGAACACCCATCCCTCCACCAGTACACATTTTCCACTACTCACATCCCAGTCCTCACCTTGCTCTATGGCAGACAATTTCCTCAACACTCTCTAATTTTGGGCATTATGTGTTTTTTTTTTCTTGTTGTTGCTTTTTGCCTTTTGGGTCACACCCGGCGATGCACAGGGGTTACCCCTGGCTTTGCACTCAGGAATTACTCCTGGCGGTGCTCAGGGGACCATATGGGATGCTGGGATTCAAACCCAGGTTGGCCGCAGGCAAGGCAAATGCCCTACCCACTGTGCTATCGCTCCAGCCCCTTGGGCATTATGTTTTACTTGAAATTTCCCACCATCATTCAAGCCTACCTACCAGGGGCAGATGCTAGGTACTTTATTTTCCATTGTTCATTTTGAGCATCATGAGAGGTCGCATTGCACATGATTATAAATGTGAATTTCTAGACTGTAAATGATTGGGTTCCAGAGATATCTCTGTATGGCAGAAATTCATTTTGGGATTCAATTGGGAGTCTCTAGGTCAGGGCTGTTGGTGTGCTAAGATGGCACCCGGAGGCAAATTATGGGTGTGACAGCCAGTCTACTGGACAGGTGGGGTCCCGAGGCGGGGTAACCTGGGTCCTCTGCCACCATGTGTCCTGGAGATTTAGTCCTGGGACCCCATACAGGGTGGGGGTGGGGGGCTTGTTTGTGGAAGCTTTTGGTCACAGGGATTCCATCTGGAGTAGGTGGGGAGAGCGCATCTGCTCCGTGGTGAGCCTGGGGTGCCCCGGTGAAATTGGCCCGGTATGGGGCCCGAAGAGAACAATTCCAATATTAACATTTGGTTACCAGGGGACAAAGAGATAGTACAGTGGCTAAGGCAATTGCCTTGTATGTAGCCGACCCAAGCTTGATCCCCGGCATCCCATATGGTCCCTCAAGTCCGCCAGGAGTGATCCCTGAGTGCACAGTCAGGAATAACCCCTGAGCACCACCAGGTGTGGCCCTCAAACCAAACCAAACACCATTTGGTTACCAACCAGCAAATACAGATTTTATTTAGCAAATAACCCATGAGCACCTGCCTCACCAAATTTTAAATTTTTATTTTTACAAAGTTGTTCACAATAATTGATTACATTTAATATTAGAAAACCAATCCCACCACCAATATACCCTCCAGTCACCATATTTCGAATATTTCCATCTCAAACCCCCAACCCTGCCTCCAAAGCAGAACCGAAGTAATTTCTTTGTATTGCTTGTTATAAATATTCCACTAAAAATGATCCAGAAAAGTTTTCTTAGGGGTGAGTGAATATTGCTGTATTTCAACCTAGGAGCCATTAAGGCCTTCTATAAGAGATCAGTGGGGCTGGAGTGATAGCACAGCGGGTAGGGCGTTTGCCTTGCACATGGTTGACCCGGGTTTGATCCCCAGCATCCCATATGGTCCCCCGACCACTGCCAGGAGTAAAGGTATGGACACTAATTTAGGAAGATACTGCCTGAAGGACAAAGAAGTTCCTAACTAGCAATGAACAGGAGAGGGACTGAAAAGAATTTTAATTTATTGTTAAACTTATTTATTATTAACCTAATCCATTACATATAAATAGGCACATGTGGCCAGTGGCTTTCATAACTGGACATGTGGGCCAAAAAGCTCACAAGTTTTCTCCCAGGAGACCTGGTGTGTTTCTGAGGACTACAGCTCATATCTAGAGGGACAAAGAACAAGAAACAACTACATAAAATGTAATCACTAGTCACTGTACTTTGTGTCCAGGAAGTGAGGATATACACACACACACACCTTCTTGGAGTTGGGATCCCAGAGAAAGTATCTCACAGCAGATAAGCAGTTTCACCCTTAATCTCTAGCAGATCCGCTATTAGTTCATCAGGTCAGGCTGAGTTTGAGTGAGCAAAACTACCCAATGTTCTATTTTTAGGGGGTGGGATGGAGGAAGAGGGGTTTGGACTATACTAGCAGTGCTCAGAGGCTACTCCTACTCACTCTATAGTCAGGGGTCACTTCTGGCAGATCTCAGAGGACCATATGCGGTTGGCTGCACTCAAGGCAAATGCCTTTAACCCTATATTATCTCTATAGGACTGCTTATCACTTTTGAAATGTACTGAGGTTATTATCAATTCATTATCTCATGAATAGGTAAGACACTAATTATCCATTCTGCAGAAATGTTGGCATTTACTGCATTAAAAAAAATTTCAGGATCAGAAAATAGTTCAAAGGGTCGAAGCACATGCTTTGCATACAGCACACACAGGTTTGATCCCACAGTGCGAGTAAGGCGGGGGTATATCCCCCTGAATGGGAAGCAGACACTGAACTCTGTCAGATTTGGCTTAAAAGCCAAAAAAAAAAAAAATAGGACTAGAGAGATAATATAGGGGCACACCTATGTTAAAGGGGATAGACCAGTCATCCTGGGCATGTTCCTTGCCTTGTGGGCATTCTCTACAGCAGCATTTGTCATTTGGTGGTCATAGGGCCATGCATGCAGCCAACATGGGTATGACCTACAGACCTGCATACAGTGTCTCAAGCAACATCAGGAATGATCCTAAGCACAGAGCCATTAATAATCCTGAGCACCACTGGGTGTTGCACAAAAATCAAAACAACAACTACAAATAAAACATTTTGGAACATGTCAGCTTAAGATGCATAATTTCTTTTTTTAATGGATCTTTTTCTCCCTCCCTCCTCTCATATTTCCTAACTTAAAACTATTTCCTTCACTTAAAAAGGAAAATAAAACACATTTCATGGGCCAGGGATGTGGCTTGAGTGGTAGAGAACATGTCATGAATGTTTGCGATCTAGATTCCCACACAATAAATTTCATATTCTATTTGCTGTTTGTGCTTCACATTTTAAGACAAAAACTTACATGGCTTTTCACTTCCAGTTTAAAAATTTCATATAAACACTCATGAGACTTGAAGCAGTGGTCTTTCCATGACAGATGACACTGACTCAGTGGCTTCTTTCTAAAAAGACCCTATTGGTAGATGCATAGCCAGGATGACCCATGCAGGTAGGGGCTAGTGACTGGAGAGTGTGTCCAGCTTTCAGCTTGAGTAGTATCTCACATGTTCTTTCTATCTTCTGGTATCCTAAAAGCCATAGACAATGTGGGTTGTCTATGATATAATACTTATGTTAAGACAGAACCTGAGGCTTAGAGGCAGTGTAACTGCCTCACAGATTAGGCTCCAGATTTGATCCTTTGTACCTCAAAAAAAAAAAAAAAGAAAGTAAAATGAAGTTATGTCCACTTTAAGTGTAAAATTAGCACTAAGGGTTTTCTCAAGAAAGGACTGTTGTCAAAATAAAAACAACGATGAGTACACTTCTGTCTATAATCAAGAAGCATTGGGTGCCAAACTAGGTAAAGGTAAAAGGTAAAGGCCCTCCCGTTGTTCGTCGATTTGTTCGAGCGGGCCCAGTAACATCTCCATTGGAGACTTTGTTGTTACTGTGTCTGGCATATCGAATACGTCACGGGGAGCTTGCCAGGCTCTGCCGTGCGGGCGAGATACTCTCGGTAGCTTGCTGGGCTCTCCAAGAGGGGCGGAGGAATCGAACTCGGGTCGGCATGATGGCTGCGTGCAAGACAAACGCCCTACCGCTGTGCTATCGCTGCCAAACTAGGTCATGTAAATATTTATTTTATTTTTTTTTTGCTTTTTGGGTCACATCCAGCGATGCACAGGGGTTACTCCTGGCTCTGTGCTCAGGAATTACCCCTGGAGGTACACAGGGGACCATATGGGATGCTGGGAATCAAACTCAGGTCAGCCACTTGCAAGGCAAACACCTTACCCGTTGTGCTATTGCTCCAGCCCTGGTCATGCAAATATATATATATATATATTTATTATTATTATTGGTATTATTATTTTTTTGCTTTTTGGGTCACACCCGGCAATGCACAGGGGTTACTCCTGGCTCTGCACTCAGGAGTTACTCCTGGCGGTGCTCAGGGGACCATATGGGATGCTGGGAATTGAACCTGGGTCGGTCGCGTGCAAGGCAAACGCACTACCTGCTGTGCTATCTTTCCAGTCCCTGATCATGTAAATATTGAAAGGCTGAACTGACACCAGAAAATTGATGGGAGTTATAAAGGTTGGTCCAAAGGACATCTTACATGCAGCCAGTCCTCACTTATATTTGTTGTTTCTTATTTGGGAGGGGGCTCGGGGGCCACTTCTGGCAGTACTTGACCATACAGGCCTATGGTTGAATTCTTGGGAGCCTGCAACAGGATGCTGATCAGGCCCAGTTTGCCACTGGGGGCCAAGTGGTGACAGGGACAAAACATCTGCATGTGTCCCTGATTGCTGACCTATCTTCTGGTCCCTCAATCATGCTTTGTCTCTACAATAACTAGTAACATATTTCATCCCTGGAAAGACTTTTCAAGTAGAAAAGTGAACCAACAAGCATTTGGAGGTTCTACTCTTGCAGATCCCATGGACCCCTCAAAAATCACCTGTTCACAGTTGTAGACCCTGTCTCAGTTAAAATCCCACACACTCTCTAGAACAGCCATTGGCATTATAAAGCAGTGTCTTTTAACCTTTTCCAACTGTGGCCTCCTTCTAACCTTGTTTGCTATCTGTGGCCCCACTATACTACTAGTTGCTTTTCTAATCTCATGCCATGATACTCCATTTTTGGTGATTTTCACCTGTGGAATTACTGAAATAAAATGGGAACCCACTGGAGTCCAAATAGCCCCCAAGTGAGAAATGCTGCTACAGAGAATGTCCACAAACAAGGCAACACACATGCTCAGGATGACTGAGCTACTATCCCCTTCTACACAGGTATGCCCTCTTTAAGGACAGAGGATCATAATGTGAAAAACCAAATACAGTGGAACACAGAACCAACTCTCACCGTGCAAGACACACCATATGTGCTGGCTACTCTTACAAGTTCTTTTCCAAAGAAACTGTTGACGGGCGTGTGGTCAGATACAGTTCAATAGACTGAGCACATATATGCTTTGCATGCAGTTTGCCTCCCAGTACCACATGGTCCCCTGAGCACCTCTGGGAGCAACCCTCAAGCACAAAGGTGGGAATGGTTCCTTGAGCACCACCAAATGTATCCCTAAATGCCCCCAATATTTTTAAATTAAGAAATAGTTTTTATTGTGCTTTGAAGTACTTTTGCTTCTGTCTTGTGGGTATGGGTATGAAGATATCTAAATAAACTAGGGGTATTACATTCCTCTGTGTGCGTGCGTGTGTGTATTGGGGGGGGGTGTCACATAACCTTTACATTGCTTGTTTTGAAATATATTTTAAAATGATTACCATCAAATAATTGATTTGTACACCTATACCTATATACCTCAGGGTCATGTAAAAAATTTTTTAGGAGAGGGGCTGGAGTGATGGTACAGAGGGTAGGGAGTTAACCTGGCACAGGGCCAACCCAGGTGCCATCCTCGGCATCTCATAGAGTTCCCAGAGCCTGCCAGGCATGACCCCTGAACACCGCTGGGTGTGGCTCAAAAATGAAAACAAAATTTCTTCGACAAAAGGGGTCAGGAATGGAAAAAGCTTAAGAAAGTCTAAATCATCTCTGTGCTCCCTCTGATACCTGAAAAGCAAACATTAAAAGATAGGTGCTTTTAAGTCTATTTTTGTGGCCACACCCAGTAGGGTTTTGGGGCTATTTCTAGCTCTGCACTTGTGCACTGCTCCAAAATTCTTCTGCTCTGCTACGATGATTTTCTTTTCTGAAAAGTCAATCAAGTTCACAGGTATCATGGTTCCACACTAACCGTTAGGTGCTCTGATGTCTCCTGCAAAAGCATCTGTTCCACTCCATTCTGCAATAGCAATCTCTCCTACATGCACATCACACTGCAAACATGTGTATGCTCATCATAAACAGAACCCTTGCAGGCAGAGACCATCACTCCAGATGTGTCCTCCACTGCCTCAAACATCACCATTCAGAATGGTTCAAAACAGGTCGACAAATCATTGGTCCTTCCTTGGCAAGCGAGCTAATAGCTCTAAAACAGTAATGATATTCGTACTCTGAGCATCAACACAGCTTTTTTGGTTTGCTTTGAGGCCAAACTCAGTGGTGCGCAGGACTTACCCCTGGCTTTTGCTCACTCCTGGCCGACTAGGAAGGGAACACATGGGGAGCCAGTGATACAACCCAGGTCTGCAGTGTGTCAGACAAGTGTCCAACCCACTGTGCTATCTCTCCAGTTGCCAGCACAGCTTTTTGAAATAAGGTAGAGGTCTAAGAATTCCTACTAAAGATCTGTAAAGTACAGTTTCAATGAGCAATAAGAATGTCATCAGGAGTGTTAAACTGAAAGCAGCAGGAATAGCCACAACCCAGGCATGCAACATCACCTAAGTGGGAAGGAAAAGCAGAACAAGCAAGAGGAGTGGATTTATTTACTATGAATGGCACATACTAACCAGGACAGCCAAGGATCTGCAGACGAGACTGTGCCACCAAGGCACTTAATAACAATTCCTGAGCCTAATGCTGTACCAGGGAGAGAAACACTGACCAAGGAACTTGAGTTCCCCTGAGGAAGGCACCCTGAATATGGAGCCTGTGCAGCATACCTGAGTCCAGGGACACTGCACACTCCCTTCAATTTCCCCCTCACTTGCTATTCATACTTCAGAACCCTCCTAATGCCCAAGTCATCCTACTCTAGTCAGAGATGGATGACCCAGTCCACTAGAACATGATAGCTGGCTTCTGTGCACAGAAAGCTCCTCCTGAAGTTGGAAGAGAGACGAAATTCAGTAACTGACTGAAACAGCCTCCAGTGAAGAAACACTCTTTTCTGAGGCAACAAACTTGACATTTTCTGTCAGTCTCACGTGAATTTTCTTTAGTATGACTCAGTCATTCAGGACCTCATTACCTCAGATTGTTGACAAAAACAGGACAAAGAAAACCATCAGAGAGCTGAAGGCACACATCATAAAGAAACTGCTATTAGTAACACAGATTCACTTTGCAATTTTTCATTTTAATAGATAGGCTTTATTACAATATCAATTTTTACAGTGGCCTCTCCAGCAATGCATACAGAATACATCCACAATACATCCAGTGTTGCTGGGGTGGCAACACAAGAAACTGGGCATCACACTCGTGGTCTTGCACATACAAGAAGTATGTCTACCCCAATTTAGCTAGCTCCCTGGCCTCCACTGGTATCAGCATCATGTCTGATCACCTGCATCCACTGTGTTTTCTGGGTAGAAAAGCTATGGCTCAAAACCTTGGGAAGTGTTCACAACCCTAAATCACCCCTGTGATTTTCCTTCTGAGAAACCACAGTGCTGATTCCCAGCTTTCTCTGCTCCAGTGGACTACATACATGACCTCCGTAGACACACGTGAACAGTTTCATCCACTCCACCTAACTTAAGCTGTTTTTCCTGGCGATCAGAACCAGGGCACGGCCCAAATAAAGCAGGACTTCCTTAAGCGATCACTCGAGGAGACAGAAGCAAACACCACAGACACACAAAGTGACGATCAGGGAACTCAGAGCAGGGTTGTCTGCTTCAAACCTTGACTCGGGCACCGACGCTTCCCAGACCACGAGCAGAACCCTCACCCACCCGCAGCCGGCTTCCCGGTCTAAGCTGCGGAAAGCAAAAGAAACTTAGGCCAGGCGGAAGGCCACCTGCACAGGGTCTACCCCAGACCCTGGATCAGCAGAAGCTGAGCGAAGAAACGTCACCCCGGGGGCATGCGCTGCCCCTCACTGCGGGCCCAGGGAAGACCGGCCTGTAGAGCCAGCTGCGGCCCGTAGCTTGTCGTCCGCTCCCACCCCGCAACGCCCGTGGTCGGAGATGCGATCACTGCGCCCACAGGAAGGCTGCCACGGGCGGGCACCCGACAACGACGTCCAGGGCAGCTCTCCCAACGCTCCGTTCCCGAGACCCCCGCCCACCTCGAGGTCCCCACCCCGGCGGCCCCATCCTCCCGGAACGTCCGCGCGCCGCTTCCCGATCCCGGCCCCGCCAGCCGGGCTCCACGGGTCCGCAGCAGCTGGCTCCGACCTACTGTTCCGTCCGCGGCCTGGGCCGCCGCCACTCCGCCGAAGCCCAGCAGGAGGGGCGCGCCTCGCCCCGGCCACCGCGCCCGGCCGGTTACGCCTTCCCCGTGACACAACTCTTGTCACCTGCGCCAGCTCCGGTCAGCCGGCCGCCGAGCCCGCTCACAGGCCGCTCGGGACGCGCCAACGGCGGAGCGGCCGCCGTCGCCCGCCCTCCCGCCCGCCGCGCCGTCGGGCGCCCGCGCCCCCCACGCCCCCCCAGCCCGCGAGGACCCGAGCGAGCGGCGCCGCCCGGCCCCAGCCCTCACCGGCGCCGCAGCCCCGCCGCGTCTGACCCGGCGGCTCCAGCAGACGTGGCTGCGCGAGGGGCGGGGCGCGCGCGGGCGGCGGCCCCCGGAAACGCGGGCGCGACACCTCCGTTCCGGGCCAGAGTGTTCGCCTGCGCTCACCAAGGCCCGCCGGGAGCCGAGGCTGCTCCGGACACAGGGTCGCTAGAGAGCCCACCACAAGTGACCCGAAGCGAATTCCAGAAAGTTGGAATTGGGGCTTGGGGTTTTCGCCCGTGGGAACTAACTTCCGGACTGACAAGGACCACTCCCGAGGCCCGACACCTGAACTTCCGGCGGAAGTGGTGCCACGGGAGCTTCAGGCCCCGCCCCCCTGTCAAGTAATGGGCGTAGCCGTCCCCGTTGGAGGAGTGGCTACCACCGGGGTGGCAGGATACAAACTTTGCGGGCCAGCCGCACCCAGAATCCAAAATGCAACGTTGCGGTCCTGGCTCCTTTGCACCTTTGGGCGTCAGAGCAAATGTGAACCCCTACGTTAGGATAACAGACTGCAGTCAACACCGAGGCGTGAGTATTTGTTGGTATTTCTCCGAGACAAGAAAACCACAGGAGGCACAGACATCGTCCAGGATTGGGTGTTGCTGTAGAATTGTTACTTATTGGGGCTGGCTTGACTCAATGGTAGTCAACCATGTCCTGCTAACCTCTGAAAAAAGCCTAAGGTTTTCCCGGAGACTCAGTCTCTTACTGCAGAATCCCAGAAACCCGCCGCAACCTCCCGCAGAACTGAAAATAGAGAGCCCGTAGTAGTGGGTGCGTGTTAACTTTCCATCTCACAGCAAACTGTCCTAAAACTACACAGTTTGTTCTCTGTGGGGTCTAGAAGTCAGACGTCCATGGTATCACGGCCAAAGTTCTTCTAGAGGCTCTCGGGGGAGGGTGTTTCTTCTTCAGTGTTAGGCCGTCTTTACCTCCCTTCCTCATTTTCAGAAGCATCCCTCTACTCTGGCCTTGCCCATATCAAAAACCTTGCAGTTACCTACAGGATAGTCCTGGATAATTTCATTACCTCATGGTTCTTAATTTACCCTGGAAAGCATCCTTTTCCTGGCAATTATTGATTCCAGAGATTAGGGTGTGGACAAATTTTTTTCTTCTTCCCAGTGCCAGGGATCAGACCGAGGGCTGACACATGTAAATCATGTGCTCCTGCTCTCTCAGCTATCCCCTTGTCTCTAGACAGGCCATCTCTGGTGGCAGGGGGCATTATCCAGACTATCACAGGAAAATAGTATTTATAGAATATTAAGTGCTCAGAAAAAAAATCCAAAACCCTGTTATAAAGCTGTGATTTTAAGGGCCAGAGATACAGGGGCTGAGATGATGACCTTGCACACAGCAGACCCCATTTTGATCCCTAGCAATACATATGATCCCGAGCACCATGAGGAGTGATTATTGAATGCAGTGCCAGGAGTAAACCCCATGCACCACTAGATATGGTCCACTGTTCCCCACCCTTCTTCCCAATAGACAAAGACCTATGATGGGACAATCTGATATAGGCTATTCAGTTTGCCCTAATCTTATGTTTAAGGCTTACCCCCCCTTTCCCAGAATTTCAGAATATGACCATAATTAGACCACTCAGTGGTCCACTCGGACTGGTGTTCTCATAAAAAGAGATCAAAACACACACACACACACACACACACACACACACAGTCAGGTGTGGAGAGGGCAGAGATGAGAGCATTCACCTGCTAAGGAGAAAGGCTTCTGGATGTTGTGATCAGACTTCTACGTCTATGACTGGAAGCAGATTAACTCCTCTTATTTTAATTCCCAGTGGAGTGATATTTCAGAGGTCTCAGGAGGGAAACACAAAATGACTCCTGAGAACATTGTCCACAAATACCATGCTCATACCACACACAAGCTCTGAATCCTGGTCTGAGTCCTGTTTTTTTTTTTCCTGGGGGGTGGGAGGAGAGTGGGTGCATGCATACCTGGCAATGCTTAGGGCTTACTGCTGGCTCTATGTTCAGAGATCATTCCTGGTGAGCTTGGGTGGACCATATGGGATGCGGAGGATTGAACCCATGTAGGCCATATGCGAGGTAAGCATCTTACCTGCTATAAGATCACTTCAGCAGCCCCCAACCCCAGTGCTTCTTTATTTTTAATATAACTTCTGAGTTCCAGGGGCTAGAGAATTAGTACAGAGGGTAGGTTAAGTTCCAAGTTTATCTGAATTTTTAAATGGCTGTTGAAGTTACCACCACAGCCCTGCCAAGATGGGAGCTCTTGTGAGTGGACACAGAGACTTTTAGGCAGGTCAGCAGGCCTCAGGCTGTGGCCACTTTCAGCTAGTGGGCTGTGGAACTGGACCTCCCTGGTGCTAATCTGTGTAGCAGGACCTGGACAAAGGCAGGAAGGGTCTATCAGGGCCTCTCTCTGCCACACTGTTTTGCTGATGTCCCGAAGAATTGGATAGAAAAGAGGTCACACACTTGCAAAGCAAAGAAATGAAAAACTGGCGTGCCTGGGCAGGTACAGGAAGGAGCTCTTGCTTGGGGGCTGAGTTGAGAGACTATAGACTGATCCTATAGCACATATGCACCATTGGTCCTGGGAATAATTCTGCAGGGAGCCACAAATGCCATCTGGAACACAGCATGTGAGCTCTTCTGCCATGGTTCTGCTAGAGAAGCCTGAGAGGACGAGGTCTGCCATTTGGATATTCTGCCTCCCTGGCCTGAGTGCCAGGAACCTTGGTGAGAGTAGAGGTTCCAGTCCAGCAGGTTGGTGATGGGGTCAGGAACAGGCTATATGTGAAGCTAGGGAAAGTGACCTAGGGGAAGTCTGGATGGAAGCTGTTGCTGAACACCACCAGCTTTTGGGCTTTCTCAGTCCTTTTCTCTTTATCTCTCTAAAACTGGGTGGGTTTCCCAATGCCAGCACTGGGTTCAAGTGCATTAAAACAGCAGTAATCTTTTTGGGGGGTTTGGGGGTAGGTACAGGGCCACACCTGAAGGTGCTCAGGAGTAGTAATCCCTGGTAGCATTCAGGGGACCAAATGTGGTGCTGGGAATTCAAACCAAGATTGTGCCTGAAGCAATAGCCTGCAAAGCAGATGTTTTGCCTCCTATGCTATCTTTCTGGCCCTTGCAGGCTGAAGTCCAGTACCCACTCCATTCCTCTGCTGGTAAGGATACTTCTTGGGGTAAAACCAAGGCCATCTTGCTAATACCAAATCTGACCTGCAGTTCTGACCCTTTACTGCTAAAGTATTTAGGCTGACTTCCTGGTCCTGTGAGGCCTCTACCAGATCTGCCACTCTCCAGGTAGCCAGGAGAGGGACATGTGCGACAACACTTTGGAAGGTACAAGGCAGGTCAGGAACAACTCTTCTTTGGCTCAGGACACAGGGAGCTCAAGAGGGACAAGGATCTGAATGGGGAAGGGGTCAGTACAGGAAGGAGCTCTTGCTTGGGGGCTGAGCTGTGGAATAAGGCTGTGGAAGATATGGTAGGTGGGTGAGCAGAAAGTGAGACACAGCTGACTATGGTCTGTGGAAGAGATCAACTGGCTGGTTTAACAATACAGGGATTATCATCAGCATGTGGCCACAAACCTTAGAGACAGCTTGTAGGGCTCCAGTCTACGATGGGCTGCTGCTGGCTGGTGTGTGTGTTTGTGTGTGTGTGTGTGGGGGGGCGGCTCTTGAGGAACAGGAAGTACAACCAAATACCACTGCATGAATACCTACAACTCTGCTAACAATAGAAGCCACCTTGGTTCCCAGGATCCTCTGTGGCTTAGAGCCCTGCCTGGGCTGCTGTCAGCCTGTGACTCATTAGAAATGTCACCTCAGATTCCCTGCACCTGCCCAGTGCTGTGGACTTGGCAGTTTGACTAGCACAAGCCTTTCACTTTATGGATGGATCCAGTACAGCCTGAGGCAACCACATGTTCTCTTAAACCTTGGAACACAAAAGGTATTGCCTCTAGGGCAGCTGTTTCACTTTTCAGTGAAGGTTTAGGAGAGAAAGGGGTGATAGGAGGGAAAGGGGTGATGGGCACAGTCTCTAAGGTGAGGGAGGGCCAGAGCCCATGGTTGAGACACAGCTGGCTTATGGCTCCTGCAATAATGGTGTCTGAGACCCTAGGCCTTCTCCCTGCTCCAAAGCAAACCTCACACAAGGGCGTGAGCATCTGATGGGCCACTGGTCACTGAGGTTGATCCCACAAAGGGCCATCGGAACTCTCTTTAGTGGTCAACAAACCTCAGCAAAGATTTTAGCCTTCCTGCTGGCACGCAGAGATAAACAGAGAGAAACGACATGGTGGTTTATTAGAGTGCAGGAAGAGGCCTCCTTCCAGAGTCTATCAAGAGCAAGACAAGAGCTGAAAATCGTATTCCTGAGAAGCAAAAAAGTTATAATTTTTGCAAATAAACATAACAGGTGATTTCAACAAAAGATAAAAAACCCACTTAAAAAAAAAACAAAATTTCAAGTATTATTCAGATGACACCGCAAACTCAAGGGAGAGAAGGGCTGAAGTTAAAAGCAGAGACAGGAAGTGGCTGGAGGCTGCTCAGTCCCGCTGAGGGAAGGAAGAGAGTGTGGGGCAGTGCTGTGGGCCTGCAGCTGCACAGACCCACTTCCCTCCGCCTGAGAGGGGCTGGTAGTCTGAGCTTCCAATGAGTTCATGTTAACACAGAGAAGCATGTTCATTTTAGCCAAAGTGTACATTAGAAACAGTATCATTGTGCTACAGGTTCATGATATCTGACTCTCATTAGAAGATAAGCACCAAACCTATTAAAGTAAAACATCCAGCACTGATCTCCCCACTTGAGCAGCCTGTAGGCTGTGGATTTCTGGTTCCTTTTTGTTAAACAGAATGTTTGAGAAATTTTTCTTTCTCTCCCATGAAGCTTTTGAAGAAATGGCCTTATAACCATAGTGGTGGAAGGTGCAAAGAACAATCCTGTCCATCGTCATCTCACCAGGAGGATGACTATGCCCACGGCCTGTCAGCCACTTGAGGTCTCAATGAAGTCTCACTCCACGAAAGAAAAGTGACACCACGTGCCATATGCAGAACCGTCTCAAGTCTCAATGCCGTTCCAATGTCTGCATTGTGTATTTTCTGAAACTGCTGTCATTGTTCTCAATCCTCCAAAGCCATCTTGGTTTCTTCTTGGACACTTAGTTCTTGAACCTTGTCTGCTCACAGATATGGTTGAATTTCCTTCAGGGAGAAAGAGCCAAGTTAAAGAAGAGAGCAATAAAGAAGGTGTCAAACCAGTCAATCTAACTCAGACATTGGAAGACTCATACAAGAAGAATAGTGTGGAAGATAGCAGTGACATTTTAATACCATCGAAGAAACTAGCCCCAAAGAGAGGAGACAGGAGAGAGGAGCGAAGAGAGAGGAGAGAGGGAGACGGAGAGTGGGGAGAGAGAGACAGAGACAGACAGAGCAGAGAGAAATGAGTGTGGGGAGAGAGTTGCGTGAATTTAAATTGTTGAGAGTGAAAAAGGGGAGGAGAGAGGTGCAATTTTAATACCACCAAAGAAATTTGGGCTAGAGATAGTGTAACAGGTAGGGAGCTTGCCTTGCATGCAGTTGATCCAGGTTCACTCCCTTGCACCTCATAGGTTCCCTGGTCCCCTAAGCCCATCAGGAGTGATTCCTGAGCGTAGAGCCAGGAGTAAGCCCTGAGCACCGCCAGCTATGGCACCCTCTCCCCACCCCACCTCAAAAATAAACCAACAACAACAACAACAACAAAAATCAGTTCCAAAGACTGTAACCCCCACCACTGGGGTTGAAATAAAAGTAATTGAGAGAACCACCCTTAGTTCAAAGAGGCAGGTAAAGGCCACTCCCTCTGAGCAATGTTTCTGTGTAGTAAAAACCTGTTAAATAAGTTTGCAGAAGAGTCCGTTTTATTCCGAGAAAAGATCTGACTACTCCCTTTTGTATGTTTGTTTTGTTTTATGGCCACACTTGGTGATACTCAGGGGTTACACCTGATTCTGCACTCAGGAATTACTCCTGGTGAGCTTGGGGGACCATATGGGATGGCAGAATTGAACTTGGGTTGGCTGCGTGGAAGGCAAGAGCTCTACTGTCAGCCTGGGGGTATGTATCAGATGTGCATCTATGGGTCTCATCTAAGAAAATTATCTAATATGACTAATTTCTATTTTAATGCTTAAAAATAAAATAGGAGGAGATAGTGTAACAGGCTAGAATATTTTGCATGATGAAGCCTCAGGTTTGATCCCTGGCACTGCATGGCTGCCTGAGCACCACCAGAAATGATCCCCAAACACACAGCTGATAGCTCCTGGGTGTAGACCCCAAGCAAAATAAACCAAAAGTCTCTCAGGCTGGAGAGATAGTATAGTGGGTAGGGTGTTTGCCTCGCATGTGGATAGCCTGAGCTCGATTCCCGGTACCCCATATGGTTTCCCTTTGCCTAACAGGTGTGATCTCTGAGTACAGAGCCAGAAGTGAGCCCTGAGCACAGCTAGATTAGTTTTTGTTTTGGCGTGGATTTACTACTGGCCCCAACTAAAATTCCAGAGACATAAACAGGGCCTCTCTGGTTTATTTTTCTGTATTTATGTATTTATTTTTCTATCATGGTTCCCTGATGCCACTGTGTGTATGATCCCCGTCATCCAAATAATAACAGGAGTGAAAAAAAAATAAAAATAATAAATTTAATAAACACTTAGATATATAATTTTTATTCTCCCAAAATAAATGTGCCCCCCCCAAAAAAAAGGGTAAGAAATAAGTTTAAGAAGAGGAAAAAGAAGGTTACCTTTGTGCCAACTAGACAGTTAAGGCCCCAGTTTGATCTGTAGCATTTCATGGTTCCTCCAGACAGTGTGACCCCAAAACAAAATTACCAATGGGGTTTTTTTTTTAGGGGGAACCACACCCAACAGTGCTCAGGACTTATGCCTGACTCTGTTGCATACAAATGTGCCATGAAGGATAGAATAGAAGAAGAGCAGAATTTCTAAATGACACAATTTTATATACCCGGTAACTTTACAAAAGCCTATAGAATAGTCTGTTAAATAAAAGGTAGATTAGTTCGTAACCATCCCTAAAGGTGAGATGTTCACTTGGTGAGAACCTACAACCAATCACCTTGTCAACAGAACCTGAGGGTATGCCTTCCTGCAGGAGCACCGAGCACCCAGGCTGGCACAGAGCCCCAACCAGCAGAATCTCACTCACATTGCATGGTGCGCCTTCACCTGAGTGCGGCAGTTACGGCCCCAGTAGCAATCAGGACGGGAAGTCACAGCCGCTAAGAGGAAAACAAAGTGTTGGTGTAACTAGACATCATACTTGTAAACCAAGCTAAGTGAGCTGAGGAAAAGACCCACAGACAGAAACTGCACTGATGCATGGCTGTCTGTTACACTTCCTAACTAGTTTCCATGGAGTATACGAAGAATTCAGGAAAGGAAAAAATTTTTTTCACTAAAATTTCAACTTAAGAACTGAAATTACTCTAGTTGTCAATAGGATGTTCCTATGCATTGTTTTAGAAGCCACAACCACACACACACTGACCTAGTGTTCAAGCTAACACCATCCAGGTTATACCACTCTTTTCTTCCTGGCTGATGTGGATATTCAAGCGGAACAAAACCATCAACCCACAAGGTTTACCCTGTGGAGGAGCAACTCCACAAACTGAGTTTGGGACAAGTTTTCCTTACCGGGCAACTCGGAAGCAGGAATGTTCTGCCGATACTGGTATGTCAACTCTCGAAAGCTTCGCAGACCACAACAGTTACACAGCACAGTGTTCCCTGTGATTCTGTAATCTAGAAGAATGACAGCTTCATGTGGGCAGCCTGTCACCAGGCAGCATGCTTCTAGAACTAGAAGGAACTAATCATAATCACTGACCACAAGTGGGAAGAAGACAACAGAAAATGAGTACAGCAATCTAATACCAATTCCACTGCCTTACAGCAAAATAATTCCACTTAGAAAAGGAATTTAATTACTCATGGGGGCCCAGTGTAAAACTGCCTGATAAGTGTGAGCCTGTGAGTCTAGTACTGCCCCACAAGCCATGTGTGATAGCAACTGTGACAGTGTGATCTTTCGTGGGCCCTGATGCTACTGTGTTGTGATTCCCATCATCTCAATGATAAGGGGAGGAAAAAAAAATAAAAACAATACATTTAATAATAAAAAAGGTAAAAGCCCTCCCGTTGTTCGTCGATTTGCTTGAGCGGGCCCAGTAACATCTCCATTGGAGACTTTGTTGTTACTGTGTCTGGCATATCGAATACGTCACGGGGAGCTTACCAGGCTCTGCCGTGCGGGCGAGATACTCTCGGTAGCTTGCTGGGCTCTCTGAGGGGGGCGGAGGAATCGAACTCGGGTCGGCCATGTTGGCTGCGTGCAAGGCAAACGCCCTACTGCTGTGCTATCACTCCAGCCCATTTAATAATAGAAATATGATTTTTATTCCCCTAATAATTTGAATGTCACAGAAAACAAATAGTAGATAGGCAAGGTTTTAGACACTGGCCACCTCAACTGTAATATAAAAATGAAAATACAAAGGAGAAATACTGTCATTTCACACCTTGTTTTTAAGTGAATACTGGCAAAAAAAAAAAATGAAAAGAAACTTCATAAATGGTCACACCCAGTTTCCTGGGCTGGAGCGATAGCACAGCGTTAGGGCGCTCGCCTTACAAGCGGCCAACATGGCCGACCCGAGTTCGATTCCTCCACCCCTCTCGGAGAGCCCGGCAAGCTACCGAGAGTATTCGATATGCCAGACACAGTAACAACAAAGTCTCCAATGGAGACGTTACTGGGCCCGCTCGAGTTTCCTGGGGAAATAAAAGGCATAAAACCCGTGACAGTTGTACAATGAAATGTGGTGACTGAGAATTTATTTGCAACAAAGTAAAAAGTATTGTACCCTTAGTGAACATATCAAATCTAAATCCGTAAGTCCAAATAACTACATAAATGGGTACTAGTTACAGATAAGCAAATTTGTTCAAATAAATAAATAAACTGAAAAATAAACCAGAGAGGTCCTGTTTACATCTCTGGATTTTTTGTTGGGGCCAAAAGCAAAACCAAACCAAACCAAACAAAAAAAATCCCAAGAACAAAAACCAACCTGGCTATGCTCAGGACTCAATCCTTGCTCTGCACTTAGGGATCACTCCTTGTGGGTATTGAGGAATATATGTATGTGATACCAGGGATCAAATTCAGGTTACTCATGTGTAAGGCAAGCACCTTTTCTTCTATACTATCTTTCTGGTTCCCATCTTTTGAAATTCATAGGACTTAAAGGTAAAGGTAAGGTAAAGGCCCTCCCGTTGATCATCGATTTGCTTGAGCAGGCCCAGTAATGTCTCCATTGGAGACTTTGTTGTTACTGTGTTTGGCATATCGAATACTCTCGGTAGCTTGCCGGGCTCTCCGAGAGGGGCGGAGGAATCGAACTCGGGTCGGCCATGTTGGCCGCTTGTAAGGTGAACGCCCTACCGCTGTGCTATCGCTCCAGCCCATAGGACTTAAAAGGTAAATGTAAAGCTGGTAGGCTCAGGGGATGTGGCCTCAGTCTCTGAGGCACAGATTCTTTTTTTATTTGGTTTTTGGGCCATACCTGGCAATTCTCAGGGGTTATTCCTGGCTCTACACTCAGAAATTACTCCTGGCGGTGTTTAGGGTACCACCCGGGGTACCAGGAATCAAATCCAGGTCAGCCATGTGCAAGGCAAGCACCCTACCTGCTACAACATCTCTCCAGCACCCACTGAGGCCCAGAATCTCAACTATGTGACTACTTTCCAATAGTCCTGGCTCTTTTACCCTAAGGTGATAAGTTCTCAAATCCACATTATTAAGTACTTAACAGATGCAGTGTTATTTCAGAAAATGAAAGGATATAACTTCAAATTCTTATATAAATGAACTGGTTAAATAAATAACAGTATCAAAATAGTATAAAATACTTAAAAATCAAGGTATGGAAGTGTGAAAAATACCAAGGTACAGATCTGTAGTTGCATACAAAAAGGTCCAAGATCCAAGACAGTGTTGTTGAATGGGTTATAAAACAGCCTAAAAGCAGAATTTTATTTATGAAAATTAAGTATATAAAAATTATGTATATTGGGCAGGAGAGAGAGTTCAGAAGGTAGGACTCTTTTTTTTGGGGTCACACCCGGCGATGCACAGGGGTCACTCCTGGCTCTGCACTCAGGAGTTACTCCTGGCAGTGCTCAGGGGACCATATGGGATGCTGGGAATCGAACCCGGGTTGGCTGTGTGCAAGGCAAACGCCCTACCCGCTGTGCTATCTCTCCAGCCCCAGAAGGTAGGACTCTTGCCTTGTATACAGTCAAGCTGGGTTTGATCCCTCACACCCCATATGACCTTGAGCAAACCCTGAGCACCACCTGAGGTGTGGCCAAAACAAAAAACAAAAAAATGAAGCAGAAACCATGTATATGTAGGTGATGGAATTTCTGATGATTTTTAAGTTTATTTTTCCTACTACTCTATACCCCTTACTTATGCTTCCTATGAATCAGGTTGTTCTTATGAAACTAGTAAACCAGGGGCTGGGAGAGAATATACATGTGCTGATCAGGTCCAATTTCCAACACCACATCATCCTCCAACAAGCATCACTAGGTTGGCCAGGGTATTCCTAGCTCTGTAACATTGCATCATTGGGCCTGGCATTGAACCACTTGGCCTAGCTATCTGCCAACTTCCAGTGGGGCCCTTGGTCTCCTAATTACTGTTTGGGATCTACCCCCCAATTGAAAACAAAAAACAAAAAAAAAATCAAATTACTCTAATAAGGGGGCTGGAGCAATAGCACAGCGGGTAGGGCGTTTGCCTTGCATGCAGCCAACCCGGGTTCGATTCCCAGCATCCCATATGGTCCCCTGAGCACCCTCAGGGGTGATTCCTGAGTGCAGAACCAGGAGTGCATCGCCAGGTGTGACCCAAAAAGCAAAATTAAAAAATTACTCTAATAAACCATTAAAAAGCAGAAGGCACTAAGATCCAACAGGTATGTTTGGGTAGCTAGTATGTGTCCAGAAGATAGAAATATCTTGGAGAAATTTCCAGCAAAGTTCTTATGCTGTCCATGATAATTTGTCTTGGGGGGAGGGAACCACTTGCTGTTTTTTTCTGGACCTTCCCTCAGTGATATAAATCACAGTTCATAATGTACTCGTGTGCCTTGGTCCAGTGAACACACCAGGTAACCAAACCACTAAAGACCTGAGGACTTGGAAATGAATACCCCCAGGCCTCCATACTGATAAGTTCTTCATCCGTGTGCTCCTCATCCCCCTGCCCCCAACCCTCCTTGGTGAGAGAAAAAATCTGAAATATGTCATTTGAGCTCCAGTCCAACTTTTGTCTGTCAGGATAGGCAGCAGATTGGCCTCCTCAGAAATTTTCTACTTTCAAGGAGACAAGGTCCACACCATGCTAGTGAGGAGAACAAGGGCAATAACACCTACCAGACAGTAGAAACACACCCCGCTGCAGTGCCACCAGACTTTCTGCCAGCATGTTCTTCCATGTCAAGCCCCTGGTAGCCAGGTAATTCTGTGATAGGAAATAAGGCAATAAGAAGAAAAACTAGCTTGAAGAAAGCATCACTGAAATGAAAAGAGGGTTTTTCATACAAGGCCATTTAAGATAGATAAGGCCAATGCAGGCCAACCTAGATGCGGTGAGCATCTACACTGGAACTGCCGGTGAGCAGCACATGTTGCTGTGTGGATACTGCTTCCAGTTCACATCACAGGTGCCAAGGTTTGCACAGGTGACAAACCTGTGCACAAGAACTCGTTTGAGAAGCTTGGAGTCACCACTTTAAAACAGTAAGTGTCTTTCTAACCTCTGCAAAGACATTCCTAAACTGCACTGAGACATACAATCTCAGCAGAGCCTGAAGTGCAACACCCTGACCCCAGGACAAAACTGGGTCTGTGGGCAGCCTTTCGGGATGGAGCTGCTTGGTTCCTGTGGAAAATGACAACCTGGTGCAGAATGTACAGTTGCTGAGTATGTAGCTGGTATATGGAATGCTCTTCATAAAGGAGGCAAAAGCAAGGATTTGTGAGACACTGATGTGCACATTCAACCCTAACATTCTAAGAGCCAGATGAGCTTCCTAAAATGAAAGGACAGAGGCAAAAAAAAAAAAAGAAAGGGAACTAACCCACCAAGGTAGCCATGCTACCTTGGCCCAGAAATCTTGGTGCAGAGCAAGCAGCAGCTATAGAAAACAATGCCTGGGGACTCATTACATAATGGGTACAAGGAAAATTCTTAGGTTTTAGAGTTTGGGGAAAAATCTACACACTAGAAATCCAACACATAACTCAAAATGGGTGCAGAAATTTAGAGGGGAGATTGTTTAGAAAATGCTAATAAGAGGGCCTAGGAGACAGCTCTGTGGACTCGAACACATGCTTTGCATGAAGGAACCCCGAATTAAATCCCTGTGACTTCATGATCCCCATCTCCCCACTCCCCACTAGAACCATGGTAGGAGTAGCCCGCAGCACTGTAGGTAAGACTTCACCTCAAAACAAAAAACTAGAAGAAAACGCAAACAGCAGCAGGGTGAGGGTATGAAAAGCATTTTGGGGGCTGTCGCCTAACCCCTGTGGCCGTGTGGAGAGTGCTAGTACCTTCAGGATGTCCGACTCGTAGTTGTTGTTGTTCAGCACTCCATCCAAACACCTATCACCCAGATTGAGTTCTGTGGGGACAGAGGAAGCAACACTGTTTCAGAGAGACAATTACAGGAGCAGTGCTTCCCCATGAGTTAGGATCATAGCGGTGTTCCCTTTATAGAGGTGTTTCTTGATAAAACAGGCTAACAGAGAACAGGAAAACTGAGCTCCACTCTGCCTCCCCAGCACCTGGTCTTGGAACAGTCTCAACTCTGCGTGAGTCTCTGCTGTGTTGTGATGATCTTTCTTCTGCATGTTACCCACTCCTGGTTCTGAGCCTAGAGCTTCCTGTATCATTCTGCTAGTTCCGAGTTTTGAGCTAACACAGACTGACACTTCTAAAATGGCAAACTTACCTGGTTTGGCAAGAACCAGAGGTCTCCCTTGTGACCAACTTAACTTGTGAACCAACAGTTGGAAGTCTCCCAGTCCTGGGGCACACAGCAGGCCATGCCACCCCATTACCACCCTCAAGGACATCGAAAGATCATGCAAAGGCTAAAGCAACTTGGCAAAAGAGCCTGCATTACCACAGAATGGGGCCAGGCAGCCGAGGCAGCCGGTGCGGGCACAGCCCCAGTATAGGTGGCAGAAGGGCTGCAGGCAAACGGCACCTGTGGGCACAGAGCACAACCTGCATCAGGCATTAGTGCTACAAGCCAAACTCGGGAGCTGGGTCCACAGAGCCTGGCACAGTTCCCAGCTAACAACCAGGGTGACTGTTGTGACCTTGAAGGGCCAGGTCTACAGTATTTGCACTATTCTCATACTCACCTGGGAGAAATGCTAAGACCCATAGAGGGAGAAACAGCGATAGACAGAACATTAATGAGGTTCCTAACAAGTCTAAACACTCAACACATTTGACATCAATCTGTACATTAACATTTTCACGCTTTACATGTTTTATCATTATTTTGCAGTTTAACAATCTGAAGAACAGTATTTCTGGGATGCAATATCAGATACAATTCTCTCAGGGTAGAATATTTACGTCTTTTGAAGTCTATAATGACTTCACAAACTCCCCTAAGGCATTCTGTATGTTTTTTGCTTATTTTTGGTCAGGGCTTACTCCTGGCTGTGCTCAGGGATCACTTCTGGCAGGGATCAGGGGACCATATAGGGTGCTGGGGATCAAACCTGGATAAGCTATGTTCAAGGCAAACATCCTACCCACTGTACTATCGCTCCAGCCCCAAAAACTATTCTATATGGAAATTACTTCAAAAGTAAAGATTATTTGGTGAAAAGCTGGCCACTCAGCATATGTACCTACATTTGTCACTAAACAGTAGCACCACACACAGCAAGCAGACAGGCATGAGAGAGAGAAAACAGGGAACTTCCACAGGTTGCTGAATGGCATGTTGGGCAGCCCACATCCTCACTCATGAGAACCATCTTCCAAGAAAAGATCCCTTTATTTTCTCTGAGTGTTCTGAACACGTTAAGATGATAAAAGAACTGGATTATGAATAACACTTCTGCTAACTTTTGAGTGTCCATAACTAAGCAGTGCCCTGCTTCATAGAGGGGCTGACTGTGCATAGCTTACTTCTCCTGCTCTCCAGTCAGAGAACTCTGACATTTCAGTGTAGACCTCCTTTGGGCATGGGATAGCTCAAATGGCTAAAGTGTATGCTTTTTTCACATGTGGGAGCCTGGGGCTCAATTCCCAGTATGGCATGATCCTCCAAGCACCCTCTCGAGCAACCGTCAAGCACTGAGCTGACCACCAGGAGTGGGCCCAAAATAAAAATAAAAAAAAGGAGGAAAAGAGAGAAAGACATCTCAATGAGCAATAAATGAAAATCATCAGTAAATTACTAATTATAATCAAAGCACAAGAATTGAGACTTAAAAAGCATCATATTCCATTGATTATACTTAAAAGGTAGACATTACAGAACCACTATGGTCTGATATGGGGCAGAAAGCAGACTCTCCAGAAAGCATGCCAACCCATCTAATATGAAACCTGAATAATTATTTACTTTCATTCATATGGGAACAACTGATATGCAGATGGAAAACCAGAACTGGTTTTTCTCATTTCTCATCTCATTTCATACCATACACAAGAGGCAACAATACCACTCTGGCAGCTGGGCCTCCAATCACACAGAGTCTTTAGTGGAGGCTCCTCAGGCAGAGGTGCACACATGACTCAGGACTCACACTGCTGAGGGGCGATGCGGGGATCCAGCTCACGCTCTGCTCTCCGGTCGGGCATGGGCTGAAAGCAGCAGGTGCAAATGGCATGGCTTCCTTGTAGGGTACACACATAGTCCTGGGCTGTGGAATAGAAAGGTTCAGGCTGGAGTATACTGAGAAATAGCAGAAAGAGAATGGATTAGACTCATATCCAAAGAAGTGGCTAAAAAGTACCCATGAGGAGAGACCAGAGACTAAGATAAACCAGAGAGAATTCAGACCTACGTCTCCTAAACAGCCAACAGATAGCCCAACATTTAACCTGAGTTTAACAGAGTGAAGAAAAACCAAAGTAATCTTTCTAGTTCAGTGTGTAATACCATGACCTGTTATGAGAGGGCAAACTCTCATTTCAGGGTCCTTCTGTCATGGGTCACTTTGGCTTTGAATACCAACTGCCTCAAGATTCAGTTCCCAGGAATCTCCAGGAACAGAGGCTACAAGTTGATGATCTCATTTCCTAGTCCAAACCGGTTTAAGAAAAGCAAAAATCTGGTGGGACTTGAGAAGAGCTCATCACAGCAGAACAGCAACAAAACAGAAGGCAGAGCTGTGGAAGTCTCACCTGTCCTGACTCGAGTGGAAGTCGACGGTGCATCTCCAGGGCCCTGTGGTACCCCCGGCTCACTCTCAGGCTCTGAGCAGGGAAGGGGCTGTCCCACCTGCCGCTGGTACTCAGGACACTGTCTGCACAGGACATACGGCTGGCTGCAAGGAAAACACATAGATTGGAGGCAAGGAGTGGTAATGACTACTCTCCCCTCTATGGGGAAAGCAAAGATGCCACGGGCCCCACGGGGAGATGGGATCCAGGTTCCTGGGCATGCAAGGGCCTTCTCTATTCACAGACCTCATTCCCTCTCAGCCTTAGCTTGGTACCATGTGCTCCCACCCAAACAGGAGGACCCAAGGCCCTTTTTGGGACAGTAGCAGAGGGCTCTCTTTATCCACTACAGCACATCCTTTCCTCGCCTTTGCAGTTTTGAGTCATTTCTTGCTAGCCCTTTGGACCAGATTCTATGGCTCCCTTTCCTGGACTCATTCAGCAAAGAATGTATGAAAGGTGCAAAACCCACAAAACCAAGTGAAAAGTGTGTTCAGGGGCTGGAGAAATAGTACGAAGGGTAGAGTGTTTTCCTTGCATGCAGCTCAATCCCCAAGTTCAATCCCCAGAATCCTATATGGTCCCCCAGAAATGGTTCCTGAGCACAGAACCAGGAGTAAGCCCTGAGCACCAGCTGGTGTGGCCCATTAAGAACTGTGTCCAAACCACTAAGCCACAGGAAGATAGCACCCAGAACAAGAGTTCTTGGGGCTGGAGCAATAGTACAACAGGTAGGGCGTTTGTCTTGCATACGGCCGACCCAGGTTCAATTTCCAGCATCCCATATGGTCCCCTGAGCACTGCCAGAAGTAATTCCTGAGTGCAAAGCCAGAAATAACTTCTGTGCATCACTGGGTGTGACCCAAAATGCAAAAAAAAAAACAAAAAAAAAAAACAAAATTCTCCTGACTGAGGGCAGGCAGCGGCTCACCTGACATCCGAGGATTCACTGTCTACATCTGATAGCTCAAGCACATCCTCTGAACTCCCTTCCTCATCAGAGAAGGACTTTCTGACTTTGGGCTGCAGCATATCTTGTGTGATCTTGTTTCTGGCTGCCATGCTCCGCATGTCTTCTTCACTGCGACTCTTGTCTGAAATTCAAGATACAGTCCATTGACTGGTGGGCCATGGGGAGACTCAGGTGGTCCCAAGAGGTGAGCGGGCATGCCACTTGCCTGGGTGCTGGAGAAGGTAGGCCTCCACCAGGTTGTTGAGGATGTGATTCTTACAGATCCGCTCCACAGGACAGCGGCAGGTTGGGCACAGGGAAGAACGTTCCATCCACCCCGAGTAGCATGCAGCACAGAAGGTGTGCATGCAGGGCTGCAGGCTGAGGGCACAGAGAGTATCTTCAGAGGACGCTGCAGAGCACCTGCATCCTCAGAGGGCCAGGAACTCTGCCTGACTCCATAAGCCACCAGAAAACATGTGTGCAGCAAGAGCAAGGGAACCAAAATGCTGCTCCTTCCTTTACTGGTTGGTGGACAAGTCTCCCCAGGGGAGAGCATGGCCCCCAACTAAATCACAGCCCCAGTTAAAGGACACAGGAAATGGCAAGGTGACCTGTATTTCAGGAGCAGAGGAGGGCAGACCGAAACCTCACAAAGAGGGATGGAAGCACTGAGTGTATAAAAGTCAAACAGAAGCTAACTCTCATGTTCCCAGAGAAGCAGAGACGATCTTAAGTTATTCCTGAATCTTGATTCTATGTTGTCAATCATGTTTCTTTAATTGGGAAGTGTTTAAAACTCACGACAAATTTGGAAAGCCTCACTCTGTGGTAGATCTGAGGACACACCACATCAGCCTCCTAGGTTCCTTTATATCCTTACTCAACAGGACCACACAAGTGAAAAAACAATGTCATCTCCACAGATTCAACCCCACGTGTGACCCAGTGCTTGATTCACCCCTGAATTGTCCCTTACCCCCAGCCTGTAGCCTTTTGCCCCTTTAGACTTTGTCCTATGCATTAGTACCTGACACAGTCATGTAGCAGGTCCTGGCAGATGATGCAAGTGAGTGTCTCCTCCATCTTGTCTGGCTTCAGAGCCGCAGCTCGGACACCCTCAGGTGTTGTTTGGGAATCACGACACTGGTCTGTGACCAACAGGTGCAGGGCAAGGTCAGGTTCCTCAACTATAAGAGAAAGGGACACTCTAAGGGTCACAAGAATGTGAGGACACATACCCAGTCTTTGTTACAAATATCTGAACCTGCAGAAAGACACAATCTGTACCAGTGTTTGCATTTTCAAGGACAATTTTAAGAAGGCCCAAAACTAGTTTCATACTATGTACAAACCTAGTTGTAGAATAGAAAATGAAATAAAAGGTATTCAGGATAAAAGGTTAATGGAAAAAGACCAGTTATATTTTGACTATAATGCCATTTTAGTTCAAAGACAGGTACTTATGATACACAGAAAGTATAAACACATATGATGAGAATCTGTCGAACTGTCACTTCAAATACACACAGTGGCACTAGAAATGCTCATTTCCAGGCCAGGAAGATGTCTAGCAGTAAACATGGTGTGTCAGACAGGGAAGGAGTTCAGGTGCCAACCAGGGAAACTAGATTCCTGTTGGGGCAATTCTAACTAGGCCCCGAGGCACTCACATTGGGCGATAGACACATGGAACCCTGAGAGTCTGACCTCCTTTCATTCTCTTCTTTGTAGGTTCTGCATCTGCCAGGTCCTGAGGTTCTGACAGAGGAAAGGGGCTTCCCTCTTTAGCTGGGAGAGCAGAAGGGAAGCACGAGGTTTCACCACTTGCCACAGATGGACCATAGCTTTTTGGGGAGATGTCTGCATCTCTGGCACCTGTGAGGAACAAACAAGTTATGATTCACCCACCTCAGAAAAATGTGGGGCAATGAGAGACTGACTCAAACTGCTGCAGTTGACCTAAGGTGTTATACTGACCTAAGGTGTTATACTGCTCACTAAAAACACTTTTTCAGTCAACTCGCATTTCACATTTTTTCTTTTGGAGGGGCTAATATTTGGGCATACCCAGTAGGTCTTGGAGTTTTTCCAGATCAGTGTTCAGAGATCATTTAGAAGTTGCTCATAGGATCACAAGCTGCCAGTAATAACACCTGAATCAGCTGCATGCAAGGAAAGTGCCTTGATCACTATACTATCTCTTGAGCCCTCAACTCACATTTCTTAGACCCACTTGTGTCCATCATTATGTAAGCTAGCACTAGGAGCAGGCAGCACATTCAGAGGAATGAACGCAGAGATGCGTGACTGGGACTAGCCCTGAAAAAGTAGTCAACTGGGGTGACACCTTACAGTTATCATGGAAGACACAATGGCTATCAGTGAAAATGTTAAGGCAGAGTACTTTCAGAAGGACAAGCAGGCTTCAGACTACTAGGAGTGCATAACTGACAGAAGATGACAATGGGACACAGCAACTATTCCAAGAAAGTGAAAAAAAGGAAGGAGTAGGAGTCATTGGTAGGAAAAGTTCTTATCTATTCATGTGAAGAAACCACAGGCATGAAGTGAGCTAGGCAGAAAATTTCAAATGACCTTTATATCAATAAAGACATAGCTTATAATACAGTATGTATCCAATCTATAATATTCAAAGGGATTATTGTTTGGAAAAGGAATAAATGGACCTAAGGCAACTGAAGAACTGCTTTTGGGAGTTAATACTGAGTTTATATATTGAGAGAAGAAAAGATACAGCTTTGCATCTGAGGTTTGTGAGAAGCTGTGCTTCCCAAAGTGAAGCGTTCTGATGAAAAAAATAGCAGAAGCATGCTTTGCATGTAGTCCCCAAGCACACCCAGGAGCATCCCCGAAGTTGCAGGCAGTGACCTGGGCACACAGGTGAGCTCTGTCAGGTATGGACCCAAATAAAACAGAAAGCAATGTAGTTGAGGTCGAAAAGCTTGTTTAGGGGTTAAGGTATTTATGGTTCCTTGAGCCTGCCAGCAGTGATCCCAGAACAGAGATCCAGAAGTAAGTCCTAAGCACCACCAGATGTGGTGTAGCTCAAAAACTGGTATCAAAATAAATAAGGAATAAAGGGGCTGGAGATATAAGACAGCAGGTAGGGAGCTTGCCTTGCACCCCCAGCTGACCCAGGTTCAATCCATGGTGCCCCATATGGTACTCCGAGCCCTGCCAGGAGCAATACCTGAGTCAGGGGTACCCCAAGCATCCCTGGGTAGTGGCCTTAAAATCAGAAACAAGGGGCTGGAGCAATAGCACAGCGGGTAGGGTGTTTGCCTTGCATGCAGCCGACCCGGGTTCGATTCTCAGCATCCCATATGGTCCCCTGAGCACCGCCAGGGGTAATTCCTGAGCACAGAGCCAGGAGTAATCCCTGTGTATCACCGGGTGTGACCCAAAAGAAAAAAGATAAAAAACAATAAAATAAATTTTAAAAAAACCTATGCAGCAATGCCCCCCGCCCCCCAGATGCTCATCTCACCAGAGCTGGAGAGAGGCCTTTGCCCTGTGGAGTTGCACGCCAAAGAAGAGGTAGAGGCCGTGAGGAAGAGGTCTGAAGTGGATGTTGATGGCTGTGGTTCCTCCATGCACGCATGAGTAGTGGGCGATGGCAGCAAGACCTGGGGGTCATCACCTTGCCCTGCACCTGAGGGATCTTTGGTCACATGGAACACATTTTCCTTGTTGGCTTCTGTAAGCACAAGGAGCACACTTGGAGGCTCAGGTAAAACAAGATATTCTACTGGATCAATGGACTTTTATGAACACCCACTTGCCTGAATCTTTCATAAAAACCCCCATCCCTAAACAATTTTCTGAATACTCTTACTTACCAAAGGAATCTTGGGTTATGTCTTGCTTTTCATTTAAAGATTCGTAGAGGTATGCCACATCTAAAACAAGATTAGCTGTATTAGAGACAAGTCAGCCAAGCTAGGCCTCCTTTTCTTTCTATTCCCTCTATGTACTTCATAATCAATTTGTTAACCATTTTGACTCCAGCTAGTAAATAACATTAACCAGTTTAAGGGATTTTTATTTCTTTTTGAGTCACACCCAGCAGTGCTCAGGGCTTACTCTAGGGAAGCCCAGGGGACCATATGGGGTGCTGAGGATTGAACCCGGTCAGCCACATGCAAAGCATGCTCCCTACCTGTTGTACTATCACTCTAGGCCCCAATTTCAAGGATTTTTAACCAATCTTAAAGTAAATAAGCCTCTTAGGGATGCAGAGACAATATAGTGGGAAAGGTGCTTGCTTTGTACATAGCAGACCTGGGGTCAATCCCCAGTTCAACATATGGTCTCCTAACTACTATCAGGAGTGATTCCTGAGCATAGAACCAGGAGTAAGCCTTGAACACAGCCAGGTATGGCCCAATAAATAGGAAAAAAAAAATTAACTCAATAGAAGACCAAGGAGAGGCAGAGCAATGACAAAGGATACATTGTTTATTATTTCCAAGGGGGCAGACACCAGACCCTTCAATATGGAAAGAAATTTTTAATTTTTTTTGGTTTTATTTTTTTTCTTTTTGGGAAAACCAAAAAAGGGGAAAGAAAAGGGGGGGGGACACAACAGTAATGTTCTCAAGAGACACAGCTATTCTGAAGATGTTTTCCGGCCATGGCAGCAGCATTTCTTTTTCTTTTTCTTTTTTTTTTTGCTTTTTAGGTCATACCCAGGGATGCTCAGAGGTTACTCCTGGCTTTGCACTCAGGAATTACTCCTGGTGGTGTTCAGAGAACCATATGGAATGCTGGGAATCGAACCCGGGTTAGCCGCATGCAAGGCAAACACCCTACCTGCTGTGCTATTGCTCCAGCCCCCATGGCAGCATTTTCAGTCCTATACCCACCCTGGGTCCTAGCCCAGTTTCCATTTTTCTTACTGTACTCAGGCTCATTCTTCCGGTACACCAAATAGATGACATCTCCAGTCTGTAGTGGGCAAGTCTGCTTCTTAACAACCTTTAGTTTGTTGATCACTGTTCCATTGGTGCTGTGAAGACAATATTGGAGTGAAAATTACTTTTGTGCCACCAGTTGCAAAGTAGAACAATATAACCACAAGAAAAATGACAAAATTCTCATGGATAGAAGTAAACATTTCACAGAGCACTTATACAAGCAATGCCTTGTAAGTCTTCTTTTTGTTGCGGGGGCGGGGAATGTGACATCAATGGTCAGTCTAATGATGGGGCGGGGACCACACGGCACCAGAAACTGAACCTGGGGCTTCCACATGCAAAATATGCATTCTAGCCCTTTGAGCTATCTTACCTGCTCGCTTACAATTCTCTTTAGAATGTCTTAACTTAGCTTTTCTACCAGAATCTGTGGAGAACAATGCAATTTTTTGATCCCAAATAAACTTGTTTGGACTTAAAAAAAGAGTAAGATGTCTCTGCTCATGCTGCCAACCTAACAAGCAATAGGAGCCCTGTCAAGTATTTCACCATTTCTTCTGCTTCACCATTCTCTTACATTTGCCTCTGGTGACCCTCAGATTTCAGCAGCACTGAGTTCTTGGATTTATAGATTTTCTCCTGTTGCTGTGCTCACCTCTGTACATGTCTACTCTCCTCCACAGTCATGGCCTATATTAGTCAGATCAGCCCTCCACTGAGCACTGACCCTCTGACACAAGTTCCTGGCAGAAGCAAATGAATGGTGAGCTAATGCAGGAAGATAAAAGGGGGCTACAGGTGGGGGCAATTCAGAGAACCACAATGTGGGTTGAGGGAGGCGGAGGGTGTGGAAGGAACAGACATGAGCCTAGGTCAGGGTAGGCAGTGCTTTCCTGACAAGAACTTCTGAGTGATGAGCTGACAGAAACCTCAGGAGAGGTAGAGAATACTCTGATTTGGTTTTGGGCCAGAACAACCCCAGACACAAAACTAAAACTGGCAACAGAAAAGAGTAATTGCTGGTTTCTAGCTTTTCTTATTAGCCTCTGAGGTGAGGTTTATTTGATGAACAAACTGTCAGCATTTTTGTTTTCTGGGAGGTACCTGATTTTTCCTTTTGAAAAGCGTAAGCTCTCTCATTATATCACCTCTCCACATAATACTCAGCTCTGCTACTGTTGCATGAAAACAGGCTCAGACAAGGTAAAGTGAAAGCACTGTCTGCTCCCAGGAAAATTTCATAGAAAGCAGTGGTGGTGAAATTAGAGGGTGGCTTAGAGGGTGGCTAAAGGGCTGCAGTACATATGACAGCGCTGGGTTCAATCTCTGGTACTGCAAAGTGTACTAAGCACTGCCAGGTGTGCCCAGCCCGCTCCTCGGCAATGCCTCCCAACCTCCAAATCAAAGAAGCAAATATCAAAAGTATCCTCCAAATCAAAGAAGCAAGTATCAAAGCAAATCAAAGAAGCAAATCAACAACACTGGCACTACTAGGTTTCTCCCTAAAATCCTTCCCACAATGATTTCAGAACCTGATTTCACTTTCGGCTTTAACCCCATTGATAAACTCACTGCTCTCAGGCGGAAAAAGTCTGAACTGCCGGGGCCAATGAGATAACAAAGGAATTAGGTGCTTGCCTTGCATTCGATAGACCCTAATTCAATTCACAGCGATGCATAGACTCTGAACACTGCCAGGAGTGACTCCTGAGCAGAGAGACAGGAGAAAGCCCCGAGCACCATTGGGTATGCCCCCACCCTGTCCCCTGCGGGGGACCAAAGGAAAAAAAAAAAAGAACTCTGGTATGGACACTGGGGTATTCCTTCTTACTGTCCAGTATACTGTACCCGTGGTTACTCTGCCTGCAATACTTTCCCCCTCCATCCCAGTTAAGGAATGCAGCAGCCTCCAGAAGCTGAAAAAGGTAGGGAACAGATTCTCTCCTAGTTTCCAGAAGAATCCAGCTCTACCGATTTTGGACTGAATTTAATCCAATGAGACCTGTGTTGGACTTCGGATACCTAAAACCTCTAAAATGATAGCTATGTTGGGGCTGGAGAGATAGTACAATGGGCAGGATGACTGCCGATCCCTGGTACCCCGAGCACTCCCAAAACCAAACCAACAAATAAAAATGATAGCTATGCTTTGTTTTAGTCATTAAGTTTATGGTAATTTGTTATAATAGCCACAGGCAGTCAGTGTCGCATAGCCAGTACGAGAAAACGAGGGCCAGATATAAGAAGACAACTCGAGATCAGCACTACCCGGTGCTGAGAAGTTTCTTGATCTGCCCTGCCTATTAGAAGAGAAGGAACATCCCTCCCTTATAGTAAAATCTAATTTCCAAAACCTAATTCTCTATCTTTTACCTCCAAATTTGTTACCAAAGACTCTCCTAGAATCTGCCTTTACAAAAAAGATGTGTTGGGAAAGGCAATCTCTCAGCATACTACTGCAAGGCCATCTGTCACTCACACCAGGTTTAAAATAGGCACATTTGGACACAGCATTCCTTCCTAGAAATATAACACCAAGAGAATAATCAAACATGAATGCAAAGAATTTTAAGTCACTATAGAATCACCTGTAACAAAAAAATAATGAATCTTCACCTATGAGCTGAAACATTACTACTTAACAATAATGAACAATGTTTCTAGACAAACTGGAATGTTAAGTGATCATAAACATAAAAACGAAGAGAGAGCTATATACACATATATGATATGTATGTACAATATATAAAGCAGAGCAGCTCACTTTTCAGAATAAATGATGCAACAGATGAATGTGATTTTGGAAAAGTTTACATTTTCATATACTATGTTTTATAAGAGTTAACTTAAGAGTTGGAGAGATATGGGGCTCGAGTGATAGCACAGCAGGCAGGGCATTTGCCTTGTACGCGGCCGACCCGAGTTCGATTCCCAGCATCCCATATGGTCCCCTGAGCACCACCAGGAGTAATTCCTGAGTGCAGAGCCAGGAGTAACCCCTGTGCATCGCTGGGTGTGACCCAAAAAAAAGCAAAAAAAAAAAAAAAAGAGTTGGAGAGATAGTACAAAGGTTAAGGCACTTGCCTTGCATGTGGCCATGGTCATGAGAATGGTCTGAATCCCGACATGTGGTCCCCAGAGCACTACCATAAGGACTCACTACCACCCACTCACCCCATACACACTCACCCTCAAAAGTAAACTTCTGGCCAGAGAGCTCAGCAGGCTGAAGCATGTGATACTAGAAACTTACGGTTCTCCAGGCACTGTAGCCACTGAACACTCTAAGTTCCCAAAACCAAATAAAAAAAATGCAAGACTTACTGGTTTTTTGTTTTGTTTCGTTTTTGAGGGAAAGAAATCTTACTTGAATAGGTTTATAAGAATAAGTTATATATCAATGCCTTAAGTTTTATTTTTGAGGTATTTTTGCAAAAATCTAATTTTATAGTTCCTAATTCTAACTACGGTAACAACAAAGTCTCCAATGGAGACGTTACTGGGCCCGCTCGAGCAATTCTAACTACAGTGTTGTAGAAAACAAGGCTTTGTTTCTTCTCCACAGTCACTGGCTTTTATCTGTCTCCTTGGAGCTCTATGAGCAATAGAAAACAAGCTTAGAAAGAGCTCACCTGGTATCTTCTAGTGACACCTGACCAGATTTCTCATCCACTCTAATTTTACAGTGATCTCCAGAGACCAGTTTATTTCCGGGAAATGAAAGGTCACAACCTGAAACAGAGATAGGGGACACATTGGATGACTGGATACAACATGCACGAATCCTTTGCTTAGCTAAGCATGTAACTGGAAACCAGGACTAGCACTGTACATACTTAAGCACTTAAACAAGGGCTGAAGAAAATTTCTAAAGAGTATTTAACTGTAAATCCAAAGTAAAGTGACAATGACGGTCTTGAACCTTTCCGACTCCCTGTTATCTAGAGAACACATCACCAACACATCAAACTATAACGTCAACATCTTCTTGTAGACAATTTTACAACACACACATATATGCAATTAGTCCGAGCAATATTATAGAACTTGAAAACTAACGGATTTCATTGAGTAAGTCTTCAGAGTCTGATCATTAATTTCTACTCCTTTGTAATCTCAGGTTACAAAAATCATCACAAAAATTGGAACAATGACATAAAAAATATAGCTGAACAAGTTATCATAAGTTTGTACATCTGTCTGCACGTGTGTTATATTAAAAATTCCACAGACCAAGAGGCTTAAAAATAAATTTATTTCTGGGGCCAGAGAGAGAACTCAAGTGCTAGAGACCATGCTTAGCATGTGTAAGGTCTTGAATTTTCTCCAAGGTGCAAAATGCACAAATCTCTCCCCCACAGCTTTATCAGATGTGACCCATTTTAAAAAAAATCAAACAGAACCAAATTCACTTCTTACAGTTCCTGAGTCTGAACTTCATCTGTGCACATCACACTGACCACAACTGCAAGGATAGTCATAATTCAAAGTCTTTCCTAGTCAATGTGTCTCTGTCCACACCAAAACATCAGTGTTCTAAATTAGAGTCAAGATACTTTGAGCTTAAGTTCTATTCTTGATGTCTGTTTGTTATTTAGCTGCATAATTGATTCTCTTACTTGGTTGGCACTCCCAAGAAAGGGGGAACTCTCATCTCATCATACACGCCAACCCAGCACTCCCTTGCTCCCAGAATAGGGCCCTGAATGTAGCAAGCATGCAGTTATTTTTAAAATAATCATTATTAAATCATCCCACTTTTATGGAATGTTCCCCGAAGGGAAATTTCTGCGTTCCCCTAAATTTCTAAGCTGAAGCCCCCTTCCTGTCGAACTATATGAACATCGGTACACTGCACCATCACTGGAAAGCATGCTCTTGCTAGGGGTAAGAGCTGGTAAGAAGCTGGGTAGACAGCTCAAGGGGTTGCATGTGGGAGCCCAGGGATCAATCCCCAGCGCTTCTGGGTGTAGCCCAAAAACCGAAAAAGAAAGCGAGCATAGGGGTGGGGCCCTCATAGGACAGATGTGATGTCCTATGAGAGGAAGAGACACCAGCACATTCAAGACAGAGTGACAAGGCAGCTTTCTGTTCTCTAGGAGGTGGCCTTTCGCTGGAACTGTTGTCTTAAGACTTCAAACTACAGAACTCTTTCAAACAACTTTATTTCAAAAGTCTTCAGGTCTGGTATTGGTCCATTTTTTTTTTGTCAGAGTGCAGTAGTAAAGCCACCTTTGTTTCCTTGGAAAGATTAAAAACTTTATTGAAAAGACTTCTATTATGAAGCAGATCAACTCAACACTTTTTCAGGGACTTTTTTTCCTCTTCGTATTTACATGTCAAATGTTATTGTAATAAGCATGATAATAACAACAGATAACCTTTAACACTTGTTCACACTTAAGCCAGGCTCCTTCGCCCTAGGGAGTGTTAGCTTACCCCCCCCCCCCCACCTTACCCCCTAAATGACCTGGTGGTGCCAGTTTGGAAACCCAGGCATGTCTCCAGGCCTTCTGCTCTTGACCAAGGATCTCACACACGAATTTCAGAAAATCAACACAGCGCTACCAGTTTCCAATGATATGCAAAAATTTCCAAACTGGCAAACAAAGTTGTTGGGATTTAAGGCTAACACCATCACCTGCCTCACTCGCCAAACAAAAACAGAGGCAGGTTCACCAGTCTTAAGGGGTAAGAGAACACAATGACTCTCAAACGGGGCCTTTTTCACTCCTGCCGAGAGTTTTTCAGGCATGCTGAGCACTCGGCTGGGCCGATCTGGACCTTCTCTTCAGGTCCAGTTACCAGACGGTCCTCAGGGGGTCAGGCGGGCAGTGTCGGCTCTTCCTCAGTGACCGCGGCTTCCTTCCGTCTTTAGCCGCAGGCCGTTACAGCTATTTAAGGGGCTTGAGACCTCCTGCAAGGCTGCAGGTGCCACAGCACTGCTCCGGCCGCACCTGACACATTGTGGCACCGGGGGTCTAACACTTTCTTTCAGGCTTGCCTGATCACCCTGACCATTTCTCCCTTCGCCGACGGGTGCTCTTACAATTCACGCACCTGGGGTCCCAGGGGCCCCTCGGAGGCCGATTCTGACCCCGCCCACCGAGCGCTCCGAGGGGACGCGGCAGCACCGCGCAGGCCGCTGTCCGCCCCGCACAGCCCCCTGGAAACACTGATCGTACGGCGGGCCCGCCCCGAGCCGCCGGTCCGCTCCGCCGTCCGCCTCACCTCTTCGTCGCCCGATGGTCCATTCCCGTTTCCGCAGGAGGACGTGCGGCTCGCTGTCGTCGGCGCCCAGTCGGCGGAGCCGGCCCCACGGCTGCTGCTCGCCCTCCGCCGACCGCTCCATCGGACTCACGTCTGTGGAGACCCGGAAACGTCGGGGGAGACTCCGGCCGCGAGGCGGCTGCGGCCAGCGCGCCCCTCCCGGCCCCCGGCGCCCACGCCCTCGCGCTGCAGGTAGGCCGGGGTACGGCTGGACGCCGCCTCCGCGCCGCCCCTCCGGGTCGCCGGCCCCGCCGCCCCTCAGACCGTCCACTTACCCCCTGCCCCGCGCCGAACCCGGAACCGGCGGCTCGGCAGCCGCTGTCAACAGACATCGCGGATTCCTCAGCTGATTCTCGGGGCGGGGCTAGCCAGCGTCCGCGCCCTACGATTGGCGGCGGCGGCGCCCACCGAGAGCGGCGGCTAGAGCGGAGTCGCGAGTCATCAACGAGAAGAGACCGTGGGGGCTGATAGAGCGTGCGCACACGGCCGGCCGTGTCCTGGAAGCCATATTTGATGTGGGCCTGGACGACTTGGTCGTGAGACGTTACGGAAGTGGCTGCCGCGGGCGCCATCTTCAATTGGGGCAGGGAGACGGATCCCTTAAGTTTGGACGCCGGAAATTTAGCGCCTAAGCCGGCTTGGAAGTACGGGTTTGCAGTACGGCGCCCCAGACACAGGACTAGGTAAAAGCACCTAGACTCGCCGCTTCCCCTTTCCACACGTCGGGGAGTCGATGAGGACGTGCGGGTAGCACAGGGCGAGCGCAGGCGCGCGCAGTCCCGCGCCGGGAGGCGGCCGCGGTGCGAGGGTACCGCCGCTGCTGGCCAGTCGTGCGGGCTGGAAATAGCCGTTCGCTCCGTCGGGAAGCCGGCCGTGTATTCTGGCGCTCCCAGAGGGTGCTCGGTCGTGATCGGCGGGAAATGATCATCACGGGCAGCTCCGAGGGAACGAGTTGGTGCCTGTTCTGGCGAACGTCTCCGAAATGGGGTTTGAAATGTCAAGTTAGGGGCCGGAGAGATAGTACAGTGGACAGGGCGCTTGCCTTACCCGCGGCCGTTCCGGGGTCTATCCCTGAAACCTCATGTGGTCCCCTGAGCCCACCAAGAATGAGAGAGTCAGGAGTAAGGCCTGAGCACCGCTGGGTGAGTCCCCTTCCCGATTTAAAAAAAAAAGTCATGTTAGTAGGGCGGAAGAGATAGGACCGGGATTAAGGCGCTTGCCTTGCACGCTGTCTGCCTCAGTTTGATCCCCAGTACCTGTGCTCCCCGCACCAGCACTGCCAAGAGCGACGCCAGAGCCGGATGATCGTCGGGGTGATCGCTGAGCACCGCTGGTGTAGGCCCAAAAGCCAAAGTATGATGATGATGATGATGATGATGATGATAGGGGAGGGTTTTCCATTCCCTTGGAGGCCCTTTTCAGCCTGCCCGACCCTTAAGTTTGAGAGTCTGAGGTCATTACCGGGGGGTGTAGGTCTGTGCTGGAAGCTCTGAGGTCAGTGCTGAGGAATCTGAGCACACTCCTGGGGGAGTGTAGGGTCAGTGCTAGGGGTATGAGATCAGTGCTGGGGGAGTTTGAGATTAGTGCTAGGGGAGTTTGAGATAAGTGCTGGGGGCTCTGAGCACAGTGCTTTAGTTCTGAGGTCAGTGCTGGGGAGGCAGTCTTGAGTACAGTACTGGAGATAATCAGGGTCACCCTGGGGGTACTTGGCTCCTCCATGCAACACATGGTGGTGTTTGAGCAGCTTCTAGGGTTGCACTAGGGGAAACTTGGAAACCTTGTGGTGCTGAGGATTCATTTGGGAGTTGGTTGCATGCAAGGGGCCTTAACCCCTGTGCTCTCTGGCGTATTAACCTTTTGTTTGATTTAGAGACCAGAAAGAGAGTACAGGGATTGAGGCTCTGCCTTGCACATCCTCTAACCTTGGTTGGATCCCAGGCAACACAATATATTACCCCCAGCACAGGGGACACTGTTGAGCTTGCAGCCAATAGTCCCTAAGCACAGAATGGCACAGGATGTGACCCAAACATCTTAATTTTTAGCCTTTTGGAGAAAAATGAGCCTTTTCAGAGAATCTTTCATTGATCTTGTCAATAATTTCTATCATAGGTTTGTTTTTTTTCTCCATCAGTAATCTCTTCTCTCTTCATTAGCTAGTTAATCTGCTGTTATGAAACATTTCAAACTCCCCGTACCCATTTCTAAGAGCTTCTGCTTTCTCACACCACCAATTTTTTAAAAAATTTTTATTAGTGAAACACCATGAGGTACAGTTGTAGACTTAAAAATTTTTGTGCTTGGGTTTCAATTATACAATGATTGAGTACCCATCCCTCCACCAGTGCCCATTCTCCACCACCATTGATCCCAGTACCCCTTCCACCCCCATCCCCCCCATCCCACACTGCCTCCATGACAGGGCATTCCCTTTTGTTCTCTCTCTCCTTTTGGGTGCTGTGGTTTGCAAAAGAGGCATTGAGTGGCAATCATGTTCGGTCTATACTCTACTTTCAGCATGCATCTCCTATCCTGGGAGGATCCTCCCAACACCCTTTATTTGATGCTCCCTTCTCTATCTGAACTGCCTTTTACCCTAGCATGTGCGGCTGGCCTCCAAGCCATGGAGTGAACCTCCTGGTACTTATCTCGGCTATTCTTGGGTGTTAGTCTCCTATTTTGTTACTTTATGTTCTGCAGATGAATGCAATCTTTCTATGTCTGTCCCTCTCTTTCTGACTCATTTCACTTAGCATGATACTTTCCATGTAGTACCACTTGTATGTAAATTTCATGACTTCATCTTTTCTAAGAGCTACATAGTACTCCATTGTGTAGATGTACCAAAGTTTCTTTAACCAGTAATCTGTTCTTGGGCACTCAGGTTTTTTCCAGATTCTGGCTATTGTAAATAGTGCTGCAATGAACAAACAAGTGCAGATGTCACTTCAACTACTTTTTTGCCTCTCTGGGATATATTCCCAGGAGTGGTATTGCTGGGTCAAATGGGAGCTCAATTTCCAATGTTTTGAGAATCGTCCATACTGTTTTCCAAAGGGGCTGAACCAGTCGGCATTCCCACCAACAGTGAAGGAGGTTCCCTTTCTCGCCACATCCAAGCCAATACCGGTTGCTTTTGTTCTATTGGATGTGGGCCAGTCTCTGTAGTCTCACACCACCAATTTGGTTTCTCGATTTCTTTTATTGGAATCTGAACCAGCATCTATGTATGTACCTGTAGGTAGAAAGTTCCTCACTGTTACCCATGACACCAGTGTATTTTCACTGCATCTCCTTCCAGGAATAAAGTGTAAATCATTCTAGTTGTCTGAACTGTGCTTTTCATTGAGCATCTGGTTTTACTTATGTCACAGCAAAGTTAATTTCACTGTGAACAAAACTACTGTTGTTCAAATTATAAAAACAAGACGTTTTCATGGCACACCTGAGTTCACAAAATAAAATGTAGGGGCTGCCGCTGCTGCTTCTACTGCTGCTGCGATGCATGTGCGTTTGGTGGCCCAGAGCCACCTCCCCCCCCCTCAGGCTCCCCAGCAAAGAGACCAGGAGATGGGGGGAACCACAGCCTAATGGTAAAAATGGCCCGTTTAATGTAGAGCTTCTAGTATACTTATAGAACATCTCAGCGGGGATTGAGGTAAGGACATAGCTGTGATTGATAATTTTCATAGATAAAGTATGAAATTCTCTTTTGGGAAAATTAAAGCAAGGAGATACTCTGTCTCCCAGGGACATCTACATTGCTTTTATCTTTCCCTCTAGTGGTATAAGTTATCAATACTTGCAATTGTTTGGATACACACAGTAAGAGACAAAGATCCCAACACTTCCTTCTTTGGGTTCTGAATTCAAGCAAAGCTTTTAGCTTAAATCCCAGACTAAATTCTCAGGCCAGTTCAGCTTGTCCTTCCCCATGGGGGTTCAATCTCTTAATTCATGACAGCTTGCATCAAGATCATGCATTCATGCTTTCTAGAATGTCCCATTTTAATGCTGGGGTAGCTTTGCCACTCGTCCCGGGTCCATCCCAGTCCCATGGTGGGACCTCCCTTTTGGGGTGTTAGGAACGAGAGCAACTGAAGCCTGAGTCAAGTAATTATGACCAGTCATTATATCCAGGGATAGATTTCAGAGTCAGTCAACTCTCAGATATCAGGAACATAGCATTAATGGTCTTTCTGTGTTTAGCTAAAGAATATTGCTCTATAGTAAAATATATAAAGGTTATAGGGGAAATACAAAAGCAGGTACCAATACACAGCACTTCAAACACAAAGCAGTACAAATACAAACTTCAGAATTACCAAAAAGTTTTGGCTTATAAGTAATCAAGACTGACTTGAGAAACTGTTACAATGAGAAGTAAAATACAAAGGAAAGGTTCAAGATAGAATTTAACTAACTTAGGGATTTTAGCAAGAGCAAGGTAAGATTCTCTGGTAGAAGGAAAGGGGGCAGTTCGCTGATGAAGACTAAAGCACTTAGGGTTAATATCCAACACAAAGAAAAGGTTAAAGATTAACTAAATTAGGGATTCTAGCAAGGGCAGGACAAGCTTCTCTGGGAGGAGGAAAAAGGGCAATTCACTGATGAAGGCTAAAACACTTAGGATTAATATCCAACATAGGTGTAGAAAACAGACCCCAAAATAGAACTGCCTTAATTACATTCCTCTGACACATTTGAAGCATATGATTACTGTACTTGCACAATTGGCTAACCTCCTTCACATTATGTGAAAAATCGTTAGTTTTATTAAGTGAGTTTTAAATTGAAATGTACATGATACCATTTTCAAGATCAGGTTGTATATGTTTTGACAAATGTGTAATTTTGTACCCACTACAGTAAAACCTACTAGCTTTTCAGTATTTGAATTTTCTAGTTAAATTTTCCAAAACTTTAAACAGTGTATATATGTAGTTGTCTTTGGGAATGGGCCAAATTACAGCTAATGATTTATTGTTCTAAAGCAAGAGGGTTTAAGGCTGTTGTGTTAGCACAAATGATAGGATATTTGCCTTGGAAGCAGCCAACTGGCCAGCTTCGCTGCTCAGCATCCCATATGGTCCCCCAAGCACCACCAGGAGTAATTTCTGAGTGCAGAGCCAGGCATACACCTGAGCACTGCTGGATGCGGTTCCCCCAACCACTGCCCCCCCCCCCCCCAAAAAAAAAGCAAGAGGGCTAAAAGGGAGGTGAAAAAGTGACAGATGTGGATGATCCTAAAAGAAAGGGAGCA